GTTTTTCACAGTAGTAAAACAATGCAACGTTTTATTTTTTTGTTTAGATAGTTGAAGTTTTATTAAGCAAAATAGACTAAGAATTAAAAGTATGATAACATTTATTTCAGTTCTAAAAGTGAAATTCATTTTATCAGACTTAATTCTTAGTATTCTATTTTGCTAATAATAATTATAACTACGTAAAATAATTTAAAAAACATTGCATTTTTTACATTGTTAAAAGAAAAACGAACCGTGTTTCTGTTAATGTGGCATTTAATTTATGATTCCTCACTTGTTAGAATTGAAATAAATATTAAAAAAACTGATAAATTATGAATTAAAAGTATAATGTGTTCTTTTATTTTTTTGTATTTCTTTTTAAATAAAACAGGGTATATAAACAAAAACAAGTTATCTTTCTTTTAATATTGTAAAAAGTTTTTAAAGTTTTCCCAATTTCCCAATTCAGAAAAAAAGAAGTAACTTCATTTTTTTTACATATCCCCAGTTTTATTTAAAATAAATAAACACAATTGTACTTTTATTTCATAATTTTTCAGTGAGGAGTTATAAATACATTAGCAGAAACATGTAAAAAAAAAAAAAATCGCATCATATGGGCATTAGATTCTGAGAAATGGATAAAAATATTAAAAATTGATGGGTGTACAAATAATTTTGTCGTTGACTATAAGGGGTTAATGTGCACTATAATATTGTATTCTTTCTGGGGAGGGGTAGCAAAAGTTGAGGGCTGTCCCAGGCGGCAAAAAACACTTGCTATACCACTGCAGATATGGCTCAGAGATATAACAAGAGAATGTCTGGCAAAACAGTTTGCAATACTAAATCACAAATACCAGATTGAGGCACATAACCATTGCACACCAATTTATTTTAAAAGAAAACTAAACACAAAAGAGGTTAGCATAAAAAGTTTGTCAAAGTCTCTATACTAAATAACAACTATCAACATTTTCAGATCACAACAAGTCATCTCAGTTGGTAACAAATCATTTTTAAGAGATAAGCTAAAAAAAAAAATAATTTCAAAATTTATGAAAAATATATTTGTTACTTACAAGTGTTTGGTTCCTAATATATTTCAAAAGATTGCCACTGCAGTACTATCTATCAGCAATTGCTTGAAATGTTCTCTTGTAGTAATAGAGACTAAATAATATATGGAAAAATACTTTGGTATATGGTGATTATAATTCAGATTATATTAGCAAAATCTGAAATATCAACTCATAGACACTATGTAAAATTCTCCACAAACTTACATAACTTTTTGGAGTTAATAAATTATTGCTTGGTAGTTTTGTTTAACAATAACTAATTAATAGATAATTTTTTTTTCTGTTTAAATAGAAAACTACTTAGATTGTTATAGATAGGTACTTTGAGAAATTAAGTAATTTTTCTCCTATAAAGTATAAAAACAACTTATCTACTTTATCAAGAAACTAGATGTGGATGTTGCAATCTACTAACTCCAAATACAATTTCATGCTTTTTATTAACTTCTGATATTTTGCAAAGAGAAAAATCCCTTGAATCTTATTTGCAGAGCCAATGATATTACTGATGAAAAATTTAGGATGAATAAAAATAAAGGGACAAACTGATCTGATAAAATAATTTGTATGATGTAATAAAAGCTAAGCATGCATTAATATAAACACAAAGAAATCTTATAAAGATTAGCCAAAGAAACTTTGATACTTGTTTTTATTTAGCTTTAATACTTTTACAATTTTTGTGTTCAAGGTCTATTATACATTGTGTTGATATTTGTCTATATACAAAGTTCACCAAAAGTACAAGGGGTTGGCACATTAAAGTCCCCCCTCAGGGCGGTGGCAGCAGCTAGTGGAGCTACAGCCCCTTGGCACAATAACTTTAAGCAGGGCAGGGCAGCACAACTGAGCAGTACCAGTATCCACTGATAGAGAAGGAAGAATTAATAAATAGGGCCTTGTTCTCTCTCTCTCTCTCTCACTCTCTCTCTCTATCTCTTAGAGAGAAATTATTTAGTGTGTGTGTGTGTGTGTGTGTGTGTGTGTTGGAATAAAATTAAATTAAAAAGAGGGGGAATGAAAAAGAAAGCCACTATTTTCATAAAAGAATATGATTATATTGGAATCTGGCTTTATTTGTGATACTCTAAAATAGGGAAACATTTTAAAATCAATCCCTGAAAATATACCTCCATCACTTCTGGTTTGCCTCTAAATGACAAACAAGTTAAGAATTAATCTAATACAATAGATAAAATCTGTCTATGATTGTTAGCAAGTTGAAAACATCACAGATATTAATGAACAGGTGGGTAAGCATGGAAATAGGTGGGTAGGTGTACTGCTTAACAACCACCATACTAAAAAAGAAGACACTAGACAAAGGGTGACACACAAGCATTTGAATCACAGAAATATAGAAGTTCTTTTAATGACAACAATAAAGAGAAAAAGTAAATTTTATTTAAAATCCTTTTTAATTGGCAGCTTCCCAGAAAAGATTGGCAGTGAATGAGGCAGTGATAGAAATAAGAATGGCAGAAACAGAAAAATAAATTCTAAATTTCCTCCAGCCTTCATTTTCATCTCTTATATTCAAGAATGTAGACTTTTTCTTCCTGCATGCAGATATTTAAAAGAGAAGGAAGTCATCTTTATTAAGTCCAAATTGTTTAGAAAAAGAACTCCTCACTGAAATGAAGAATCAAAGACTTGCATGGAAGCAAGTATTTGAAGCTATGATTGCAATAGCAATATATGGAGAGAAAAGATTTTTGCATAATGAGCAAACAATACTTTAAAAAATAGAGTTTAAAAAGTTTGACTAAAAGAGGAAATAAAGTTGAATTAGCTGGAGGAAAGAGAGAGATGGCAGTAAAAAATGGCAAGAAGTTTTGGAAAGTCTGCCATAGTATGGATGCTAACAAAGTCAGTCAAATGAGAGATGATTTGATTTTTTTTTATGAAGAAAAATGATTTTAAACAAACCAGTGTTTGGTGGGGGGGAAGGAAAAAAAAAAAAAAAAAAAAAAAAAGAATTTTTTGGGGCCATATGCAAAATAGACCGGAAGAGAATGATTTAAAAAAGAAATGGATTCTAGGAATAAACCAATTTTTTTTAAAAAAGAGATCTGTAATGAGAGAGAGGAGAGGTCAAAGATCTAGAACTGCCCACAAAGTCTGGTCAGTACATGCCAAATGGCTGCTCAAGTAAAGTTTTATTGCAATATTTTTTTTTTCTTTCAAATAGTTTGAAGCATCATTTTTTTTTTTATATATTTTCCTTTCTTTCTATAAAAAAGGTTAAAGAAATCTGTTTCCTCTAAATAAAAAAAGCATATAGACTAATAAACATTGTAAAAACTGACAGGCTTTTTAGTATAACAGAAATGTTCATGCATTTTTGGTAGTAAGATTCAGGCATTTATGACTTCAGCCAGTTAGAGGAGGAACAAGCAGAAATAATTGAAATCAAAGAGCTTCTTAAAATGTGGCTGGGGAAAAAGAGATATCCCAAGCCTGAGTCCAGCATTAAGTGAACTTCATATATAGCTTCAGGATTTATACTAATATGCATACGCCCACACACATGCACTACATATTGAGTGAATGTGTGTGAGTGAGACAGTGTATGCGTGTACTATGCCCTTATATATGTAAGAACTTACATACACAGGTGTGTGTGTGTGTGTGTGTGTATATATATATATATATATATATATATAAAAAAGAAATTAATGTCTGTATGTATGTATATATGCATTTATACAATCTGCACACAGATTGTGTGTATGTGTGCGTGTAGACATATACATACAAAAATGTAAGTTGTATTTATATAAGTCTATAATATACACATGTATGTATATATAACATGTAGACATGTACACATGTCTATGTACAAAAATTACATAACTGTAATATGTCCATTAGGATCAAAGGTGATGGCTATTTAATATCGACTCGGAAGTATGTGTACATTTGTATGTGAGTGGTTATGTGTGTGTGCATAGAACAGAAGATTTTGAATGACTGTACAGCTAGACCAAACAAATTTGGGGTGTTTAGCTGACATTAAAACGTTCATGCATGAGTGGGTATTTATTAGATGCGTGGTTGTACAAATGGCTCTCAGCTTCATTCCCATTCCTTAACAGACACCAAAGAGGGCATCATCTATTTAAGGCAGACAGGCAGGTTACTTGAAATCTGCACAGTCCAATCTAAGAGCACCAGAGACACACAACTGAACCTCCTATGTATAGGAAAAAGTCTTGTGTGTCTAATTTATAAATTTGTTATTTTTTAAATTTCTTTATACCATTTGTCTCTGCTCATGGTTGGGAAAGAATTTAAAAATAAAAGATAAAAGTAAAAGAGGAGGAAAAGAAATCCTAAGATAGCAGTTAAGAGTAATATAATTTTTGAACAATACTTATCTTCAGAAGTGTACAAATGAAAAAATAAGAGAAAGAGAGAGAGAAAAAAAGGGATAAAATGGTTATAAATTTGTGCGTTATTTTTTTTCTTTTTATTTAATGTTGCTATTTCTCAGAAAAATTTTATACTAAGAAAAAGCAACATAAAAAGAAAAGCATAAAATATAAATTTCACTACCATTTTTTCTCATAATTTACTTTTCTCATTAATACATTTTTGAGGTATAATATCCCAAAAATTATAACACTCTCAAATATACCTTTTCCATTAATATTTGATTCATTTCCCAACCACTGTCAAAGATTCATACCATAAAAGTTCTATGAAATACCCAACTCAGCGCCATCATTTCTTCTGTTTATATTTTTTTCTTCTGTTAAAAGTTTAAGAAAAGTAAAGATTAGGCACACACACACTGTTCTAATCTTTCCTTTTAATTCTCAGAGGAAATAATGAATATATATATATATATATATATATATATATATATATATATTACTCCTCTGGATTTTTTTTTCTGTTCCATAGGTAAATACAAACAAAAATCAAAACTCAGATTTGTAAAGACTCCAAATTTGCATTTGAGAATTCAGTAGATTGATGTTGTCTGATCCCTTCTGTTTCCTGCACAGAACTGGTGTCATCACAGCTGCTGGAGAGGCTACTGGCATTCAGTTGGGTTGCTGAACATTCTAATGAACTATCATCCTGTGAAACTAGATCATTAGCTTGACATATGGTTTCAGCCACAGTACTTATTGGTCTGTTGTGACTAATACTTGACCGCTCTACCAATTCTGTTGAGACATCTTCAAAAGATTCATTATCACTTTCTGCTGAATCTTTTGATGGTGCTACTGGTTGTATAGAGTTGCTTGCAGACATTTGAAAAGAATGTGGCATCTCTTGGCTGGTACTGAAGATCATTTTTCTACCTGTAAGAAGTGAGGGATAAATATTTAAAGATACTGGTTCAAGCACATTGGAATAATGATTTGAAATTATGTATTGAAATCTATAAACCAGAAAATAAACACCATCTGTTAATTAACATGCTGAGCAATAAAAAAAAAAGATACAGAATTTATTATAGTTAATATTTTTTTAATTAGTGCATTTAAAATCTCTTGAAAGCTTAAAATTACTTGGATATAATACACAGTGATTTTTTTAAATCTATAATAAAGTTTTTCTGGCAAATAGTATTGTCACTTTCTTAAGTTTAGCTGTTAGATAAATCCTATAATTTAGAGTGGATGCTGAAAAAGTAAAAAACACCCTGAGAATGAGAGAGAGAAGGAAAAAAAATATTGATATTTTACTTTAAATATTTTTTAATGTTACAAATGTACCTGTATGGAAAAGTATAATAGCCTTTTCATTCATTTATAAATTATACTTTGATTACCTTTTTATAAACTGCTTAACTGGTTTCAGGCTATACAAAATTTGAAATGCAGCAATAAGTAAACTTATCCCCAGTACTTCCATTGACTTATTGTTAGACAATGATAAAATGTTAATACTAATTTAAAGCATATTATGATTGTCGCACCATTTTTTCATGATTATTCTTTTAATGCTGGATTTATCAAAATTACTTTTGCTTCCTGATTTTAAAGATATATAGAACTTTTGTTTCCAAAATTAGTGACTACATTTCACATGCAAAAAATAAGAGTTGTATAAATGCTTTTGGAAGAATATGATATATAATTTTCTATATACAAGAACAATGTTAGGCAAATGAATGATAGTAGAAAAAATTCTGTATAAAGCATTTCGTCTTCTAAAAGAACTTCATTGGACTTATTACTTAATGAAGTAAGACCAAATAATTTAAAAAGATTAAATGATGACAAATAAAGAGATTTTTTACAAAACAACAGACTCAATGCATTAGTCCCTCACCATAATTGAGTCTGCCCATAATTTTGATTTCAAAAAATGCTACTTTAATTAAAAGAGAAAGTAATTTACTAAGACAAAAATGCTTGATCACTGGATCATAGACAGTAAATTTGCATCCAGTTTCTTACAACATTTCACCTTTCTTGACAGATCTTTTATTATTGTAACACCCTTTTGCACCAGGGTCACATCCTTGGTTACTGGCACCAAAAGATGTAACACTTTTTGCTGCCATGTTTAGTGGTCTGGTCCTCAGGGTTTTAGGACAACGCTTTAGCCACAGGCTCACTCTGCACTGGTCCAAGCTGGTTGTTGGTTGCTGGCTGCTTCGATCCATACTGTCTCTGCCCACATTGTGTTCTTGATCTCAGAGCAGTAAAAGATTGAATGTTGTCATAGTCTCACAGTGCTGGTGAAGCTGTGGTGGGTGCTATATTAAGGATAAAATATCTTCACAATGAAAATAAATAAAACGAGAGATTTGTGGGATCAATCTTCAATTGGTTTATGTAGTTCTTAGTACAACAAAAATTAACCCTCCTACATCAATCTCTCTAGTGACACTGAGCTTTGTCTGAACTTCTGGAAGGCTGGGTTCAAAGTCTTGGAATCAGGAATTTTAGTTGGCAGCTAACAGATTTCAAAGGCACTCGATGTGGGATCTCAGCCCAAAGTCATCTGCTTATATTCACTCCTGCCCAAAAATGGTAAGGGGCCAAAAGGTTCTGGGAGTTCGGTGATTCCCCAATTTTCATTAATTCAAATAAAGGTTTTCTTTGTTCCTTATTTCTGCTTTCTTAATCAATTTTCCAAATTTGGAGAATTATGCACCTTTGAGAGTAGTCACAGGGATTGCTTCTCTCTTAACTCCAACCAGCTTCACTTCACAACTCACACCACTACTTTGCATAGGTGAGGCCAAATTCTGCTACTTCCTCCTTGGTATTCAACCTCAGCCCACTTCCTAGTGCATGCATAACTGTCTTTGTGACAAATCTAATTACATTCCATCCATTAATTTTAATTCCCTGAACCATTTGTATTTTCCTGGAGCTACCGCTTTCCAATGAAGATACAAACAAGACCACCTATGATGGAATTTGTTTTCCTAACTCCAGCCTTAATCATACAGTAAATCTAGGTACCTCCACGAAATCGCTAAAAAAAGAGCATAGCTTGATGAAAAAGACGCCAAACTTGCCGAAAACTAAATTTTATTGGCTAAATGCTTGTGTTATTATTAAGAGGAAAGACCAAAGTTTTTTTTTTAATTATTTTTAAAAAATTTTCCTTCTTTTTAGAACATTCTAAATTTTGATTAAAAAAAACTTTTTTCTATTTGTATCAGCGAACTAGTAAATAACATAGACAATTTTTAGCACGTTTTTTTTTTTATGACACACATTAATTTGAAAAATCGTGCAAAAATAAAATAATTATCGGATATTAATGAAACTTTCAGAAACTATTCACAGATGATCGAAATTATTATAAATATGGTTTTTTTTGAAAGTCATGGTAGAAATATTTTTTTAAAATATTTATTACCCCCCATAACTAATTTTATGAAAACGCTAGAAATTCGATCGCATCGGTTTTAGTGATTACAATAATTAAAAGCACAGGGCTTTGAGGAATGCAAATCATGTTTTTTTTTTTTTTTTAATTGGATACGCAGTACCTGAAAATCAGCTCTGAATTGTAACATACAAAACTCAATAAAACAAAGATATTATTTAATTTCAAATGCTTTTATTTGCTTTTAGTTGTTTTTATGAATATGGACAATATTTTCTGAAAGCAAAAAAAAAATTTTTCGATGAAAAATGAATTTTTAATACAATTATTTGTTATTTCATTAATTATAATGGATTTTACATTTAAGTTGTTAAAATATTATAAAATTAGTTAAAAGCCATATCGGCTTTCATAAGTGTCCTTATGAGATAGATCTTTTTTTTTTAGCGTTGTAAATTGTATCATTTTGACTAATCAGAAGATCCCCAGTAATTAAGAAATGTAATTTTGTGCTTATAATCGAGCTGTAATTATAAAATACGGAAGACCAACCAGAATATAATTAAGTTGCGTTATTTGAGTTAAGCATTGTTCTCCGCTGTTAAGGCCTTTACTTTTTAAAAACACGTGTGGAGAAGTTAATTTGATTTTTCAATTTCAACTGAGAAGGGTACCTACAAGTATCAGTATCATCTTATGAAATTTATATGATCTTATTTTTATATTAATCTCAGTTACGACATTTTTCCATAAATGAAATATCAAAATTAATAATAAAATGAATGCAAATACAAATAACAGTAGAATGTAATAAATGTACATAAAATTATAGTATTTTATGTAGAATTCTGATAAAATTTCATAAGAAAGGTACCTATAAATTAATTAGATACCTTTCTTAAGAAATATGAAATTTAATGTCACTCTTAACAGTTTTATTTTAATTTCTTTACAATATATTTCCCATAAAGCATCATAAACGTAAAGGTGAAAGCTAAGTACAAAAAAAAAAAAAAAAAAAATAACCGCTGAAAGTTTTCCTTAAAAAATAACGGGGTAAATAATTTGTTCACGTAAATGTAAATTATTTCACTTTTCTCCTTCCGTAGAACAAATTAGCCTCATGGAATTAATAAATATATCATTCATCACATGTCAAGAGACGCGAAAGTTTATGACCTGCTTTGTTTTATTTTCAAATTACATCTTTTTGGCACAAAAGCTAAGTTAAGTTTGGTTCAAAATATTTTAAATAAACATTATAATTTCTGATTTTCTTAAAATAAGTTTTGAAAAAATGATAATTGATATTTAAAAAAATTTCAAAGTCAGATTTCCAGTTTTTTTTTTAAATGGAAAAAATGGTCAATTTTGCTGACTCAAAAAAAACTAGATTTTTAACGAAAATTTCGGACGTGCTAGGAACGATTAAAAAATGGAAAAAAATACCCCAAAAATACTTTGACCTTTCCTCTTAATAATAACAAACATTTAGACGATAAGATTTTGTTTTCATCAAGTTTGGCGTCTTTTTCATCATCCTATGCTCTTTTTTTAGCGATCTCATGGAGGTACCTAAGTAAATCTGACCTCTTAAGAGAAATTTATTCTCATTTCAACCTTTCGTGCCATAGATAAAAATTATTTCCCAAATCTGTTTTCATCAATGGAAACATATTTGTCTATCTAAATTCTCAATAAAGAGACTCTGTTTAACATCCCTGGACCAGTTGGTGTCTCAATGAAAACTCAAACCAGATCACCTTCTTGGTATGACATGATGATTTTCAAAATTTCAATCCTAAGAAAAAGGGCTCATTCCTCGTTTTCATTTTCATTAACGAAAAATAGGATTCTCATCTGCTTTTCTTTGTGTTAATAATATGTGTTTTTCTAATTTTTCCAGGAAGAGATAGACTTATTTCCTAAATCTTTTTTTGATCACATGCCAGACCCTTGATAGATAAGAAAAATAAACTTTTAGGAGAGAAGAAATCCAAATGTCCCATTCTCACTGAGGAAAATGTCTCCACTCTCTATATCTTCTAGTCTCTATTTCATTTTGGGTTAACTTTTCTTTTCTTGTTTAGAATTAACTAGCAGTAGAGCCCGGTGTTGCCCGAGGATGTAACAGTAAGAGATAGATCAAGTACCGACCATCATAAAGACTGAAAAATAAAATTGACAAAGATTATTGTTTAAGGTTGACAGACACGCATGTCTTAATTAGTTTTTTTTTTTTTTTTTTTTACTGAATTGGTCAAACCCAAACTCAAACAAAAAACATTGTTTTCAATCGTTATGAGTTTACCGATTGAATAGAATTTTATTATAAACAACTGTCTTGCAAATGGAATTTTTAAAGCATTCTGAATGTAAAAATAAAGAAAAAAGTGTGCAAGACAATAAGAAACACTACCTGCCCCAAAAAAGTGAAGTTTTGTTGAAATCGGTTGAAAAATGTAGGAAATCCAATCCCATATATAAACGAAAACACACACACACACAAACAACCTGGGTTTTATAATAAGTATAACTTGATATGAGTTGTCCTCCTTTCATTCTCGCGATGCCTCTTAATCGTGTTTTCAAATTGATTTCATGCAAAAACAATTGTGTTTTTCCAATTTTTGGTGCTGTCAGAACCACCTCAAGGTAATTTTACATAGTCCTGTGAAATTTTGTTGAAATCGGTTGAAAAATGTAGGAAATCCGATCCAATATATAAACGTACAGACACACACACAACCTGGGTTTTATAATAAGTATGTTTAATGACTTCTCCACCTGTATCACATTATCACAATGTGGGATATTTAATAATAAAAGTGATAAAAAAACAAAAGCTTAAGGAAATTTAATGAAATCAGCTAGACTACATGTACAGACAAGTCAAAAAAAAAATTTAAATTTCAGTGTTTCAGTATCTGCAGCATTTTCTTCAGCGCATAATTATAACCAACACTTGTGTTTTTATACCCACCCCCTCCTACACATATCTAATTCCATTAACAAAAATATTTCTTTAGTCCAAGGATGAAACGTGTTACACAGTATTTTTATCCACTTTGTCATTCATTTGTATAACCACTTTTGCAAACTTTGTAGATATTTTAATGTTTTTTTATATTGCACCAATACCACCTTTATTATTTTTTTGCATTTCCATCTTTCAAGAATGAGATTCTCAAACTACACAGAAACTTAATGGAGGCTGACATTACAAGTTGGGCAATGTTTAACCACCATGTCTACAATAAAACAGTGAGTTAAAAGCACAGTTATTCAATTGAAATCACTATTATATAGACTTTTGACTCCTTTGGCAATGTTTATTTACAAGATTATAAAAATATGTGAGCCAAGTACAATGTGATATTTATTATTTACCATTTTATAAATAACTAGCTGAATTACATGCACCTTGCTGCATGTCACACATTTTTTTGTAAGAAAATGATGATTGATTTTAAGTATTACTCAATGATCTCCATTTTCTTCTATATTTTGGATAGGAGTCATTCCCTTGTTTAAATTTAATTTAAATCAAAGGGAAAAATTTCAGTTGTGTGTGTGTGTGTAAAAACAGCTTGATCTGACCTTTTTGATATATATTTGATGCAGTACTTGATTGAATGAATTGATGAGCAGATTTCAGCATTGATATGACAGTTGTGTGTGTGTGTGTGTGGGGGGTTGTGTCCCCCACCCCACAGAACTCCCTTTGACCAAAATGAAATATACTTATCCAAGTACACTTGGAGTCATTCGCATGTTCAAATTTAAATGAAAGGGAAAAAAAAATTCAGTAAGGTGTAATGATCATGCCAATGTGACCTCCATCTTCTGGTTTTCTCTTGTTCAAATTTAAATTTAATTTAAATCAAAGGGAAAAATATTTCAGTAGAGGGTTTCAGAGTATTGTTCGAAGGCGTTACTATTATTGTATCTGTGATTTACAAAGTCTCTTACAAACGGGCATTACAAAAGTAATCATTGCTTTTTAAAAACAAATATTACTGAGGGCATCAAAAGTGTATACAGTAATCATAGTAAATAAGGAAATAACTTCTTTTGACATACCATTTTTTTTTTTTGCGGCCATGAAAGTTAAACATTGACAAAAATTGCTTAGGCTCAATATTTGTTACTATAAAATTAAATCTTTTTCTTAGAGATTTCAGTCCAATAAAATTTTCTATTTGACAAGAAGTACTTGTAATATCTAATACAGCATTTGTTTATTTGAAGGTAATAATTACTTATGGAACAAGTGTAAATATCAAATGTCTTTATTCACCTTCTGAATCTATTAAATCTGCTTGTTCTGGCACTGTTTCTTCATACTGTTCTGATGCTGAAGATGTGGTAGAGATCATACTGTTAGGGCGGCTGCTTGCACTCACACTCAGGGAACTGGGCATACTGGCAGGAGCTGCACACATAAGGCGCTTAGTTTCTTGCAACTGTTTTATCTGTTCTTGGGCTGATTTCAATTCTTGCCGAAGTTTCATTCTTTCATCATCATGAATTGCAGTCTAAATGAAAACAAGCAATTGTAAGAAAATAAGGACAAAATATTAAAACGGCATTATAAAAATATGATTATTATCAAAATAAAATTCAACAAGTCTGTTCTGATAAACACTGAACTTATCGGAATCTTTTGTACAAGATTTTGTAAATTTATATAAACATATACAAATCAAAATGTATAATCCTACTTTTTGGCTCGTGGCAGTTTTATGTATCCCTTTTTACCTATTTATAAATTTTTCTGAGGTATTAATGAAAATATTAATATCTTGATTCTAAAGCAAAGAATAGAAACAGATTTAAAAAAAAAAAAATAAAAGCATAGACTGAAAGTACTCCAATTTAGAGACAAGCATGTATATATTTATAATTTGCTTGAACATTAAAAATATAACTCAATGTCAATTTACAAAATCAGAGTCAATCTTTTCTGGTCTGTGAGTCAGTCTATCAATTACAATCTATTAGAATGATTTAGACATCCCTGAATTTGGAAACAATATTATTTTTTTTTTTGACTGAACATAAGGTAAGAATTAATATGAAAAACTCACCAACAGATTGGTCATTAAAGTATTCAATTTATTTGACATATCTCTTAATTTGTCCATTGAGATAGGAATTGACACTTGTTGGTTTTCAGCTCTTGCTGCTGCTGCTGACAGACCTGATATGAGTAGTAGAAAATTAACATGTAAACAGAAAAAGTGAATGAAGAGATGCAGCCAACAGCCACTTGTGTGATGTTGGAAAAGACAAGTTGAAGAAAAAGACATTTCTTTCAATTATTGAGTCATCTTTAAAACAAAAAGCAAGCCACTGTGCTTACAGTGAACATGCAATAAATTTAGTTAAATGAAGCAAATATTTACACTGATTTTGAACAAAGCTTTATCTTTGCATTTCAAATATTTTGCCTCTGAACTTGAAGAAAAAGATTAAGCTACATAAAACCAGATGGACTTAAGTCAAACATTACATACATAGCATGTGGATTTCTACAAAGATATATGTATATATATTATAAATCAATAACACTATCTCCCCCAAAAATGTTTATCGCTTTGCTTAAAAACATTGATTATTTTTAAAAGATGGCTGAGGAATGTGTATAAATATGCACAATTTGCTTTGTAATATGTTGAAATCTACTTTATTAAAATTAATGCTTTACTTTTTCTTTATTCATGAATTTGATAGAATTGTATAACCAAAAAAATAAAATAAGCATGCTTATGTAAATAACTTTAACAGTTACAATTAATCACAAAAAGGTTAACATTAAAAGTACATAAAAGGTATGAACAGTTGGGCTAATTGTCATCACAAAAAAATGTGATGCTTTAGAACAGTGTTTCCCAAACTATGGCCAAAATTGGCCATGGCAAATTTCAGGTGGGCCATGGAAACCTTATAATTTTTACTGGGCCACCAGACTAATACATGGGCCACAAAAAATTTCTGAGTTCAAAGTGGGCCATGAGCTTAAAAAGGTTGGGAACATCTGCTTTAGAAGATCTGTTCAAAAAGTAGGCCTGGTATAATAACTCAGATCTAATAAACATAAATTTATAATAAATAAACATAAATAATATGTTTTATTTAATTAATAATTTAATTGTTTATATAGTATTTTGAATTGAAATAGAAGATTTGAAATTAATGAGAAATTGTAGCTAATTAAACTTGAAATTTTATTGGATAACAGTAATAAATTCAAATTAATCTCAAAGTGACAGTTCATACTGAATGTCTCAGATAAACAGGCAGTGATACAACCATTACTTAAATGTTAGTGTTTGATTGTTAATTCTATCATACAATTATGATAGAATTAACAATTAAATACAGAAGGAAAACTATCTCAAAAAATTAAAATTTATCAAGCAATACTGATTCATGTGAAGACTAATATTAAACCATCAATTGCTTACACTTGATAGAAATTTTAATTTAACTGGATTTTTTCCAAACATATTTCCAAGAGTAATACCACAACACAAATAGAGGCTATGTCTAAAAATTTTTTTCTTAGACTTATCAGAAAGACAAAAAGAACCTTTTTTTCTTCAATCTTCAGCAGATGAAGGATAATAAAGGATATTTAATACAAAGCATAATCATTTAGAAACTGGTAAATAAACCAGAAAATGTATTTCTTGTAATCCTACAGAAAAATTATGTATGCCTCTTAATATGAATATTGCTGTCACCTATTTTGCAAATAAGGTTTTCAGAACAGATTATACAACAAAAATTTTATAATGGTGTTTTTATATATATATATATATATATATATATATATTTGTTAAGAATTAAAAAATATTTCAACATGTAAAGAGGCAGAATATAAAAAACCATGACATCTGGACAAATAATTCATGTGTATTTATAGACGGAAAAACTATATATATATATATATATATATATATATATATATATTACAAATATGTACATCTGAGTGTAGACAAATATAGAATGTAATCAAAGTATTAGTGTTAGTAATGTAAAAGTGCTGGTTAGTTGTGTTAGTAAGAAAGCAAAGCAAGCAAGGCAGCTAGTATATAGGAAACAAGCCATATGGTCCTGTGGTTGAAGATAACTAATCCATGTAGCTAGATGCTCATCAACTAGAGAAAAAAGTGTCAATTTGCACAATATATACTGGTTATCAACAAATCTAAAGAAACAATAGTGGCAGAACTTGTTCATCAACTTTTAGGAAACAATTGGGTACAAAGATATACAAAAAAAAATCATTTAACCATTTGACTAAGATATTTACCAAAAAAGTTTTGTAAAATGCTAACTTGGAATTTAACAGGTTTGACATGATATACCAGAAAAGGTACAGAAGGGAAAAGGTATGGATACCTTGTTTTTCAAAGATGTAGATTTGTTCTTTTATCTTTTAAGCTATTCAAATATAAGTGAAAACATCTGTATACAATATAACTTTAAAATCTTTTATAGTACTGAAATATTAGGAGTATTTTACTATTAATGTTACACTAAAAATAATGGCAGCATTGTACTGAGAAAGTTTCTTCTGTGAGTGAAATGCATAAACATGCATGTATTCAATGCATCTTTGTAATGTCAAATTTCCTGTTAATAGTTCTGGAATTAAACCATACAATTTAGTGATTGCAGAGGTTTATAAGTGTTGAGCTAACAATATTTAATGTAAAAAAAAAAGTAACATTTATAATCTTATAAGAATTAAGAATTTCTTTTAGTAAAAACTTAAATGCTAAGAAATAATTTCAAAACCATTTTAACTCTGATCATACAGTCAAAATAATATTCCTCTGGGAGAACATGTTTTAATACTTGTAATCAATATTGTAAATATTAATTGCACAGAAGTTAGCAAGGAATAAAGAAAGTTATTGTAGTTTGAAAAATAAAATTCCCTATATTTGAAAAAGGAATAAATTTGATTTTATGTTATCATCAATAGCAAAATGTTTTTATAAAGTCACAAAACTTTAATTTTTTTATCTGGAAAAAAATAGTTGCAATAGACTGGAATGAAATGTGAAAAGATATTGAAAAATGCAAAAGGGAATGTTGCAGATGGTAATTCCTGAGAGAAAAAAAAATCATGAATGGATTTATAGTTAAAAAAAAAAAAAAAAATAAATAAATAAATAAAGTGATAAAAAGAACTGAATAAGTGATCCAGGCACTGCAGAATAATTTGATATGTCAAATGATTCATTGCAGGTTTGAGGTCTTAGAAGTTTAGTATGAAGAAATATTATATATTGTGGTGTATGGAAATAATGAAGGCAAAATAAATACTGGGAAGCAAACAGCTGCCTGAAAACCAGCAAAGTTTAAACAGGTATTTTATCATAGTTCTGTTTATTAAGATTCTCATAAAAACTAACAATTTTTTTTCCTTTTTTTCAGAGATTTATTAGAGTTGATATGAAAAATACAAAACTAAAAGATAAATAGTATTATTTTTTTTTTTTACAGTAAAACAATTGTTTAAAATACAAAAGGAAAATGATTAGAAGTTATGAACAAATATATGCATTTAAAATGATGAATTGTCAATATATTAACAATTTCAGCAATAAACTCAAAAAATGGTCAGTTTTTGCAAGTAGTAGTATTTAAGAAATGATTGATTTAAATGATGGCATAAATTTTCATAGTAATAATTATGGATATCAGTAAAAGTTACTAAGAAAAACAGATGCTGAAGTTCTTTAGTATGTAAAATTCAAAGCAATATTGTAGTTTGAGCAAAAAGGAATATACAGGCTTAAGAACCACTAGCTTGGAAATGCTACATCACTGCATCTTACAGTGATACTTGCAATGAGGATTTTGTCCTTGGGACTAGCAAGCCAGGTAACTACAAGGAGCAAGCATCTACAACATAGATGGTTGCAAGATTACTCTGTACTTCAAGCTGCACAATGGTAGTCTCCATAACTGAACATGGCAGGCAGGCAGAATAATTATATGGTCAGTTGTTGTTGACTCAGGGAAAAGGTAATGAAAAAAATAAAATAAAATAATCCTCCAGCCTCGGTTTTGCTTGGTGACAGGCATATACAGAGGGCAGCATAACAACAACATAACACACCCAGCTTTATCTGGATTTTGACAGGTCAACACAATCAGTAAATAAATTGTAATATAGGAGCATTATTAGTACAGGATGACTGCTGACAGAGCACTAGTGAAGGATTTTGTGGCAAAAGAGAGTAAAAAATAAACAAATTGGCAATGAAAAATATTGGCCTGAATAAATAAGCCTCTTTTACAAATTGCAATACCCCCCCACCCCCCAAAAAATCCACAAAAAAACAGGTTCAAATAAAAAAAAAAAAAAAGTAATACCTAATTGAAAAAATACCCATGGAAAAAAAATTTATGATCACCCCAAAAGTATGGGACTTCAGTTATTTAATAATTTTCAGATAAAAAATCTTGAGAATTTTCTTTAGCTGTGGTTAAACTGGTTTTCAAATTTTAAATATTTTTAAATATTTTTAAATATAAAAAATTACAACTTAAAACATAAGGTATTAATGTAACTAAAAAATTAATTTGATCCAATTGACAAAATTGAAATAAAATGAAGTGGTCACAATAAAACATTTGGTATTACAGCAGTGAATTTATTCTTGCAAAATATAATAGCAATGACCAGTTAAATGAGCAAATGAAATCATAAGCTCAAGCAGTTGAGAAATATATTGCTATCTGTCAAGTTGGATGCAAATTAATTTAAAATGTCTACACAAAGTGTTCAGAATAGATCAAATATTTCCTATTTCCCTCCATGAACACATCATTTTGAGGAGGCAATCATAACAGTGAATATCATTTGTCTGGAAGCTGGCTTCACTGAAACCATTAAATCGAATTTTCACTTCATCAAATTGTTCATTTCACTGAAAAATCAAAAGTTAAAAAATTAAAAGGAGATAACTTTTATATATGAATAGTGCTTTTTTTAAATTAAGCATGATTTTAAAATTTTCTTGTTTAGTTATGATAATGAGCACCTTTTTCTCTATAAATTCATCATTGAAGTTATCATTTACATAATAATGCTTAATATTTTGATATTATTCTAGTATTTAAAAATGAGTAAAAATGGTGAAAAACAAACCCATTTAAATATTTGTCCTATCCAAAATATATGCATAAATAAATTAAATATTTAAAAGAGTCTTCTGTATTAATTCATATTACTCTTTATTTATATTTTGTTTATTTATATTTTAATTTTTGTTGCTTGAAAACAAAACAAAATGACAATTTCTTGGCTTTAACTGATTTCAGTATGAAATAATTTTCTTAAATTAATCAACTCACTTATCAATCATTCATCAGTGTAAATAAGAAACAAATTAGCAAGTAATTTCTAAATGATACGCAATTTAAGAAAAGCATCATTCAGACATAACAATTACTTCTCTTTAAATTTTATATTTGGATTTTTCAGTGAAAGGAGTCATTTGATGAAATGAAGATTTGATTTAACCTTTTTGGTAAAACCAGGTTTTGGACAAATCATATTCAGTGCTATGAATCCAGAACTTTTGACTTTTCATATTTTTTTTTTTTTAACTACAATTCTATTTAGATAACTTAAAATAACTGACGAAATAAAACTGCTCATAATACTCAACTGATTGATTACCAAAATTCATTTTGAATTTGTCTAAGAATCCACTTCAGTTTTAGAAGTATAATAGTTTCATACAGCATAGAAAAAAAAAATGAAGGAGATAAAATTTAAGTCAATTTAAAATTAGAATTTGATTGTGCTCATTGGGTGCAATTTAGCTGTAATTGAAAACCTGTACCACAAGTAAATTCTGTTCCACCACCTCTTATAAAATGTTTTTGAACAGATAGAAATGAGAGAAAGAAAATTCAAGGATCAGTGGATAGTTATACATTCAAGCGATCCCAAGAGTAAAACTGAACCATAAAAATAAATATCGCTTAATAAAATCTCTTACATTTTCATCTGTTTTATGTTTCAACAGAATATGGTAGCTGCTGAAATACCAAAACCCAAAACAAATGCAACATGTAAGAGTACAAGAAACAATTCCCCCACCCTCAGTATATATTAAGTACAGTTTTAATATTTTGAATTGTAAAACAATTGTGTTATATATATATATATATATAAAAAACCAGGATGTAAAAAAAAAAAAAAAAAAAAAAAAGATTAGTTTGAGAAGCTCTGTATGATAGGGTTCATCAATGGAAAAACCACAAGTGTTGTCGACAGTGCAAAAAGATTGGAATAATAGAAAAAAAAAAAAGAAAGATAAAAAGAAAAAAGTCGAGAATATGGGGCTGAGTCACCTACTAGAAACAGTTGAATGATGTTCTGTAGTTGTAGTGGTGGTGTTGGCCACTAGCCCCTGTGACTGTGTGCTAGTGACTATGAGTTCAGTCAGTTGTTTAGCCTGGTCAATAAGGCGGAGTATCAGCTCCTGGAGATCCACATTCTGCCGCTGCTGCTGCTGCTGTTGTTGTTGCTGCTTCTTCCGTCTCTCTTCTGCACAAGTCTCCTCCGACGCCATCTGCCAGCACAGAGACAACTCCACCAGTTAGACACACGACACCGGTTACAAATGTGCACAATATTACTTTAGAGCCATTTCCGTGAAGGATTTTTTTTGTAAGAACTATGAATAATTGTTGTTGTTCTGATGAAAAGGTAATGGATCAGTTATATGTTGGTTTATCACAATGATTGGGAGAGTTATAAGTACAATGTAATCATTTATGAAACAAAAATTTTTATATACAAGACATACACACGCAACGTTGCCAAATTTATCACAGAAATATTGCATCTCAACTGCCATCTAATGATACATTCTCAGTGAATTAATGTAAACTCAATTTAAAAGAACTGAAAACCATTCACACCATTAAAGTATTAAAACCAAATACTTTTGACTAACTAATATTTTAAAAGTAACAAATTTACTAACTTATTTGTTATATTTCACTCAGATATGAAATATTTTACTTACTACACAGTTTCATAAAATTATTCTAATTTTGTTGTTTCTTTCATATCAAAGTTGAATTTAAATTCAAATCTTTACTTTCAAAATTTTTTCCTTCACTTAGGAGTCAAAATTGTCTAGTTTTTATTTCTGTTCTCAGTGTTTATGTATATAGCTCTAAAAATAAATTTGCTAGAAATCTAAAATATATTCAAATGAAAACCAACATAATTGAAACTTGCTGAAAATATCCTAAGAAAAACATATTTAAAAATATTTTCAAATTCAAACAGTTACACAATTATATTCGTTAAAGATTTATTTATAAAAAAGAAAATTAAGAAGGAAATAATGAGACAGAATCAACCTACCAGCAAAACAATGTTATTTTTGCTGGATTAAATAAAACAGTCTATTCTACTTTATATTCAATTTATAGTACTTAAAATGAAATCCTTAAATTAACAGGACCAGAAGAATCATAAAATCATTGAATAAAATCTTATTTCATTAAAAATTACAAAATATATTGTTAGTGTTGGTAAAATTGTAATGATATTCCAGTTTTTTATTTAAAAAGATAACATGCATGCACACATACAAACATTATATATATATATATGTGTGTGTGTGTGTGTGTAGTATAAGAAGTTTATATAAACTAGTCTTCTTACAGTTGAAATATTTCAATTAGTAATCTAAAATCATCTTTCTTTCCTAATCAGATTACAAACTATTAAATATATCCATCTGCATACCTTAAATACTATAGGAGATGCAAAAACTACAACATTATTAAGAAAGCACTTTAAGAAAAGTTTCCCATTTGTAAACTTCTCATACCAAATCACCATACTTTCATGATGTCCTTTTCATATTTTTGAAGAAACAAATTGTTTCCACTTTAGAATAAATATCAAGATGTCAGATGAGATGTTATTCATGAAAAAAGAAAGAAAATATCAGGAAAATATTTCTTTTGCTGATTTTACTAAATCCCCAAAATAATCAAAACAAGATATTAAATAAGAATCAAACAAGTAAGAATTGAGAATATCAAACCAAATCTTTGGCTGCAGAAGTGATAAGATATATTTAAACAATAAAGATGACATTATTTTGAAAAAAAATATACTAACGATTGCATAAAATATCCAAGTAACAGCAAAAACAAGAGAAAGGGCTGTTAGGATAAAATGCATAGACAATACTAATAGGTTCAACCATAATCTTGAAATATGAAGTAGCAGTGATAAATAATAATTTGATAAAGTCACTTTCCTCAGTAGAAGATGCTTCATGATGAGCAAGACAAAAATATATGTCGTCATTGCCATTTCTGATTAAATTACTGATGATTATCAGTCTTCTAATTAAACCCAGTATATGATCCTTTTTGGATCTAAATGCACAAGATTTATGTACATCAGTAGTTAGAACATCTCTTCATGTGATCTGACTTTGCAATGATATCAGATTCTTCTCAAAAGAAAAAAAATACTTAAAATGTCAGTGTCGGTCTTTTAGGAAAATTAAACTTTATAAATATTAATTCAATGAAATGAAAATGAGCATCCATTTTATTAAATTAACTACTTTTCTTCAAATATAGGCAGTACTACATAAGATCTGTTGTAATCTTTTGATCAACAACTTTCCATTATATTCAAGTGTAACATGAAAATTAACAATAAAAAATAACAAAGGTACCAAATGATAATATAAAAACATTAAAGTAACCAAGTTGACAAAGTAAAATAGATTCTAAAAATGATTTTTAGAGGAAAAACTTTCAAGTGAAAAAAAATTTTAAATTTGTAGTAATAGTTTTATTTCATTTCAAGCAACTACAGTTTTTACATCCAAATTACTTTTTAGAATGAGATGCTTAAATTACATCAAAGAGAAAGCAACCAACCATATCAAATTCTATATTACTTAGAAATGTATTCCTTTTCATAAATTAGCAAAAAGTTAATGTTAAATAATTCAAATTAGGATTATTGAGAGGAAAAATAAACTAAAATATTCCTATAGTAAACTTTAACATGCTGAAAAATAGGTAGTAATTATTAATAGAATAAAAAAAATTATGTCATGAATATGATAATCATCTTCCTCAACTGTTTGCTTGACTTAAGAAATATGATCAAGTATTTGTATATACACTATCTTTGTGCAAAAGTAAAATTATTTTTTTTTCTGATCATCAAAGGCTTTCCTAGTAGGAATGCCAATTGATCAGAGGAAAAGTGTATAATGAACAATCTTCTATTTTCAAGAGTAAATATTTTTGTAAACTATCAATTATATTAGCATCAGACTAGAAGAATATCTAAATAGATACAGCACTAATATACAGTTCTACAAAAGAGCAGAAAACAATTTTATTCCCATTTAACTTAAAAATAATCTGATGATAGTTATATAAAACTTAAATATCATTAAAAGAAATAAACAATTTTCAAAATTCCTAAAATTAATCACTATAATAAATTACTAAGTGATTTCTTTGATTTTTAATTCAAAACTGACAAAAATACTCAAAATGACCAAGTGTTTAACTGTAGAAATTAAACTGTTGATACAACTTGAGAATAGAAATTTACCTAAAGGTATTATGTGTTGTTTTAAAGTGTTTTTAACAACTTTTGTAACTGAATGTGGATTAAATTTTGAACATTTCAAGTAACTATGAATCCAAAGAGCTCAACATGTCAAATCTTTTTTTTTTTATATACACAGGATAGAAAAAGAATTCTGAATAATAATCTGATCTGATAAATAAACAGGAATTTAAAAACAATTTCCTTAAGAACCCTTGTACTATACTGGACAGAACAAGTACAATAAAAGAGAAACAATGATTTTTAAAAGATCTGACTCCCGTTTAAGAAATGGAAGTAATAGTAGAAAAATAAAAAAACAAAACAACATGTAAAGACCATTTACCTCAACAATGTGAACGTAATCATCGTAAGGAATGTTGAGTATTTCTGCAATAAGTTTTTCTCTCTCCTTCAGCACTTGTTTGATGAGGTCATCATTCCGTCGCAGCTTCTCTGAGGGGACAAGATCAATTGGCTCTGAGTAAATCAAGTGGTGCACAATGAGATATGGAGACTAACTAGTCACAAATGAGGACCAGTGGCTGGCAAAGCATAGACAGACAACACTAATGTCTTCTGGGTTAAAAGGAACAGCTAGTTAAACACACAACTGATGATACTGTAGTGAGTGATCAGCTGGATGTGAAGTAAAATGTGAATTAGAAAGAATACAGTCTGCTGTCCAGTAAAAAAGAAAAAGTCCAAGAAAAAAAAAAAAAAAAAAAAAAAAAAACTTTGTGTCATCTGTTAACAGGAGCATTATGATTCTAGATAACAGGTTTACAACACTGTTATATAATTATGTATAATTCAATATGAAAATTTCATATTGTTTCGATCTTTAAAGAAATCATTAATCTTAATGTACATATATGATTTGATAACTGGAATGAGAGTTAATGTTTTTAAAAGATTTTTTTCATATGTAAAACAAACATTTCACATTATTTCTCTGGATCAGCAGCTAAAAATCTGATCTAAGCAAGAGTATGTTTTCCTTTTTTTCCATTTCAAAATCTAAAAAACTTAGAATATTGAGCATCAGCTCCAACTATATTTTAGTATTTTCTAATATCCTTTCAACAACAAAATCTTATTACAACATAGCCGATACACAACTTTTCAAAGTTTTCAGATTAAAGTTCCTTTCTCTGGTGGTTTAACAACAAAAAAATGTTATTTTCAAATAATTCATCACTAGGTTCTAGAATTCTGCTCCAGACAAGGAATTCAACAGGCACCATTGGATTACAGTCCAACTACTAAATACCTCAAATACTATAAGAGCTGCAAAAAACTACTGCTTTATAAATTCAAAGATGATCAGAGAACATACTATTGAAACATTTCTTTAAAATTAAGATGGGGATATTCACCTTTGTATGAAAGAGAAAATGTCAATGAATAATTTAAAAAATTAACACACAGTAATTAAGTGTTTTCGTATATAAATATTTATATAAGGTGTGGTATAAATACCACCCACATAATGGTAAGACATTAACTACAGGGTGCAGTAGAAATACTTTCCATATTTTAAACTATCACCTGTGTGGTGCTAGTGAACTTAGGCAAGTGGCAATGGTGTCTTCATCTAGCTAATGTCTTACCATTAAGTGGAAGGTATTTCTGGAAGGTATATGTGGGAGGAGGTACAGTGGAGTAATAGCAGCTCAGATTGAAGAATTGGAGAGCCAAGTTCAAATTCTGGTTGAGTTCATTACATTCACTTACGTGGTAATACCCTTGGGAAAGGTATGAATCTATTTCTTCTTGCCCAGCTATGAGTAAATAGTAGGACAGATTAGGTCCTATAGACCTGGTTGGCAACCAGTATAGAAGGAAAACTGAATTCAAACCAGCCTGGAGAGGATTGGGTTGTCAGGCTGTCTTGCCCAAAGACACACCACTACTGCTATGGTTGCAGTAGCTGTGTTGCCCCTACAACCCTCTACTGATCGTGATATGTGGGAGGTATTTCTGCCATACACTGTATATCCTTTAAAATGTCCAATTGAGATGATTCTTCAAAAGTCACAATATTTTATATTAAAAAAAACAAAAAACAAAAAAAAACATATCATAGAGGATAAAACAGGTGTAGTTAAGTAAAGCAAAAACCATTGCACTTATTTCCCACATTCAATAATAAAGATAAAAATGCACAATTGGATATAAACAAAATGAGTATTAGCAAAGTAATAGTGTTAACAATGAAATAGATGTTAACAAAAATAGAAGAAATAGATCTCTGGTCTCCAGAATCAGCAATGAATGACATCAATAGAATCTCATCACAATGCATGGTTGAGTTAGCAGTTATCTTTTAAGCCTGTAGCAATATGGCTGAAAGCCAACATGCAAATAGCATTTCTAAGTTTTACAAGGCTATTTCCCTCATCTTACTTTTTAAATTTTTTTTTAAAAAAAAAAACAACAAAAAAAAACAATGTTTTGAACAGTTTGTTCTCCAATCATGGTTTTCATATTTGTTAGCATATTGTTACAGGTATATGATTGGCATATTTTCCAATCATCAGTTGAGAAAATATGACTGATTAAGTATCACTGATTCCTCTTATAAAACATTTATTTCCAACTTTTAAAGTATTTTATAGTGTTGCCTGATCAAGATGGAAGAAAGCACAGACTGTTGCAAACAGAAAACTTGGTAAAAGACAAAGAATAATAGCAAAGGAAAACTTAATAATGCCATAGATACTTTCTATATCATAAATACTGAGCCTTAAATGCAGTAAGCAGTTTTACAAAAAAAGAGTTAACTTGGCAAAGGAACATGTGAAAAATTTTTTTTAAAATCTAAACAGATTTCTGAAATCATTTACACAGATTTTTTTTATTTCATACAATCTGTTTTCAGATAACTTTAAAGATAATAGAGGCAGATCATATTCATTTGAATACATTTTTGTAGGTGTTATAATGCTAATAACTAAAATATTCAAATATATGCATTAAAATGAAAGTGAAAATTATGGTTATCAACAAGCTTTATTTAGAAAACATGTCTCACAATAATTTAAAACCTAACCAATTTATTTGACATCTTACGTTCACACACCATCCTACTAAGAAATAAAGTTTATATTATAATATTGAGGCATGCACAGCTAAAATCTAATACTGTATACATGTTTCTTTTCTTTTCTTCTAGATTAAAGGACTTATTTTTTGTTAAAAAAGAAAAAAGGCATTCCATTTTTATTTTATTTTTTTTGTTATTGAACAGCTAATTAATTTTAGAGAAAAAGTAAAAAAAAAAAAAAGATCAAATGTAATGATTATATGTAGACGAGTGCCAAGATTAATCTCTCTGAATGTAATATCAAACTATCAATACATGATGAAATGATGACTGAAATGTAAAACTGATGAAAGATCATGTTTATGTTTATTAGAAAGTATATTTAAAAATGAATAACATTCTTTAAAATTTGTTGCATAATATAGTGTTATGAAATTATTTTACATTTAATATTTACTCTGGATCAGAACCATACACACAAATGGGAAGTTGAAAGAAAAGCCTTCATTCACAGAAGGTTTTTGAAAAATACGCTTGAATCATGCCAAGATTAAATTACAAAAAATACTTAGGTGTTAATAAGAATAGAAAGATGAGTGTTCATTGATTTATTTGTTCTAATTTAGCAAAATTTTAGCATATCTGCACCAAGCTGTGCCCCAGCATTATCTACCACCAGTTACAGGGAGGAGAAGGGTACACCACACAGAGGGACATACAAACATTGAATACAACAAGTGAGGGAAAAGACAAGAGGAAATATAATATGAGGTAGAATTAGAGTAAAATAAAAAGATAAAATGAATTAAACATGGATAAAAAAATATGTTCCTTTGAATATTTTTAAACTAGTACATAGTGAATATAAAAATATTTTTTTAAATTCATTTTTGTTTTTAGAACAAAACATATACCAGTAACAAGAAAGTTAACAAGCAATAACTGGAGAGAAAAAAAAGAAAGAAAACAAAAAAAGAAAGAAAGAAAAAAAAAGAAAAAAAGAAAAAAAAAGAAAAAAAGAAAAAAAAAGAAAAAAAGAAAAAAAAAGAAAAAGAAAAAACCAACACCAACAAAATTCTACTAAATGTAAAAAAAAAAGAAAAAAAAAAAAAAGAAAGAAAGAAATAAAAATAAAAATTTAGTTTCATTAATAATGACACTGGGGCTATTGAGAGGAAGGAGAATTTTTAAACAAACAATTTTAAACTGAGTGTATATACAGAGGATATCAAACTTAGGTTATTAACTATTCATTACATTAGAGGAAGAAAATGTCTAAAATAAAAAGAAAGACAATTTCTATTATGTAGAATTAAGAAAATATTTTATATGGTTGTGTTTACAAAAAAATATATCTTAATTGTTTAATTATTTGGCTTCCTGTAGATGATATCCTCTCTGTACACAGAAAATAAAGAATAATAAATCCTTTCTCTCAAGTATTCAAAAGAAAAAGCAGACACCAAAAAGCATAACAAAACTGATTTTTAGAGACACTGAAAAAACATTTTACATAAAAATACAAATTAAAACACCCACAGATCAATATACATTTAAAAAGAACAGAACATGTCATGTATGTCAGATTTTGATATTCTCTCAACTGAAACATAAAATTCAAAACTTCCCATTACACTTAAAGCACAGCTTGAATTTGCATAAATATTTAAAAAAAGAAAATTATTTTAGCTGTTGAAAAAAATATTCTTGTTAAATTATTGGTCATAGGATTAAAAAAATATTTGCCTTGTTACTGTTTGTCTACCTGTCAACATGTAAGTAAAAGGTAGATAGGTTACAATAATGCATTAATGAAGTGAACCCAATTCAGCTAAATGTGAATGTGAACAAACAGTGTTATTCCTATAAAATAATAAACAAGAAGCTGAATGGTGCACATGAAAAACAGTGAGTATACAGTGCAGCATAAATAAAAACAAGAATGGAGATAATCACTGAATAAGATAGCAGGAATCACGCTAACAAATTGCAATATGGCCAATGAATCCATTTGTTGTAATCTGACAATAGTAGCTGAACAGTTCTAAATCAACTTGATAGACAACTTAGATAAGATGCTTTAATAGATTATGTAAGATACACTATACAGAATTAACAAGCCTGTCAGAAGCCATAATAGTAGGATAAAAATTATTGACACAGAATTTGATTGATAGATTTTTTCTTTTTTGTTTTTAATGGAATAACAAATTATCCAATACTTTTGTATTGGTTTCATTTGATGAAAAACTTCACATGCAAAAACTAATTAGGCAAAAAAGAATTTTATTATCTTGTGATATCATAAATATTTTAACATAAGTATTATTAATTGATGCATTGAGAAGGATATTGATTGAAGTGAAAATATCAAACAATCTTTAACTAAGTTTATACATATTAAAATTTCAATTTTTTTATGTATAAAATAATTAATTTTAAATAAATATTTAAACAACATATGAGAAATAAATTTCAAATTTGAGATTGAGGACTTAATAGTATTACAGAGAACATCTTGATGAAATAATTAAAAACCACATTAAAATATATCCAAGTTACTATTATAAGCAAATTTAGAAAGTGTATGCATGTATACATTTGGGTAGAAAAACAAAGCAATTTTTTTCTCAAAATATTTAAAATAAAATTTGTATACAATATTTAAGAATGGCCAAACTATTTTGCAAATCTGAATGACAGTCAGATAAATTACTAGCCATTGCAGATAAAATTCAGTGTCTCCAGATAGATTCGCTATAAACATTCAATTACATGAAGTGAAAACAGAAAGAACAATAGTAACACAATACTGCACCAAACATGTCATACAGCAATGTGGTACTTCTACTGCACTACATTAAAATACAGACAGTGACCAAATAACAACAACAACATCAACAATAACAACTCGCTACAGTGTGGTTAATAAATTTTACAGCCACAAACAATGTACCAAGTGGACAAACATCAGAAAAAATTAAAACAGATTTAAAAACAAAATAAAGTGATGATATCAGTGATTCTGAAATAAAGAAAGCTCATCAAAACTTGTAAATAAGTTTTCCAATATAAATGCATTCATTAAAAAAAATCCTGATTATAACAAAGGATGCACAAAATTGAATTCTTCCAGAATGTGAAAATATATTTTTTCAAACTAAATGGAAGCTTAGTAAGCATTTTTATGAAAGAAAGAGCTCAATATGAAAAGAAAATGAATAGCAAAGGGATATGAAAGAGGCAGATGAGCTGTTGTTTGTTCAAGTACTGACAGAACAGTAAAATACAAACTCATTAATCTTCTAAGTTAAATTTTCTCAAAAATATTCTGCAACTTGGAAGTGACAAATCAACAAAGTTTTCTGAAATGGATTTGACATTTTTTATTATAATTAATAGTTTCTATGTCTTCCACATGTTACACTAAAGATAGTTGTCAGATGAAAGCCAAATTGTCAGACTGCCTAATTTTTAGTAATAAGAATGGCAGATTATATGTTTAAGAGAGATAGAAAGAAAAGATAACTAAATTCTAGACACACTTCAAAAATAGCAGTCCAGTGTCAAGTGGTAGATGACAGCATACTAGGACATTGTTGACTTCAAGACATGCACTAACTAACAAAGCACTGTAACTACCACAAAGAAAGTTCAAGAGATATAACTAAGTGGGGAAGAATAGATTTTGAATTTAAATTCCTCAAACAAGCAAAATATCTACAAAATTTCACTTCAAGCTAAGTACTAAATGGGCATCTTTGGGAAAAAATATATCTTAGTACTTATTTAAGTAGACTACTATTTAGAAATTTACAAAAAATATGCGAAGCAAGGACTTAAATACTATGAAAATAAAAGTAAAACTCAAATTTATTGCTACAATTTAATAAAATAAAATATTGGATAAAAGTTTTTTTTAAATCATGTCAAGAATATTGACTTTAAATTAAAATTAATCAAATAAGAAATGTTAAGTTTTCAGAAAATTATATTTAAAGTGATTCAATTATAAATAGGACTGAAGTCATTTATTAAACATAGCAAATTTGAAAATGACAAGCAAAAGCATTTGCTGATTTCATTACATATTTTTCATTTCAAAACTATTTAATGAGGTGCACCTATTAAAAAGTATAGTGGAATAAATGAATATTGAAATAAATTTGAATACAGCTGTTATACAAGTCAATGATAAGAAGTTTACTGTGATGTATTTGGCCTCAAATTAATAACTCATGAATTTGTTTAATCAAATGGGAATTTTTACTTCCTGCACTATGTTTTTTTTTTCTTAAATATGAGGAATGTCCATAAAGTAATGTACATTTTCTTGTGCAATATACTTATTACTATACAAATAAAACACTGTGCCTATGTTACCATCACTACTAGGGTATTTTTCCATATAGTTGCCATCAAAATAAATGAATTGTTCCATCAGTGTATAAGCACTATACCCATTTTCTGTCTCAAAGAACAGGGTACCAAATGACTAAAGCCACTTTTACACCTTTGCAATAAGATTGTCATCTAAGATAAATGTTGTTTGAAGGGCTCAAACTGATGATAATCTGAAAGAGCCAAGTAAGGACTATGCATTAGATGTAGTAAATATCTTTACTATATAGGTTGAATTACTCTTTTATTAGGTTGGTGTGTGAAGTGATATTGTCATGCAACAGAATGACACATTTACACAAATATCTTAGTCTTTTTCATCTAACAACTTCCTCGGTCAATCCCATGTTTCACAGTATCAGACTGCTTGCTGTTAGACCAAGTGGTATACAAAGTTTATGAGTAGCATACCTTTCGCATCTTGGAACAGAATTTGTTATCAATTTATTTACCAAACTTGGGATTTGTGTGTGTGTATGTAGGTTGGGGAGGGGAGGTTGCATGCCTCCTCTGTGCACATATACAGCAACAAGTTCATGGTGAATTTCTGTAGGTTATAACATTATCAATTATATCTTGCACATTTATTTGTCCATTGTTTAACAATGGCAGTCACTTTATTGTGACATTACATTTGCAATTGTTTAATATTAAGGCTGATCTGGTTGTTAGAAGGAGTATTACATTCCCTTATTGCTTTGTGTTTATAATTTCAACAATGTTTTAATTCTGGTCAATTTACTTTTTGGACATTCCTATATATATATATATATATATATATATATATATATATATATATATATATCTCATATATGGGCTGGAGTTAAACTATATAAGACAGAAGTCAATTCTTTTATAACTTATATAAGCAGTACACTTATATATTTGTAAAATACTGCAGTATTATTAAGTGTACATGAATATAGTAGTTTCAAAATGTACTAAATAAGATATCATTATAGAATGTGATTAAAAATGTTCTAGCTAATCTGATACTGAATTTCAAAATTCTTTATATAAAATATAAATTTTTGTAAAAGCTTACATGTAATAAAATAAAATGTTGCCCTCTTTTCAGTAAGTATTGAACAACAACAGTTCTTCAGCCATTATTTATGTATGACAATGATTTCAAGTTAACACAAAATGTAAATATACCAATCAGTCAAACTAATTAAAACTTATGGAATTGAGTAGAAAGTTTTTGTAAGAATTTTCAAAAATCATATGTGGAATAATTTGAATTTTTTTTTCAAAAAACGAATTATTTTATAATATCTATGACCCCCCCCCCCAAAAAAAAACTGAACTTGCTTTGCACATCTTAATTTATGTTCATGCTTGAGAATTATAACTTTGTTAACTAAATCAGTTAAAATAGCAATTGGATTTTGAGTAAATGATAGCATGATGGTTATCTTACCAACTGGGGATTGAACAGACTCGGCTTCAACAAATGATACGTCAGATACTATCACATCCTCAGGACCTGCAAAATGAACTTCTGACTGCTGACTCTCACCAACTTTCTGTACACTGCTGATCCCGTCAATTGTATCTGCAATAGGTTCTTCAGAATCCTTCTCCCTTTAAGAAAGAAAGAAAAATAATATTATCTTTTTAACAGGGAGAATGCTTCAGCCAATATTTTATATTGAAAATCTATACTCAAATTTAAAATTAAGACCACACCTAAAAAATGAGATTAAAATATTTGTATTACTTAAATTAATCTGGTAATCTTGTAAAATAATTTGCAACAAAAGTTGTTGCAGTTTGAATTGTATTTTCAGCATAGTACAAATTATGTGATTTATATTTTTTTATATGGTAGCATATAAGGTACATTCATACACCAATCAATATTTATCACCAATCATTTCATGTAAACTAAGTATGACAATAAAAATTTTCACAATTGCCTTGTAAGCAAATTTTGAATTATGAAAACTTGAAATCCAAGTGACAAAGAAAACAGGTCCTGTATGCAAAGAATACATACTTTAAAGTGGAAGTGTTTTGTATTTGTTCTGTATCAATACTGTCTGTCTTATTCAGTTTGTCTGCTGGGGCTGCTGCAGCTGCTGCTGACGTCGTCGTCGTTGTTGTTGTTGCTGTTGTTGTCACCGTCGTCGTTGTTGAGCTGGTTCCTGTCGAGCTGGGTGTAGATGCAGCTGTACTGGATGCTGTAGCTGCTGCACTACTAGGACCTATTGAAGGATTCAGCTTGCTATGAGATGAATTTTTCTGCAAATACAATTCTGTAGCACTTTGTATGCATTTGAACCACCTAAAAATAAATAAATTAACCAAAATATTTTCATGTTACATCACAGATTAAGAATGTGTTTGTAATAATAATCAGGAAGTTCAATTCTGCACAACAAAAAAGTACTAGATAAAAAAAAAAAAATATAATCACATTTTGTCTGTTGCGCCCTCCAGCTATCTTCAGGAATCTGTTGTCATACTCAGTAACCTTCTCAGAATGTTTAACTTTATTCAGTCTACATGAGGTAGAGTGTTCTCATTCCACTTTCTATGCTTAGAGAATATTTCATATTGCTTTATCAGTCTTACTAAGGTTTGTGTCACTTGTCTGTTCCTTCCACTGAACCAGAGTATATAACTTCTCAGCACTACCAGACTCAGAGATTGAACTCAAAATTGCCGGGAAACCAGATATGTATTAACCAATGCTTTAATCAACTTGGACAATCTGGAACAATCCAAAGATGTAAATCTGGATCTTTAGACCTAATGTCTGTATTGAGGTGGTGAAATATTTTTTAGTGACTCTGCCCCCATTTTTTTTTTTTTTAAATCAGAGGTCCCAGGCCTACTAGTATAGAAATGATTACCATTTAAGAGCCTCTTAAAAAAAATCCATCACCTGAATAGAGACAAGTTTAAGGCTCCAAAATTACACCACTAGATTGTCCAAGAGACACGTCTTAGCAGATAAAGTGTTAGTTAAAACATATCTGGTTGTATGACAGTTGCGGGCTGAAAAGTTACACTGGTTCAGTGGAAGAAACATACACACAATACAAAGATGAATAAAACTAGTGAGGATATGAAATATTGCATAAGCATAGAAGAATGAGAACAATCTACTCCTGTGGATTGAATAAAAAATTCAATTCAAAATGTTGACTATGTTACTGAGTGAAATGACTGATACATGAAGGTCAGAAGATACAAAGACCAAAATATTTCGAGCATAACAGTCAAGATGCCCATAATTGTCTAAATAGAAAGGTATATAATGATAATTTTTCATCTCTAAAATTCAGGCATAAATTAGCAGCAATATTAAAATATATAAAGCTGGGATTGTTTCATAATTCTCAGTTTCAATTTTATACTTCCAACTTACACTGAAAAGTGAATAGGATATTTTAGATGTCCTAGTATATTTAATTTTGTACCAATGTGAAGATTATTTGAGAGGATCAAAATAATTAGTTTTACTATTTTAATCACCTGAAATAATCTTCACATTGATACAGAATTAAATATACTAGGACATCTAAAATTTCCTTTTATTTCAAAGTAAAATACAATTTACAAAAATAGCAAACAAGATTGTAATTCAAAACATGTATTTTTCTTGAATTTCTTTAAAAAAAACAAAAAAAAAAAACAAAAAAAAACTTACTTCTTCTGGTCTTCTATACTAGGTGCTGTAAGCTGATAAATTTGTGGTCCTGTATTTGATGTATTGACAACAAAGAAACCCTTTTTATCTACAAAAAGAAAAAAAAATAATTAAGAGAGTATAAGCCTTTATGGTAAAATAACATGAATTAAAGCCTATTCCCAACACAATTACATACTTACATACATACCCTATTAAAACATGGCTAAACTTTAACCCAATAACAGACAATATTACAAGCATGCAAAAAGATTCTGCAATACAACACACACCGCTTAAATCAAAGTGCTTATTGGTTAGAAATTAACATCACCATATAAAATATTTGACCAATCCGAGAAAACTAAAAACCTAGAGCAGGGGTCGGCAACTCATTCAACTCCACGGGCTGGATCGTGTTATAATGACGGATCGTGGGCCGGACGAAGGACATTAATGAAAAATTAAGGAAAATTACATATGCAGACCCCTGTCAACCTAAATATTTAAAACCATAATGAAAATAAACATTGAGAAATCAGAAAAACAAAAGAAAATCTAAAATTAAAAAACACCTAACAAAAATTACTTTTCCTCAAGGAACGTCAAAATACTTCAAAGTGAAAAAAATCAACCGAAGTGAAATGAATGAAATTATGACATGTAGGTTTGAAACTGTTATTGAAAATTGTTCCACAAACTAACCACACACAGACACATCTAACAAAAACGAAGCACATATACCCATACATATGAGTACAAATAGTTGCAAACATATACACTTACATACGTACACATGCGGTATCATCCACACATTCATGAGGCATGTATGTATAATGCGCGTATGTTTAACTGTCTTTAGATTTCTGCTACCTCGCATGTCAGTCCCTCCCTGGCCTCTTTCACTTTATCGTTCCTTTCGCTTCTGTTATCTTTTAATGTAGCCAAGGGTCATAACAAATATGTATCCATCATTTGACATTAAACGTAGGCAATGCAACTTGGTAAAATAAGTCTCATGAAAGATAACTGGCAGATAGTCTAATATTTTTAGTGCACTGAGATGTGTAGACATTCTATGGAAAATGACATATAACAAATTTCATTTGAAGGTCGTCTCTCATGTTAAAAATAGAGCCATTAGTAATCAGGCTTGTGGGCTGGTCAAAATGCCTTCACGGAACGGATCCGGCCCGCAGGCTGCCAACCCTTGACCTAGAGCCTACTTTTGGGAAAAATTTCTTAAAAAACCCTGCAGATTTCAACTTTCAGATCAGAGAAGTGGCTTTCTCCAAGCCAAACACAAAGAGAGATATGCAACTGTCTCCATGCCATCACTGCGTAGCTTGTTTCCCCGTACCAGCATCTGCTGAAAAAAAAAAAGTGTTGACAACTTCAAACGAATCAGCTGCAACAACAATAGCTTGAAGAGTTAGTGAATCTTTGCTGACAGCCAGTTGGTGACTTCAAACAAATCATCTCCAATAACAAAGACCATCAGTGAATCTTTGCTGAAGATAAAAGCATTTTTTCAAGCACAGCTTTTTTTCTGTGGACCAACTACCCAAAGACTAAATCAACTAAAGACTATTTTTACTCCTTTTTGAAATCATGTATATATGCTTGCAAATACAAATGATTTATTTAGGTTTAATTTTATTTTATTATTGTTTGGAATTCAGACGTTCAGATTTTTAATATAAAAAAAAACCTGGATAACAGAATTTCCCAACATTGTTTTTTAATTTAGGAATACTTAGAAATATTTCGCACTAACTCTGACAGAAGTTAAATGATTATATTTGATTTAAAAAGCTTCTGCATATATTAAATGTAGCTTCAATGAATAAGATCAACATTTGTAGAGAAATGTGTATGTATTGAGAAAAAAAAATTAACTAATACATATTCACATCCTGCATTTTCTCCAATTGTAAATTAAATTCCTTTAAGAGTAAAACATTTTCAGATTTTAAAGTGGTAACAATTATTGCAAACTGGATTTGATTGTGGGAGGTGTATCAAAATGCTATAAATGTTAAATAGCTGCCTTAAGATACTATTTGATATAATTTCAGATATAGAATAGGTTAACTCAATGTTGAATTGATTCAGATTTGGTAATTAATTTATTTTTTTAAATAACTGAATACATTTTTCTAATCAGTTTTGTATTTATTTTAGTGTTGATAAGTTGATTGGCTCAGTTATTTTTAATGAGGTTAATATTGCTCCCAAGAGATCTAAAGTTAAGATGAAAATGTACACAAACAAATGAAAATGTATGATAGAGTTTTATGAGATTGTACAAATCATTGTGAAAACTCAAATTGTACACAGTTGCTGAAAAATATTAACAAAAAAAAACCAAACATAATTAAAAGTGACAAGAGGAAAACTTTAACTACAGTAGTCGGTGACATAAAACAGAAAAAATTAAAGAAAGAAATACTATAGAATGAGTTAACTGGTTATCACTCCTCACTCATCAGAACTTAATTGTGAAAATTAAAATATTGTGTACTCTGACTAAAAAAAAAAGGAAACATGTAGAAGAAAATACATGCATGTCAATAATATACTGACTCAGGTATATCTATAAACAAATCACATTATTAAGTCAGAACAACTAATCCTTTTCATTGCATAATGATAGTTGATTTGATATAAATTATCACAAAGACTTTTAGGTGATAGTTGCAATGTGATCTGCTCTAAACTAAGAACATGTCTTCATCAAAGGATGATGCACATTCCCAATTTTTAATAAGGAGACTGCAGACCCAGATGTGATGGAACACTTATGCAAATTATCCAGTTGACCATTTCTAATACACACTGGGACATGTAGAGCAATTCTCTTCTCCAAGAGTTCAGTGGTCCTGCATATGTTGTCAGCTTCACACTGACACGTAAATTATGGGACATGTTCAAAAAATAGATAGGCCATCTTTATGAACTGATTTCAACTTAGGTCCAGAAGAGAACATGATACACAAATTAGCCAAAAAAATAATACTGCCCAGCACTAGTAAAGATTTGCTAAGCAAAAATTATATAGCTTGCCTTTGAAATTTTCATAAAAACTGTGCTGCATCAAAATTCATCAAGTGAATTAAAATTATTATTGTTGTTATAATTTGATTTAGAGAAGAAATTATGAAATATAATCTTAGGTAGAAACTAAATTTAAATTAATGAATCAATGGCAGACATCCATTTTATAAGAGGAAACTGCAACCTGTGTGAACAATAGGTCATTTTTAAATCTTTGAAAATTGACATCATTGGATCATCCATATTTCAGGTTTAGAAATTTTTGATGACAAACAAATACCTCTTAAAATTTAGTATCTTGCACAACTGATGATTCTCAACTCTTGCTGGGAAAGTATAGCTGATATAACTATGCAAGGAAACAAGACTAAAGATAAAAAATACCAATCCAAATCTTGAGAATCTAATAGCAAAAATCAAGTACAAGTGTCAAATTAAATAAACAAATGAGATGTCATTTTAGTTTTATTAAGTATATTTGGAAAAAATTTTATTAAGAATTTTTGAAAGAAAATTGCATAAAAATGTGGGGTCATAAGGAAAAAAGTGATTGAAAAACCCTCTTTTAAAAGCTTTAAAAAGAGCATTATGTCTATTTTTATACCAATAGAGTTATTATTTGTTTCAATAATAAAAAAAAAAAATCACATGACTTTGTACCAAGTCATCTAAATGAACAAATGTGTTCATGTGTGCATATGATAATATTTAAAACTAAATTTAACTTACTTGTTGCAACGTTTCTTGTTAGAACATTGCCAATTTTTAAAATAGGGCTGTGTGTATATTTTTGTGGTTCAGCACCCTGTACCATAGTTGTGTCATGGCACTTGAGCACAAGCCGGTCGTCTTGCTTCTGCAAGAACACTAGTAAGTCCTCTAGTAACACAACATGTACATCAATTGTTTTATTTCGTGACTGGTTGATATGCCAGGTTAGGAAGCCATCATGGATCAACTTGTGTTTTGTCAAATCAAAATTCTGAAAATAAAATTAAAATATAAAAATGAAAATATGTCTTTAGTATATCATGTGAACTTATAGTTTAGCAAAATCATAACTAAATTAAAATAAAAATAAAAACACTTGTTGTGAAACAATATGATTTCTCACACATCCTTAGGAGATAAAAGGAAAAGGAATTTATCTACTTAAGTTAATTTGATTTCATCTCCAGTCCATCTTTGAATCAACTTAATTGCTAGAGTTTTCAGGATTCCTGTCTCCAGCCCATCTTTGAATTGGCAAATATAAAATTTTGTTAATGATTTTAGATAAAAGTAGAGTCCTTTAAAAAACTGACCACCCATCCAGTGTTTGGGCAGTCTATTTTTCCTGAAACACAAGTGGACGGATAGGAGGTAGGTTCTCAGCCAGTATCTATACAAGCAGAGAGAAGCAGGAGGTCAGCAGTAGGTGACCAACAGTGGGTAAGTGACCAGCAGTCAGTGAGAGAAGTTAGCACTCACTGAAACCACAGGCAGTGAATGTAAGGGTCCTCTTTCCATGATCAGAAGTTAGTAAGGTAGGAGTCCACTTCTTGAAGCTGAAGGAAGAATACCACAATTAAGTGAGAAATTGTATTGTTGCTATTTCCCAACCAGTGTCTTGGAAAGCATTTTCGTTATTCTTTATTGAATTCGATCACAGCCAAGAAGACAAATCTGTGAACATAGACCTGAAGATCCTGAAGCTGGACTGATCTCTTGTAACAGTTAATGACTCAATATAGAGAATATGTAAGCAAAGCTAATGCTGCCAGAGAATTAGACAGAGTGAGAGAGAAACATTGCCCAAACTAGCTAATAAAGTGCTAAACTTTGCTAAAATAGACTTTAAGGATGCTGTGCAGAGAAATGGAGTATTATACAGACAAAATTAGAAATACATTCATAAGGACTGATACAGCCTGGGCAGCTCCCAAAACACTTGCAGAAGCATTTATGGTGGCACAAAAGAATCATAGACTGTTTGAAAAACTGGAGGAGGGAGGGAGGGAGAGAGAGAGAGAGAGAGAATCTCAATGAAAGGGAACAATGGGGCCATGGTCAATTTATTCCTGAGAGGAATAGGCAGAAACCTCACCTAAGTCCCAGGCAAATGATTTGTTGAGAATGTGGACAGTCAGGTCAGCTAAGGAAGGACTGTACCCAGGGGAGGTGTGCATTCACTCTATTTGGTCAGGAATCTGATTTAACATGTAAGGCAACAGTGGCGTGGAAGGAAATAATGGCATTAATAGATACAGGGAGCATCAATGTTGATGATTAGAACTAGGGATTATTTTCAGCTAGGATTTAGGAAAAACAAGCTAGGTGTTACAAAACAAAAAAATTTTTTCAGGTGGATGGAAGGGAAATAAAGGTATTAGGATTAATACACTTTCCTGTAGAGGTGGGAGGAGCAGTCAAGGTGCAACAAATATATGTCCATGATAATAGGTAGGGACTGGCTTCAAAGTAATGAAGCGCAGATAAGCCTCAACCGATTACTTCTCCTGCTAAGGATGGGGAAAAAAGAAATACCCTTGGGTGGAAGGAAAATGTATCAGGTCATCCAAACAGGTGGACCTCATTTTGGAGAGAAGGAATTAGTTTGAACAGAATCCATCGTGAATGATGATGATAATGTTAGCCAGTAGTACTACTATAAGGGTTCATGAGGGAGATAAAGTAGAGAATCTATACCAGATATTACCAAAGGGGAGGTAGAATGTGCAGAAGACAGTGAAAGTAGCTATAAGAATTCCATAATTAGGGAGGGGGAGATATTAGCTACACATATGCACAAAGGGACAATAGAGTCATGGTGGCTGACTCAGATGCTGACTTAGGCCAGACAAAAACAGTAGAGATGAGGATAGATATGGATAATCACTCATCTATAAAGCTAATACTATACTGGACCCCACTGCATAAGTGTAAACTTGTACTGGAAGCAGAGATAAGAGAATGTTCCACATCATCATGGAGGGTTCTAAATAAGATAACCAAACCACTAGCCTACCCCATACCCTTGATTGATGACATATTGGTATTGCTGGGAAAGTCAACTTATTTTTCCACCCTTGATTTAAAGTCTGGCTACTGGTAGATAACCCTCAACAAAGCCAATAAGGAGAAGGCTGAATTTGCCTGTCATGTTGGACTGTACCAATTCAGTATTATGCTCTTCAGACTGGCTGATGCACCTGAAATTTTCAGCAGGTCATGTTTATAATGCTGGTGGTACTCAGTGTGAGAGTCTTGTTGCTATTCATCCTCATAATTTCATCCAGTGTGTTGAAATCTGTCATAGTCATAATCATCAGATCAAAGTGGATAATTAGTAAGAGTTACCTAGAAGAGTTGAAGTAAATTAGGAATATACAGGCCATAGACTGGGAACTGGACTTGTTACGAGTATGCATTGGAAAATCAGTGACTTTCAGAACTACCCTGCCCTTGGCCATTATCAAACTTCAGAAGGGTTGTTCTGCCCTTGGGAAATCCTTGACCTTACTATCAGGTGAATGAAAAATTTGAAACCAAAGACTCCTTTTTGGCCTTGGTGAATGTTTAGACTAGCAAGTATACAGGGGAAGGAAAACAAACATAACCGTATACAAATTACCCCAATTAGTAAAACCAGTAGATTTACACAAATTAGTAGACAATTTAGCGATGTGTACAGAAATCACCCTACCGAGGGGGACCAAACAGTAAATATTATAGTTTGGTTCTCACCAGGTAGAAACATAGTTATCATAGTGTTTTAGTGGGTTATGGGAGACATTGGATGAAAAAGCATATGGTACAAGCCAGTGAGAGAATGTGAAGGTGAAGAGAGGAGATTAATGGACTTTGTAGCCCCTCAGGAGACAGATTAGAGAGAGGCTATAATTTATAAGTGTGGAATTTGAAGAAAATAAAAAAATAAAGACATTTGTAGCCATCTATTCCACATTTTCTTTTTGGTGGGGTTTCTGTATTAAAAGGACAATGTGAACTTTGTTTTAATTTCAACCCCTTTATAAAAAAAATAAGGAAGAAAAAGAAGGGAGGGGGAGAAGAAATGTTCAGCCTTATGTATGTATGATGATTTTATACTATACAGAAACCCACCAGCAAACTGAAGATGAACATTGTTGTGGTACACACACACACAGATAAGACTCTTTTTTTATAATCTTGTGTGTGTTCTGTTGCAAATTGTTGTGACGTGATAAATGCAATTTCATTTGTTTTTATGTGAATTTTTTTAGTGTGTTAAGAAAAATAAAAGCAAGAAATGTAATCATTGTGCAGCGAGACATGGGACTTGTGCATCTTATTTTATGAGGAAGGTCATGTCATGACACTCCCCATTTTCTTTGTTTTTTGTCTTAAGGTAAAACTGGTTTTTCACTTCTGTGGTATAAATTATATCTGTATAACATTTAAAAGAGAAGGGGAGATAAAACAATAACTTACCCTGAATTCCTCATCAATATCAGGAAGGTTTTCAAACTGTCTTTTGTCCAACCGTCTTTGCAGTTCCCTAAGACGATGGTGGTTTTCACAGTCCTGCACAGCTTGGTTGACAAACTCTAAAATACGCTTACTCAGCTTTTGTGACTTTTCAAGCATCATGTATTCTTCAGTGTTGGCTAATAAGAGACAAAAGCAAGCATTAACATTAGAAAATTTATTGTATTTATTCAAAATTAACATTACTGTGAAGAGCAGCAAAATATTTTTTTAGATTTTTACTGTTATGAAGTAATTTAACATAAATTATAAAGAGAAAAGTTTTTGCAAAATATTTTTCTTACTGGTAGTATATTTCAGCAGATTTTCTATCAGTAGCCGGTATTTTGTAAGGCGTTGCATTTCTGCTGGAATGAGATCTTTCAGTTGTAAACGCCGACACATACTACTTGATTCAGCATCCTTTAAAAAGAGGAATTTTTCAAACTATTTATAGATGAAATAATAAAAGACAAAAATTATTTTTAAATTCATCAGTAAAAAGGTTAAGCACTTTCCAACCATAACTGTCAATGAAGGAATAGGTTATACCCAGAAACCTCAAAATTTGAAATGGATATCTTATTAAAAAAAAAAAAAAAAAAAAAAGCAACAATGAAATAAAATTTATGATTCTAAGAAAAGTGAATTTATTTCAATTTCTCCAAGTGTAAGATAATTCAATGATTATTATCATGAACTAATTTTCACAAAATATAAGTTGAAGTTACTGTGACTGATAAAATGAAGACAGGTGTGATCTTTCAAGTACAGTATTAAGCAGCTACAAATACATAAGAAAAAAAAAGTTGTATATTCAGTCCATGCTGAGAACAGTTCTTATTGGGAGGTATTGGTTTTCAAAGATTTATATTGAGGGAAACATGCTAGAGCCTCTAAATTAAAGTTTACTTTATAATTGCAGGTAAGTGAAAGTGAAATTTGTTTTAAGATTAATGACTCCTAGTTCATGGTGGTATAAGTTTGCAGAAGGATAATATCTATCTGCATGCCCATTTGAATGGAACACATGTTTTAAAGTGAGAATCCCACATGTACATGAAATCAGTCACAAAAATTGCTCAACTCTCATGGCACTTACCTATTGGGACACTTCAATTGACTCTGACCTGGCTTTCTTAGTACAATTAGAGAAGTGCAATCCTTGAAGATGCCCCACTCCCCATCCCAAGTTGTGCATATGTTTTATATATATTTTTTAATTCAGTATTATTATAATTGAGCCCCAACTATAAATATTCAGGGTTGATTGCAAAAGACTGACTGAGACAGAAAAATGCAACTTATTTATTTAAACTTTGTGAAAGAGTTCATATGTAGAGAAGATTCTAAAATACCATTTTAACAAAAATCTTTATTTAAATTTGACAATTTATGTGGGGAAATTGAAGATGCAATTGGTGATTTAATACAGACATGATTTCACTGAAACTTTTGATATATGTACAAATCCTTTCAGATAAGTATATTCTGAAAAAAAATGTAATACAATTAGCTTATTAACTATAAAATATCTTCTGTAAGTGGCTTTGTACATTTGAAATATGATGTAATATACAAAAAATTAAATTTACTGTATTTTGCTATAATTCTATCTTGGCAAGATCAAATATTATCAATTGTTTACCATGTCAAGAGAAGGATTTCCTTCAATAGATAGTAGATCTGAAAATAATTTCATAAGCAAACAATAATGAATCATTAGAAATGATGTTTAGTTATTCAAAAGAAAGGTCATTTGATATTTAAAGTTTGAATTTATAGCAATAAAAAAGATACTAAAAATACCACAAAGGATAGTGAAAATAGAAGTCTGAAAAGAGTAGAAAATCAGTATTAGAATACTACTATTCTGAAATCTCTAAAAAGAAAATTATAACTATAAAAAACTCATTTTATCTTCAACAAAAAAATCCTTCCTAAATGCAAATTCTATGTATAGATATGCTGCAAAAATATCATCACTTTCTCCAACAAAACCATCATCAGTTGGAGACTCTTGAGTCAAGAATACCTTTACCACAAACCCACTAATACAATTAATGTTTCACAATGTAAGAGGTCATCAAAGTTTTTCTACATGGTCTATCTCCCTGTTTTGAATATCTGACAGCTGTATCAAGGTACTTGCTCTCCTTAATATGGATATTTCTTCTGTTCTTTATCCTCTCCTTTGACCATTGATATTGTGGACAGTAACCAACTTCTGATCAGCCAAATGCCATAGCACCAACCACTTCTTTCATTCAGACATGGTTCTGCATTCTCTAAAGAAGGGATTCCCAACTTTAGGTGTCTGCACCTCCAGGAAGTGTGAGATGGAATTTCACAGGGTGTGACATTGAGTGATGACTCATCACTCAGCCAGCTTTGAGAGGGCATCCAGTTTTGTTTATCCATACAGAAGTTCATTGATTTTCAATGAGAACAAGCTTCAACCTGTTTTTTGAACTGCTGGAAGAAGTCAAAATCTGAAGGAGCATGAATGTAATCTGGTTGGAGCAATAAAATCAGCAATTTGCATGAATGACCTGAGTGTTTCTCTTCAAGGAAAATGGATAAACATATTGAAGGCGTGGGAAAAGTTGAATTCCTTGAGATCTGAAAATTTCTGAAGATCATAAATCTATATTCCTACAATTTGGAGAATATGTTAGATGAAGAGATGCAGGGAGATCTTATTGATTTGTGGGAAAATCATTAAGCTCTTGAAATGCAATTTGAAAGCAAGACTTTGGAGGAGTTTTGCAGCAGAGCACTGGATATGTTCCCTAGACTTGGTGGAAAAGCTCTCCACACCCTTATTCCATATGCAACAAAATACTCATGTCAATCTGGGTTCAGTTCTCTTTTATCAGTCAAGACAAAATTTAAGAATAGCTTGAATTCACAGATAAACCTGTGGATCATTCAGCAAGATGGTACATGTTTTGATAAAATTATGAATGAGAAGGAGCAATGAGGTAATTGAATTTTACATTCACATTTGTGATTCATTTTACTGTTTACAAGGTTTTTTTTAAAAATTAAAATCTAATTGTTCAATTTACATTGTATTTAGCTTATTTTTGTTAAATTCAATTTGTTAACTTGCATTAATGTATGTGGTTCTAAAATTATATTAGTCTTCAAATGTAAAAAATTATAAATTAATAACATTGTCACATTTTTAGGTGGTGTGAACATTCATCAAAGATTTCCTAAAGGTGTGAGGCTTAAAGTTTAAGAACTACTGTTTTAAAGCATCCCTGAAATTCTATTTCTTTCCAGTTATGATGGATGATTGAGTACTTTTCATAAGTAAATTTCATCTTTTTAACTATTTCATTATTTTTTTTATTAAGGATAGACTGTAGCATTTAATTGGCTTAATTCTTACCCTTGTTGAATCTGAAAGGTCTTGTAAATGGACTATTAGATGTTTCATATGCCATTTTGACTAAAATGGACATTACATTAGCCATAAAGGAAAGACAACATTCTTATTTCTATCATTCACTATATAGTCCACTGTACTCTAATATTGTCATTACTAATACAAAAACAAAATTGAAGAAATTGTACAACCCATCATATGATACTCACCTCCTATACACACTCACAAAACTAGACTTTTTTTATTTAATTATTCAAAATGAATGATTGAATTTTAAATAGATCATAATCACATTAATAAGAGTTTGTAATGTTTGTAATAAAAGAAAAATGCTTACCATTAAAAACTGAGCAAGTCTCTGGTCTTTTCTTTGTTTTAGCCGAAGTGTTTCAAGAGCTGATGACTGATTTCTACAGAAAATTGCACAGTTCTTTTTAAATTCTTCTCCATCTTCTCCATCAAACTAAAATGGTTATAAGCACAAATAGCAAATTTATATTTTACTTGGAAATTTAAAATAAAATATCTCTAAAAGCTAGAAGTCTTAAAATTTTGTCAAATAAAACAGTAAGAATCATCCAGCAAGTAATTTTTACTGAGAGCTGATGAATAAATTTTCAAAACATGAGATCAATAATTTTAAAAATTTTGTGTTTTATGTTACATGAAATAAATATAATTCATTAATAAAATAAATCTACTGACTAGGTATGCTCTTAATTTTTATGCAAATTAAGTTCTGTTATGTCAAATATAAAAAGGAGTAAAAAAAAAAAAAAAAAAAAGCAGAAAATCTATATATAAATTTCATAAATAAAAATCTTTTTACAACTTATGAAACATATAGAGTAAAAGAAAGATTTATTACTCTTTTTAAAAGAATGTCTCCAACTCCTGATATCAATGGACTTTCTTTTCGCCTGGTTTTCATTGCCTCATTCAATTCCCCTGTGACAAGAAAAACAAATTAAGTTCACATTCAGCAAATACAAAAAACATTTTTAGAAAGCTTTATTTGTGAAATGGGTCATTTTTATTTAATTTTTCCAAATACTCTATTTTATTTCTTGCTTATTTCCACAGATTTTAGCTGATCCATTTTTTGACAGCTGTTAATCATCTACTTCAATTAGATGCAAAAGGTACACTATTAATCACATTTATTTAATAAATAATTTAAAATATAACCAAAGTCAATTTTTATTTTAATACATTGCTGAAGCTTATATTAAAAAGTGCATTTCATACATTTCTTAGCTGTAATAACCATGGGCCAATGTTAGTACAGGTATATCACATGTGCTAGTTGTATTTACTCATTTGGTGTCTGTGTCTCAATTTAGGATTAAGTTTGTTTTGTCTTTTTAATTAATGTATATACATTTTTTAAAACTATTATACAGTTAAGATGACAGTTTAGTGTAAACATAACTTTTATAAGCACTGAGAAACTAAAATATTTGTGATTTGTTGTATTGCAATTTCTGAGATAATGCCTGTATCTAGCAAATCACTAAATCTGTTTTATTTGCTTGCAATAATATCCAAAATGTAGATTATGCTACCCCCCACCCAACCCAAACAATAGGAAGATACTATATGAGCTTAAATTCAAAATAATATAGGTAACCAAAATGTTTATTAAAGATCAGCATTGTTACTCTTGTTGCTTCCACCACAACACCATGCACTCCAACCATTGGTGCATGATGTGTCCATGTAATCTTTCAGTGTCACTTACTTTCATCCTTACTACTTCCTTAGGAGAAAAACAATTCAGTATGGAATCACTGTTAAACACTGTCTGTATTAAAAAACATGTCTAAGTGCTTATTTTTCAGGTTTTTATTTTATGTTTGGTACATGAGCAAAAGACTTTAATGAAAAAGCAAATGATTATCAAGTGCAATACTGATGACTATTAAAATATTTTATTCATATTTAAAGATAATAATCTGAAGGAACTTGAGGTATCAACACTTGATGTTGAAAATATCTGTGGCTAAGGTTATGATAATGGAGCCAACATGAAGGGACACACCTCAAATGTACAAGCATGACTCCTGCAAATAAATTCTAGAACATTTTTCACACGTTGTGCATGTCATAACTGTAATCTTCTGTTGGGGACATGGCCAAAATTTGACCAGATACTATAATTTTCTTTGGCACATTACAATGAATATACACCATTTCTTCCTCACCCACAAAAAGATAGAAAATTTTCAGAAGTAATGTTACTGGTTCATCTGTAAAACTGTTGTCAGAAACAAGGTGGGAATTTCAGATAGTGTAAAGGCCATCCGATACCAAGCCTCTGAAATCTGAGTTGCTTTTAAAGAGCTGGCTACTACTACTGATGGTCCCCTTGTCAAAAGTTATGTCCAGTCCTTGGTGAATGAAATGAGAAATTACAAGTTCCTCATGACTAGTATTCTGGTAATCATTGCTCTTTCAGGTAAATTTTATGAGCAAAGAGCTTCAAAGTGAAACCATGGATGTAGCAACAGCTCTGAAGGCATTTGAAAATCTCTGCAACTGGTTAAAAACATTTAGAGAAAAGGGCTTTGAGGAAGCATTGGTTGATGCCATGGAACTGGCTCAAGACTTTGATGTTGAAGCAAGCTTCAAAAATGAAAACAAGTATGAACATAAGAGATGACTGATTACAAAACAGTTGATGAACCTCTGTCAGACCCAAAAGAAAAATTTAAAGTGCAATGCTTTAATCAGGTAGTGGATAAAGCTTTGCAAAGCCTTAAAACTCAATTTGAACAGCAGACAAAAACACTGAGTTGTTTGGATTTCTGTGCAATTTTCAAGATATGCCCAAAGAAAATGTGCTGTGGATTTGGAAAGGACTTTAACTTATTTGAAATTAGTCCATGTAACAAAAGGAGTCATAATGAAAATGGCTGATGTCGATGGAATTATTATTATGAGGGAATTGAAGCAATAAAGCCAATTATCCCATCAGAAGTTACAAAATCCTGTGAAAATAGTAGAGTTTCTTGCTTGCAACAATAGATCTAAAGCATTTCCAAATCTCTTTATTGCTCTTAGAATTCTTCTTACCAACCTAGTGACAGTTGTATCTGAAGAAAGGCAGTTTTCTAAGCTCAGATTCATCAACACTTTCCTGAGGTCAACAATGAGTCAAGAACACCTAAACAGTTTGTGTATCATGTCAATAGAGTGTAAAGTGGGCAGAGAAATGAGTTTAGATGAGATCTGGAATATAATATTTGTGCACGTAAGGTATATTTCAGCTGATATTAATAAAATACATAATTTTAAAATACACTTTCCTTAATCGTTGGTTTATCATCATAAAGACAAAGTTTTAGGGGCCTGCCCTATTGTATCCAATTGGGCCCCTAGAGCCGGGCATGTTTTCTGCCATTGTCTTTTTGCTTTAATCAGTGCCAATTATTTTGTTTATTATTAGTGTAGATAACACATAATTCATGCGACATTTCAAATTGAATGCTACCAATATACAACATGACATTATGGAACAACAAATTTAACAACATACTGATAGATTAAAATTTACTATTAATAGCTAATTTGGCTTTCAAGTGGAATTAATATAAAAAATGAGATGATATTTGTTCATGAAGAATTAAAAAATAAGGTAAGAGAGATACTTACGATGAAGTGAAATTATTTTTTCTAAATTTGGGAATAATGCTTTCACAAGCTCCTGGGATATATGCTCTGTTTTCAACATTGGCTTATTAAATAATTGGTCAAGGATTTTCATGTTTCTCATGTGAGCACGTTCAGTATGGAGGAGTTCTAGAAAACAAAGTAAATTTTTTTTTCTCTTATAATTAAAAAAACAAGATGGGAGAGAAAGACGAGACAAAAGTTATAAGAGAGAGGAAGAAGGTATAGAAGGAGATAGAAAAGCAGTAAGGGAGGAAAAGTAAAAGAGAGAAGAGAAAAGACAAAGAAGAGCGAGACAGACAAGAGGAGTTTGGGAGAGAAAGAAAGTGAGATGGGGATTGGGAGAGAGATGTAAGGTGTTGAGAGAGAATATTTTACCATTAATAACTTCTTGTCGTTTCTTTTCCTTTGGTTTCATTTTTCTCAGAATATCATCAGAGAGGATTTCATTCAGATGGGGTAAATCTGTTTGCACCTCCATATCAGAGTCATCATTAAGGGAAGGAGTAGAATTAATGGAGACATCATTAACAGCTTCATTGGAATTACTTGGACTGTCAAGACTCCTGAAAAGAGTAAGCTCTACTTAAGCTAGGCTTTGATGCGAGAAGACCATAACAATGTCAACAACAACAATAAAAAAAAAAAAAAATGAAGAAGTATTCTAAAAACTAGCAGTAGGACATTAAGGATTCATGCTGAAAAACAAAATTAAATGAATAAAACAGTTATTTTAAACAAATTTTATTTTAAAATGCAGTGTGATAGCTGATGAGACACCAGAGTAAAAATTTAAATATGAATCTTATTGAGAATTAAATTCTACTTCAAATAAAGTAAATGGAAAATTTGAGGTGAAGCATGACAAAAAGCCAATGTTAAAAAAAGATTTATACATTTGACATTCTCTATTGATTGCATTTACATAGCTTTATTTAATTTCTTTTTAGATTTCATAAAAATATTATCAAACATATCTTGCTTCTTTATCTTAACAGAAAAAAATTGAAACTTGAAGATCTGAATTTGTGCTGAGCTAAAGATTTGCAAAAAAAATAGAAGCAGAAATATTCAGTTTTAAATAAGCTTTGCTTAAAACAAATAAAAATCACATATATTATGGGATGCTATAAATTAAACTAATTTGACAATGTATTTGTAAAAGCAGAGTGAAGGAAAGAAAATTCAACTAATTTTTCAGGAGTTTTACTTGCTATGTCTTTTTTTAACTATGGCAACATGCAGGGATTCAAATGAATCATTTATTTACAAATGTGTTCAACTGTGTTTTTGTGATACAAACTAAGCTCATGCTAAACTAATTATTAAAAAATTATTTATTTATTTATTTTTACAAATGAAACCAACACAAGATTACAAGGAATATGTCAACAGATAATAACAGATTGATAAAAAGTAATCTATTAAACTTTTAAAAAGTGAGAGCTGGTGCTTTATGAACTAACACACTGCTAAATAGGAGTTAAAGCATAAAACATTGGCATTGATACAGAAAAAGCATAAAACATTATTGAAAGATTTAAGAACATTTTACTTTCAACCACATACACAGGTGTGTGTGTGTGTGTGTGTTTTGTTAAATGCAACTGACCAAGATTTCCTAATGGTGATCACACAATACCAAATTACTTTTTAAAATTTCACTATTTGCTTAATCAAAAAAAATTAAAATAAATAAAATATAAAAAACAAATAAATAAAAGTATAAAGTCCACATAATAGTGAGAAATTTGATAAATTTGCTTAACATTGAAAAATTTAGCAACAGATATGTTATGCTCAGAGTAAGTCAAAGTTATAAAAAGATCACCATCATTAAGAAATGTTGGTAAGTTATATTCAATGAAACAAGTTTCAGTGAATCTGTTGGTTTATATATCATCACATGCACACACACAACACCTATTATTCTCAATATTCCTTTTGTTTTTCACCAATTTTCATAAGATTCAAGCTATTTATGAAGCAAATACTGTGAAAAATTTGAGAAAAGGATTATGAAGTCAAGATGAAAGGTGTAATAAAGAAAAAGAAAGAAATATTAATTCAGGATTTGAGTGAATAGTGAAGAATGAAGTAAAATTTTAAATTGAAAAATTAGCTAAGTGATGTATAAGGAGGTGCTGAAAAATTCTCAACCTAACCAACTTCCAAAAATCTGATCAAAAGACTAAACATTTTTGAAGAGCTTTTTGGTCATGCTGAGAACTACTCATAAAGTGAAAGATTCAAGCTGTTTATTATAAATCTGTATAATCTAACTTTGAATAAGCTTTCTGGTACAAGAATATACTTATAGAATATCCAAGGGCCAGATCATATTTACTATTAAACAGCTTATGAGATAGAAATGTTTTCCATTGTACTCTTAGCAAGTGTACTGTGATTTTGTACAGTGGCTGAGTTTTCTTGTTGAAAACTGATAAAAAATACATGCTCACAATTCATCTGCTTCACTGAAAAAGCAATTTTTATTTTGATGTCCATTTTGTTTTGAAGACAGATATAAAAAATTGATAATTATGAAGTTCACTGAAACAACTTACCCTTGTCAATCTGCACATTAAAGAAGTGAATTATTTTAAATCTGAAACATTTTAACTTAAAATTATCTAATTTCTTAACAGAAAGCATGAAATGCTAAAAGATTTAATTTAGGGGCATTTTGGATCAAAGTAAGTTGTGTTAATGTTTAGAAAGTTTTCAAGTATTTAAATGCTGGAAAGATTTGTGAACATTAGTCTTATGTTAGATATACATGTTGCACAAGAAAAGAAGATATAAAGAGAGAAAGACGTCTAAACTTTTCAGTCAACTTCTTGCAATATTCCAGCATATCATGCTACAGCAAATATTTCACTAGATTTGCTTCATTCTGCACAAAACTTTCCAATACTTAGCAAGAGAGTAAAAAGGAAAAATAAAAAGAAGCCAATCTAATTATCATGCTTATTGATAAGTCATAAGGATAACATTTAACCTGTGGTATAAATATGTAAGCATCAAGATAAAGTGTAAGACAGAAAATATTGATAAAACAAATTACAAGTAAAGCTGGCAGGCAAGATGACAACTACAATTGCTTCCAGAATTATTTCTGGGACAATTGGTATCATTCTAAATTTAAAAAAAAAACATTTTATGGTTATTTATTACATTTTGTAATTGTTATATGAATGTATACAGTAAACAATTATTTGTACTCAAATAAAAGATCTGATTATGAATATTGAAGGTTTGTGATACAGGCCATACCAAATGAAAGAGTGGTATTCCATTCTATGTCTACAAATGTACAAATTTGTATATACAGATGTTATGTGTGATGGAAAGATGTTGAAGCAGGATGGGACATTTTTATCTCTTTTTACCTGAAAAAGTAGTTGAGATTTCTGCTCTAAATGGAGTGTAGAATACAATGAATGTTTTAGATATGAAAAAAATGATTATATTTAGTGATATAATAACTATGAGACTAATTATACTCCTAATATGAAGGAAATATGTGTTTTGAATTGACAACTTTTCAAATTATAAAAGTTTCCTTTCAAGCTTTGTTTGGACAATTGAACTTCAAGTAAATAAAAATAAAAAATATGAATAAAAAAAGAGGTCAATTGTCTGAACAAAGTTTGGAATGTTAATGATGTCTCAAAGTTAAAGATAATTTACTGTACAAGTTTAACTTGAAAACTTGTAAAGTGTTTAGAATTATTTTAGAATAGTTAATGAAACTTTTAAGTGCTGTGTTGCAATAGAGTTGACAATTTCTATTCTGTTTACATGGGAAAATGAAATATTAGTATTTTCATATATTACTTCACACACAAAGTTGAAGTTTTTGTTATCTAAAAATTATAAATACTATAATAAAAATATTATCTCCATCTTGTGGTGAGTGTGTATATAACTGATTTTATTAGAATTGAAATATCAGCTAAACCCAAATAAGAAGTTTATTTTAAGGATTTAAAATTAAATATCTACTAAAAAATTCACATACACTGAGCATTTAAAGAAATCATTTCATCAAATTGTGTAAAAATTAAGTTAATCAGAAGTGTCACTAAATTGTTCATAAAAAAAAAATAAGATACTGTAAGTTAGTACAGAATTAGTTAATAAAAGGGAAATACAAAGTAATTCCGCTATAAAAAATAGTTTATAAAAAAGATTAATGTATTTTATCTGAGAAAGAAAGAAATGAAAACCATGATGAACTGGTTAGTATTAATTATCATTGCAATGTTTGCTAAATGTATGACAGTTTTTGATAAATGAGCATGAAAATGAGCAAGTTGAAGAGAGAGAGAAAACAATTATAAATAAAATAAAAGATTCAATAAAAATTACCCCAGATCAAATATTTTTTGAGTCACATGCATTGAGAATCAATGTTCAGTTTGCATGTTCAGGAAACTGTTTTGTTAATTTACTTTTTTTAAAAAAAAAAAAAAAAAAAAAAATTAAACTACGTTGTAAGGAGTTTATACAATAAAGAATAATTATATTTGTTTTCAATAATAGGTAGGAATTATGCGAAGATAGCATTTTGTTTACACATTATTTCAAGTATTTCTAAATCATTATTTCAAATAAACTTTATAGCTTTAATTAATGAACTGCTTTATTTCCTTTCAAATCAGTAACTGAAAAATAGTTAACCATGAGAGATATTTGAATAACTGATGGATGCTTAATTTTATGCTTATCATTCATTATCTTATTTCTGTGATTTAAACTATCTCAGTAACTTAACAATTAAGTAGTGGGTTGTAACAATGATCATGGGTTTTAGTTCTTCACCTTTTTGCATAAAAATTTTTCTCAGAATCCTGGCTGTTCCAAGCAGTGCTGTTTTCTGAAGAATCTTTAAGTCCTTGCAAGCAGGTTTCAAATCTTGTTACATTTCCCAACTTTCTTTCACAACTATTCTTACATCCCCTGTTACCACTATGTAAATGATCCAACACTGGCTTTTTTGCTTCAATTAGATTATTGCAATAGATTACACAGCACTTATTTTGATTAACCACATTACTTAGGATTACTTCATTATTTATGTGAATATAAAAACAGTCTTATTTGGCAATAATATAAGTTACAAATGGCTAGAAATAGCACTTTTGATCATTTATATCTAATTTGCTTAAACATTGGACTGACTATTGTTTCTCATTATGTAGCAATAATTGTAAGTAAAGTGATGCACTAAAATAAGTAACCAAATAATCGTTTAAGTTCTCTGAATATCAGTACCTTATATTATCATGCTGAAGGATGAAATCAGAGAAGCTTCACACTCATTTTCCGCTACTGCAAGTGGTTTATTGCTCATACCACTTTTATTCTCTCTCCAATTAGTATTTACAACATAGCATCCAATGTACAATGTTCTATATTGTGTTTCCATTTATACTCTCATTGTGCCAACATAATATATTTACTTATACAATTCAGTCTTCTCAGCTTTTTCACATATTCTGAACAGTGCAGAATCCAGTTTTGTCAACAATATTTGACATAGTTGGTTCTCAAGGCTTGCTCTTGTGCAATAAATATCAAAGATTTTGTTCCATCCTTCAAGCCTATTATTATCAAGTTGCTTATTATTATTATTATTATTATCATCAAATGATCAAATTTTAATTTCCAGAATTAACATTCCACTTGTTTCTGGCTATAGATGAACTGATTTTTTTTCAACTTCTTATAATTCAAAATTCTGTAGAAATAGTAAAGTTCCTATCAATTAATAGCAATTATCCACTTTTCCAGAAATAATGACAAATAGGTGATAGGTTTTTCTTAGGTAAGTGTATGCACATTGGAATAATAACTATAAAGCTTATTTCAGTAAAAACATAACACTAATGCTTTTTATTTTTTCTGTCACTGTCTCAGGCAGAGAGGCTTCAAACACATTAGAATTGCTTTGGTTCTATACCAATTTCATATTTCTCCACTTTTCAAACATCTAAGGAAAAGTGTCAAAATTAATGACACTTTGTATATATTCTTGTAAAAATCATAGATACAATTATATATACTTATAAGCTCATTTAAAGTAGACACATAAGAGGATGAAAATATCTGATAGGGGTAATAAAAACATTCAACAAGACTTGTAGTATTCAAGATGAACTTGGCCATGTTCAAAAGAGATTAGCTAAAGAATAAGGGATAACTGAAAAGAAGGTAGTTTGCCAAGTTTTATAACTACATATGTATAACAAAAAATTGAAATTTCATTTTGTTTGGGCAACTGAACACTTTCTTTGGGTTCTAGGTGTTAGCACATTTTGACTGAATTATTCAGTATTTTTCAGGAGTATAATCTGTAAGAACGAAGCAGAGGAACTATTCAGAAAATAGTGACAGAGAAATGGTTGAGAATAAACCTGCTGGATCAGGCCATTACAGCAAAATGAAATACATAGATAAAACTTTTACTGTCAACTGTGTAACTAAGTGATTGCAATCTATTACAAGTTCCCCTAACAACTTTTCAAAGAAGGCAACATCATGAATCAAAACATGCTTGACTTATGCACCTAGCTGAAAAGATGTTGCCCTTTTCACTTTTCTCACCCTCCAACAGTTTTCTTTGTAAATTATCTGGACTATTTGAGAGTGAATGCACTTTCTTCTCCAAATATGGTCTGCCATACCAATTTTTTCTATTTCCCCTTTGGCTATAACTTCACATTCAACAAGTCTGAATAAGGGGATGGATGGTTTTCTAATATGTAAACTTTTCCACTTCTGTATAGGATACTATAAATGCAAACAATAAGGAACCAACTCTAATAAGGAGATTGTGAATAATGGGTTTACAACTAAAAAACATTCCAATATTGCAATGCCAACAAGCCAATAGAATCTCTACGAGTGTTTTCTTCTGGTTTCATATATCCTGATGGGATCATCTGAAATCTTGTGCTGACAATATCAAAAACAAAGGAGTTCAATTGACCAAACAAGATTTGGAGTATTAATGTCTCTTAAAGTTATAAACAGAAAATATTTCATAGAATCATGTAAAATTTATGAAATGTTAGTGATACCAGTGTCCATGTATATCAATACTAACAAAATATATGCATATTAAAGAGATGCATTATTAAATTTCTCATAAAAATATTTGTAGGAAACCTTTTATTTCCCCAGTAATATATGGGCAACTAATAAGTGAAGATACAATACAAATGATCTAAATACAGAGTGTGACAGTGAAAACTATGACAAATATTTGTACTAGTGTAGGCAATGTGAGGGTGTTGTCCATAAATGAATGTTTCAAGGTGTTTAAATTGAGTAATAAAAATAGCTGTTGCTATCTATTTTCTTATAGGTTCTCCATGAAAAAAAAACAAAATGCATCTGGCTAAATCATCACAAATTATTTCATTATAAAATCATTGCAAATTTCTATGATAACCATTCTTCTAAAAAAACAGTAAAAAAAAAAAAAAACAAAAACAAAAAAAAAAAAACAACCAAAAAACAAACCTTTCATCAAATATTGACCTTAGACTTGTAAAATAGATCAATTAAATCTTTCAGTTTATAATTAATATAAGCAACCCTTATTTAGCAAACCATACACAAAAATAAAAGAAAAAAAATCTCTCAAGTTCAAATGATATCCTTAATCATATATTTTGCTTATAAACCTGGTCAATTACAAATTAAATTTGAAGTGGTTAAATAATCAAATCTAAATATACTATACAATGAAAAAATAAACTTATCTTTTATGCTGACTGTCACAACATTCTATTATTATAGTATTAGTAAGTAAATAAATTATTCTTTATGTGGCTTGTTCATACCCAGTCACACATAAATTGCACAAAAATGCTGTTGCTAGGAAATACCTGAAGTATTTTTATTCAAACCAGACCTGGTATCAGACATAGGTCATTTTTACCACACATCTAGATGTCTAAGAAAACAATATTCACTGATTTTTTTTTTTTTGTTGTATTCCAAAACAAGTTAGCGATATATCAAATATTAGCAACATATACGATCACATGCCTTAAGAGCATAAATAAAGGGAAAGCACTAATGTGGGGATATCATATACCTACCCAAAAAGCTTGTCGCTGAATTTCCTGAAAAATTCAACAACAATAATAACAGACATTGACACAAAGAAGTGAAGATAAAATGGTGTACAGAAATGAATGAAGAAAATTTCTATTGGTTACAAATACAGAAGCAGCACTGTAACCCTTCCAACAAAATCCTGACAGGCTCACAAAAATCTGAGATGGATATTTTAATAAAAATATTGAAATCTAAAAAATAAATTGTCTAGGTAGTTGTTCAAATGCATACACACACATGCAAGTGAGTTAGTGAGTACTAAAATGTTCTCAGTCCAACACAATTTCCAAAAATTAGTATTCTGATTTATGATCCTTAAAATATTGACTTTAGAAAGTGGGTTGAGCCAATGACTTTTCAACACCTTTTTGAATGCAATGAAATAAAATGAGCGTTATTTTTTATGTTTTTATAATTTAACTGGTATATTTTATTGTTTAGTAGTTAGAAACTCAACCATGTTTATAGATTCAAAACCCTCTTTCTTTATATTCTAACTTAGCCTGCAGTATTGAAAGGGTTAACAGATTGAGACAAAAACGTTTCAACTTAATCAGTACCAATAAATACATTCACTTTGAGCACACAAACTAAAAGATCACTAAATCACTAAACTTAAAGAGAAACAAAATCTAACAGAAGAAAATTGAAAACATTCACAATAGGAATCACAGAAAAACAAATATCTAAAAAAAGAGAAACAAATTGAACATTTTAGTCTCACAGAAAAGGTAGTGGGTTATTTCTAGTAGTGAGGGAAAAATATACATGGATAATTTTATAATCAAGCTGCTTTTTTTAAAAAATATACCAAGAGATTTATACATCAGTAAATCACAATACACAATGTACACAAAATAATTAGGATATCTGTATGATTAAAACTACTTCAACTATTTAATATTCAGATTGAATGTATATTACATACAAAAATCAGCATATTTTCAGCATTTTTATACTCCCTCCCCAACACAAACTTAGATATTAATGAATAAAGAATCAAAGATGAAAAAACTGAATTGAATGAAAATGTTTGTGTTAAACAGATGTATGAATGAGTGCTGAAGAGTTCTCCATTCAAGACACTTCCTCAAATCTAATCAAATGATCAAATATGAGAATTTTTTTAATACCTTCTTCAATGGGCTGTAAACTTTTCAGCACTCCTTGTAAATAGTAACAAAAACATAACCAAACTCACCAAGCTAAGAAGTATCAAATGTAAATACAAGTCTTTCATAAAACTTATATTAAAATAGTAATTTATATTATATAGAAAAAATTAAAGAATACAGAAGATATATAATTGAAAATTTGCATCATATTTCATTTGATTTTCCAATCTTTATCTGATGCATACATATTTCATTAAGTTGGCAGATTCAGCCATGAGATGATAGTACTCTCATTTTGTGTTATGAAATTTCTTTAAATTTTCTTCCTTTACTTTAAGATGATTGTAATATCTAACCACACACACTTTAAATTGAATAATAGTTCCAATTTACCTAATTAGATGTAGCATATTTTTAAGTTATAACTTAAATATTTAGGAAGATATATTTAAACTAGGAACAAACATATATACACTATTTTAAAAATACTGAGCTGAATGCACTGAAATATAAGGGGAATATCTAAAATTCTTTTTAATTGCTTACTCTTTTTACCATTACAGTACAATGTACATAGATTTTAATTATTAAAGAGGGAAAGTGGGAGAAAAAAGGAGAGGGAAAGTGGGAGAAAAAAGGAGAGGGAAAGAGGGAGAAAGAGGAAAGACAACAGAAACAAACGAAAAGGAGAAGAGAAAAGGAGAAAGGAGAAAGAGAAGAGAAAAGGAGAAAGGAGAAGGAGAAGAGGGAAAAGAGAAGAGAAAAGGAGAAAAGGGAAAAGAGAAGAGAAAAGGAGAAAAGGGAAAAGAGAAGAGAAAAGGAGAAAAGGGAAAAGAGAAGAGAAAAGGAGAAAAGGGAAAAGAGAAGAGAAAAGGAGAAAAGGGAAAAGAGAAGAGAAAAGGAGAAAAGAGAAGAAGAAGAAGAAGAAGAAAAGGAGAAAAGAGAAGAAGAAGAAGAAGAAAAGGAGAAAAGAGAAGAAGAAGAAGAAAAGGAGAAAAGAGAAGAAGAAGAAGAAAAGGAGAAAAGAGAAGAAGAAAAGGAGAAAAGAGAAGAAGAAAAGGAGAAAAGAGAAGAAGAAAAGGAGAAAAGAGAAGAAGAAAAGGAGAAAAGAGAAGAAGAAAAGGAGAGAAGAAAAGGAGAAAAGAGAAGAAGAAGAAGAAAAGGAGAAAAGAGAAGAAGAAGAAAAGGAGAAAAGAGAAGAAGAAGAAAAGGAGAAAAGAGAAGAAGAAGAAAAGGAGAAAAGAGAAGAAGAAGAAAAGGAGAAAAGGAGAAAAGAGAAGAAGAAGAGAAAAGGAGAAAAGAGAAGAAAAGACGGGAGAAAAGAGAAGAGAAAAGGAGAAATGAGAAGACGGGAGAAAAGAGAAGACGGGAGAAAAGAGAAGACGGGAGAAAAGAGAAGACGGGAGAAAAGAGAAGACGGGAGAAAAAAGAAAAATGAATAGATGAGAGAAAGAATATACTAGTAAAAGAAAAGAAAACAGAGAAAAGAAGAGACAGCAAAGATGGACTCTAATTCTCTACAATGTGAATGAATGAAAAGATAAAAAAGAACTGAGACTTATAATTACATTTGATAACTTCTCTATATGATATCTGTTTACTAAGAGAACATTATTATAAGCAGTGCAAGCATATTTCTACAACTATGTACGTCTATGCAGCTGAAGTGTAGGCACAAGAGAATAAAGAATATAGATGATAACAAACCTGCCAGACTGTAGACTTGACGTGGATGAGCTGCCAGAGTTATTAAGTGCCTTCATTGTATTTTCATCCATTTCTACATCACTTTTTGCCCTCCTTGTTCGCCGATCACCCTTCTAAATAAAATAGTGAGGAAAAAATACATGAATTTATCAAGTTCGATATCTACAACTTTGATAATTGTAAGATAACATGACATCAAAGCTTACATTTTTAAAAATAAAATCATTAAAACAATATAAAAAAAGATATTCAAGAAAAACTGAAAAATTCTTTTCTTGAAGCTCTCAGTGTAGTAATAATTTTTGCTGTTAATATTAAATATTAGTAATTGAGTAACTAACATTCATAGAAGTCATTCTATAAACCCTTATGATACAATATTTTTATTTGTTGGCTATTGTAATGTGTTAATGGTTAAGTATTAACAGGGTTCATATAATTATGCTATATAAGTACATGATATTGGTTCTAACAATGTTGTTTGAGCAACAAATAAACAAAATCTTTTTGCAGATCTTAAAAGCAAAATAATTACCGGATCAGGCCTGTCTTTCAAACTCTCTGACCTGCCCAGATCAGTTCCTCGTCTGTTACAAAAGAAAAACAAATATGAATATTTAAAAACCATTTTAGTTATAACCATGAAAGCTCTCAAAAGGGGAAAAATATACATGGTTTCATGAGAAGAAAGAATATTGAGTGTACTTGTTAGCTCTTCAAAACTCGTTGTTCTTTATTTAACATCCTGATCAAATCATGCATTAGGCAATTGTTACTGCCTGTAAGTTAGTTGCTCTAAATATAATTTTAAGAAATTCAATAACACAAAATGATGATTCATATTTTATACATTTTGCTTTGACAAAACTTCTCAGAAGTTTAACTACTTACATTTTTAACTTTTCTTGAAACTATATAGAATGAAAATAACAGCATTTGTATCCATTTGGTAAGGTAGTGCCAATGACCAAACAATCTATGCTATTTGTCATGAGTAGTGTTCAGGATATCTTATTAAGTTAGCCAGACCTTTTCAGCACAAGACAGACTTAAGACAATTAAGTTTGCTCTTGTATCTGGCTAAAAACATTTTTAATACACTTTCTTCACATTCTATTGTGAGCGATATTGAACTTACAATAAATGAAGAACAGAAAATGGTATTTGATATCTTTTAAACAGTTTTTATGATTAGTAAAATGCATTCTATTTTTCATGAATACTTGTTTCATTTAAAAAACAAAATAAAAACATGCATATGAAAACAATGATAATACTTATTTACTTACTTATGACGCTCATCTTCACTATCACCAGGACTTTTCTTCTCAAACCTCTGGACCAAGTTGTTTACTGAATGTTGTTCTACAATGAGAAACTTCTTTTCATTCAAAACGCACAAGGAGAATGACTTAACTAGTACTTTGGTAATTTCAAATATATGCTTTTATATTAACTGAAAATTACATTACAAATTACTGATAGGTTAGTTTCAAAATATCTTGAGAAATGCACTAAATTCCATTAATAAAACTAACATTTATGACAATGATATTTGAAAGAGTACAATCTCAAATTATCAGAGTAAATCATACTGAAGATGCTTAATATACAGGGTACGATGGGTAAATTGTCACCATTTTATATTTTTATTTTAGAACAGTATAGTAGGGTTAGTGGGGCACTGTCTGTTAGAAAAAGAACATCATGACGCAATACATTCTGCCAGAAATTTGCAAACTGCATGTTGTACTGCTTGGCATTCATGTCGGAAGCTCAAATATGAACATTTCAGTATGTTTGAGTGTCAATCTGAGGACAGTGCAGAGGATTCAGAAAGAGTTGGAGTCTAATGGTGAGGCCTACATCAAGTGTCTTGAGGAGGTAGTGCTGCCCTGGGTCAAGAGGATGGCTGTTGGAAGATGTCTGACGACAGGACTCTGCACCATGCCAAACAATCAGGAGAATCCAGTCATGGCTGTCAGACAATTTCTGTGACCACATTACCCATTTTAATCTGGTCACCTAACTCTCCAAACTACAACCACCCTGATTATTATGTGTAGAGCAAATTTGAGTGAGAGACGAACAAAACACCTTGTAACATCAAAGATGAACTGAAAGCAAGGATTATGGCAGCATTCACTAACTTAAACAAGGAGATTGTTCAGGAGATTTTGAAGTCATCTGGAGGCAACAATTGAAGCCAATGGTGATTGTTTTGTCTAATTTTGGTAAATATATCTGTTAAAATAAATTGTCAGTATTAATTTCATTTTTGAATAATTTAGACAGCAATTTATCTATCACACCCTGTATTACTATTCAGATTAAAATTGTACAATAGAAAAGAAAAATTTATATAGCACAATGATACATAAGGAAAGTAACTTAAAATATTAAATATTAACATTTTTGTTTTTAAATTAGTCAAGAATTAGCATAAAAGATTAATATTTTAAAGCAAGATAAAAGCATGATAGAAAATAAGCATAAGTAAATAATAATGTAAGAGTACAAAATATGAATATTATAGCCAATCATGAACACAACACATTTTATAAAAAGGAAACAACACAACAGCACGGGTAGGGCCAAAAACAACACACAGAAGAAAAAATAAATAAAAACACTTCAGTGCTAACAAAGAGCTAAGAAGCGTGATTAAGGAGTATTTATCAGAGGTCTGCACACTGGAGTGTGTGAGCCAGAAAAGAGCAGCAAAATAAAGCAGGAAGAGTAAGTGCATAAAAAAAAAAACAAACAGGTGCAAAATATTCAGAAAATACCACAACACCAAGTACTTTTACTGCTTCCTTGTTTTGTGAAGACAGAATAAAAAAACACATTTAAAACACTTTAATGATATTCAATTAGTAAAGATCATGTGATCAGTCAAAATAAATTAAGTTTCAAAGTTTTAGATAATATAGCTAGTTAGGGTATTGTGACCATTTTGAGTTAGGCACAAAGAGAACAAAAAACACACCTCTATTAGTTTCTAGCTTAGAGAAAAAGTGAATTCCGTGTAATTCTTTTGATTACTAAAACCATAACATTATATTCTAAGTAAAATTACTAATGATTCATCAGCAATAACAGTTTTGAAACAGGATGAATTTAATACTTCAAAATTTTTTTGTTCTCAATCATAAATTTCAATTATAATTCAGTAAAGTTCTTAGGAATTTTGAGACACATTGTAAACAACTTTTACCAACATTATTGGAGTCATTGTGTGCTATTAAAATGTTATCACGCACACACACACACACATTTATGTTTTTTTAAGGTAAATACTATTAAAAATGACAGGCATTTCATGTTGTTTAATTTTAATGGTTCCATCAGAAATTGTCCAAAGTTCATTTCAGAAGAAAAGTACAGGAAATATGGTCCAAGCTTTCAACTTTAAGTCATTACCTGGGTAGGAGGAGACACTTGTTGAGTTTTGTAGTGTTTGTGAGTATTGGGATCTAGGCAAAGAATGTTGTGATGTAAGTGCAGTGTGATGTGCTTTTTTTTGTTTTTTGTATCTACATTTAAATGAGTCTGAGTGTGGTATATCCTATGTAAGATGTTTTGTGATTTTTGTTTACAGTTAAACATTTTCCATACATTGGGATATATTATTTTTAATAACTAAGTTGCTAGTTTTTAATTTTTTGTATTAAATAATAAACCTAATATATTTATTTTTATTAACTGGTTTTATATATCTATGTATGATGTTTTTTATTGCTGTTACGTCCTTTTTGTAATTGTGGTGCATTTGATTTTGGTAATATATGTTAATAGCATTATTGTCAACATAATATGAAAAATCAAATGCATAACAAAAAAAATAAAACAGCAATAAAAAACATCGTACATAGATATATAAAAACAATCAATAAAAATAAATGCATTAGATTTATTATTTACTACAAAAAATTAAAAACTAGCATCTTAGTTATTAAAAATAATATAATCTAAATTTCCAAACTCCTATATAAGAGCAATGTTATCTATGAATATACTTGTCCACTTAGAGAATGTTTCTCTGTAAATAAAAAGCACAAAACGACTTACACAGGATATATCACAGCTACATTCTAATGGAGACTCACTTGCAACCTATTAAGCAATACTCATACAACAAAACTACCATCAATAAATAAAAACAATTATAACTTGCATCCTTAAAAGTATATAAAAAAAAAATAAAAAAAGCAGCAAAGAAAAAAAATGTCATAACTCGCTTTCATCACAACACTCACTAACTATAAAACACACTAATTATTTTTAGCTACTCTGATGATGACAAAGAAGAAAGCTTGGATCATATTTCCTGTACTTTTCTTCTGAAATGAACTTTGAACAATTTGTGACAGAATTTCCTCCTTATCTGAGAAGGACTATTCATAATTTTGAAAAATTGATCATTAAAATTAATTGATACAAAATGTCTATCATTTTTAATAGTATTTGGTTTAAAGAACATTTACTGCCTAAATGCACAGTGTGTGTGTGTATGTGCACACGTGAAGAACAACTCTGAACACTTAACTAATGTTATTTCTTCAGAAATTCCCAATATAATTACAAGTCTCATTTTTCACTTTGGGATAAAAACACCTTTAAAAATAGAAATCAAACTGTATAAAAAGAAAATATTTGAATATGTATACCAACAATCTGCCAATATAGTGTAGCATTCTGAGAAAATGTTTGCATTCTCAAATAATACAAACAGAAATGTTTAGGCATATATCATAACTATTTACTAAATGTAGCTTAATTTTAGTAGAAGGCCATAAGTATACAGTAACTAGTAATGATTGAATTTACTAATCAACAGTAATGATCTAAGACTAGCTTACTTCATGGAGGTTATGCCTATGGGCCTATATTGTCAAGGACATTTTTGGGGTTGCTAAAACATATCTGTCTTTCTAATATAGGACTATGACTACTTTAGTTCCTTAATACTAATCTAATAAAAGCAAACTAACAAATATCAGTATAATTGTCGGACATATAATCTATACTAATTTTTATCATCAATCAGCCAAATAGCGGCCAAGCCCATTAATATCATTATGAGAAGCAGTGACCTTATATTCTCTAGAGTTTTAATATCAATAAAGCCCAAATTAAGCATTAGAGGAATTTTTAGCAGTAAAAGTGTTATTCTGACAACACAAAGAAGTAGGATAACTTGGATTAAGTACACATACCCGGATCACAGTCTTCATCTGTGTTACTAGATTGAAATGCGGAAACTCCCACCTGGGTTGGACTGCATGATTCTCGTCGATCTAATCCCAACAAAATGAAGAATTGAAATTGTAAGAGTATAAAAATACAAGATATAATTAGTGAACATTACTGTGTGTTTGAGAGATGGAGAGAGATGAGCAACTGAATAAATGAAAAAGAGGGAGAAACCAAGAGTGTGTGTATCAACCATAGCCGTGCTGAATGTGTGTAGAAAAATATGGATAGTCAAACTCTCAACTTGACAAGTCATAAATTATAGATGAAACAATCGCAAATCATAACCAAATCATCAATTTGCAGATACCATTAACGAAGATATGCGCGCACTCTGAATGATGACAAAACTGATTTGGAATTCATGTCCTAACATCAAACTGACAATATATTTCTTTGTAGTAAAGACCAAATTCCTTAGATATATTTATGTACCTGTACTGAGCAACCTATCAACCTTGAATGATCAGATGCAAAGCCTTCAAAGAGGGAAGTCATTGTATGTTAATTCAAAACTTATGTAATACTGAGGTTCCCTTGTTGCTGATGAGCATTTATAATGGAGATGTACAACGAAGTTATCACTCACCACTTATGCTGCTAGGTTTACGTCCCCATTTATCCATCAAGCCAGAAGTCCGTTTTGTATTCTTCTTTTTCACCGGGGCACATGATACATCAACTAATTCAATACACTGTTTATGAACATTCTGCTCACAATCTGGTAAAAAAAATTCATTGTTAACCGATAAAGAATTCTTAAAATTTGTTATATTTACTTAAATCTATAAAAAAAAAAAAAAAAAAAAAAATTAAGTCGGCACATTTAGTGCAAATAATTCCTTCTGTTAATAATATTCAAGCAAATGATGTTTGCATTAAAGTATAGCAAAACAATTCATAACAAATAAATCACTCAATTTTTTTTTCTTTTTAAATAAAAAAAAGCCACGCAATACTCACTACTACACTGGTATCCTTGATAACCAACACCCCATATAATACTATGACAGTGTACACATTCAGTCAACACATAATAATGCTGGGGTACATACTGATGGTTGCGATGGGTCTGAAAAATCAGTGAGAACTTGTTTAGTAAAAAAATAGATTTTTATCAAATTATTCTGATCTTCAAAAATGATGATATTGCATATATTGATTACTGGAAGTTAATTAACAATTAAAAAAACAATAGAAAATTAGCAAATAATTTACAGCCAATCCTTAGTAGAACACACACACACAAACTTTATTGGTATGACTGAAAGGCCGAATTTTCATCTTCCTGAAATACTTTTTTAATTACATAATTGATACATTGACAAAGTAATAAAGAAATACTAGAAAGAATGATTAACAGTCAGCAGAGAAGAGAAAAATATTACTTGTTCAATAACCTGGCACCTACTTTAGTTTTAGACCTGCTGCCAGGGAGCTTGATACCCTTTTCTTTGCGTTCTTTCATCACAAAACTTTGTACTCGCTCCAAGATATTACTATGGGATGATGGCTTTGGAACTCCAACATGGCGAAGAAAAGTGGCCAGAGCCCAACCCTGTGCCTGATCACGTGCAGATTTGGCTCTGTCTTCCCTATTAATAATAACAGAAATTAATGAGTTGAAGCTCCAAATGAAGATACTTAAATTTCTGGTTTTCAGCTTTAGAAAGAAAGATCTCCGAAGCTTTTGTAAAAAAGACAATATGAAAATAGCAATGATAAATACTTACATGAAATTCTCCATGTGAGGCATGAGGTGTTTTTCAATAATTTTGGCTTCTTGACTTTTATCCAGGTTGAGTTTAAGTTCATCAACCCCATAAATATTACCAAGACCTTTCATACAAATGAAAACATAATTTACTTTAAATAAGTTATACTGTTACTAATAAATGTAAAATATTTGTTGTTAAAAGAAACAAGCTCAGTAAACATGAAATAGAAATATTTATGAGAAATGTCTAATTGTAATAGGAGAAATATAAGTGATAGAAACATTGTAAACAAAAATGTTACTAAATAATAGATGCAAAATTTATTATATCGACTTTCTTGTATTCATGACATTTTTTATATTTTATTGGTAAGCACAAACCTTTTCAGATTTTCAGGTTCCTCACTTAAATAAAGTTTTTTGTCAAGAATATTGGCAAAAATATGTCTTAGCTTACAATCATAACTCTTATATCATTATCTACTTATCTTTATATATATATATATATATATATATATATATAAGTATGGTGTATGCGCATGTGTTTGTGTGTCCAAGAAACTCCTCCGCTATTATGGTGGGTGAATTTTTTTTCCCCTCTGTATGAGTTCGAATCCTCTTCGCCAAGTTTGTTATGGAGTGATTTCACAGTGGAGGCTTGTATTTGTACTGTCGGTCCTAAAATAAGTTTGACGTACAAAATGTTAGGAACTTGATATAATAGGTAATGACGCAGAGAAATCTAGTTGTGGTGGCTGATACTTTAATATCCGACTAACGGTCGTCCGGCATCAACTGACTGACCAACTCACTGAGTGACTCCTACTTATTATAGGTGGGAGAGTCTATTAACTATAGAATAGGTGTGTTCCACTATAAAATCTGCTCCCACTGGTCCAATTTCAATGATTCATGGTTCATTCAAAAGCCCTAGAAAAGTTAGGCACAGGGAATGATTCTTGTTGAGCTCAGATTATTAAAAATATATGTTAATATATCATACTAGCCATTATCGTTGCTTTCATGGTTCAAGGGGAGTAACATTTATTTTTCCTTTTGTATCCAAAATTGCAGTGCATGTTTTATTATAACCTATCATAAAAGCCACCCTATTGGCAGCATTTAAGCTAGCTCCCGTGGAAAACTCTTGGTTTAGCTATCATCACAATAGCTAGGGAGGAGTAGATGCGATAGGCATCAATAAACAACAGAAGAACTCAAAATTGATCGTTGCATTTAAGTATTGAATTAATGTTTAAGCTTACCTTTTAAAAGTTTAACGATAATTCTTCTGCTGCACTTAATTTAAAGATGAATTGATGTAAGTAGATCTTTATTTTCCATACAAACAATTATTTTTATTTCATGGGTGACAGAACAGGGGGACAATTTATAAGATAAAATTAATATAGTGTAATTATGGGAAAATAGAATTAATTATACATTCAATATTTGAAGAGTTAAAGAAACATAATAGTTAATTAAGTAAAACCTATATTATGGAATCTATATGAATAAATGCAAAATTGGAGCACACCAACGAATTCTAGGATTAAAAAGCCCTAACTCTACTTTATAGTAATTTATATGCTAAAAGCTCAATATCTGTATTATTTACTTCTAGGCAATGTCCCTTTTTAGGTTTAACTAATTTGCATATTGATTTTAAAAATGCTTATTTCATTAATTACCTGTCCTTCATTACTGTTCTTTTATTCAAGGATTGTTTTAATTTTGATATCAAAAATAGTTCTGTTTAGGAATATTGTCTTATATAGTGCAGAAAAGTGTTTGAAATTTGCATTTTACTTGGCCTTCAACAAGTTGGCATTTATTTGTAAAACTTTCTTTAACTATAACAAACCAATTTATGAAGGAAATGTTCATTTAAAATTTTTGTTTCAAATATTTCAAGTAGTGAATATATCTTACTTGGTGAAGCGATAGTGAACGGATGAAGCATGCTAGTATTTAATAAAAAACAAAGAAAGCGTGCATTTAAAGTGTAGATTTAAGATCATAATAAAATTGGAAAGAAGTTTGTAAGCACTTCATACAAAGCAATTAAGTGGGCATCTGTCTTATTATTACTGTGTTTAATATTATTTGAAAAAGTAAATTAACAATTTTTCCTGCATGATGAAGATTTCTTAGCAACTCAATTTACATCTTTAAGACAGTCCTGGAGACAGTGAGCACAAAAACAAGATCATCTTGTATTGTCATAAGCACTTTATGTAGTGAACAAAACAAGATCTAGATTTAAAATTCAAATGCTAAGCACTGACTCATTGATTTTGTTAGAAATTAAAAAGACTCGAATTTACAAACTTTGCTTAACATACACACAAAAGTGAATCCCAAACAAAACTCATGAAATTTCACACCTTGATAGAAAACTAGGAAACATTTAAAAACAAAATTCAAATCTTCAATTCTCAAAAAAATTCTTTTACGGAGCTTTTCACGAGCCAACACAAAGTTTGTTCGTTGTCTAATGGAAAAGCCTGAATCATATCTAGGAGTGAATTCCCAAATGACCTTTTCAAGCCCCACAAACAAAATAAAAGACTGGCAAGTTTGCCTGTCACCAGAGAGAAGGTGATGAGCGTATTAACATGTCCTTTGACAAAGTCAAGCGATTGTTATTATTATCTCTACCTTTCTCCCTTACCTCTTTTATACTTGATAAACGAACAGAACATTTTAAGACTGAGCGATTACTTCAAAGACATTTCTACCCTACGATAATGCTCATACATATATACATACATCCACATATACATTCCTGCCTACGTACACAAACTCATTCTTGCAAGGACTACCAAGAACATTTTGATGACCTTGTATCAACCAAAATACATTAATTTTATTTGTAGAGACCTTAATTGATTTATATGTATATAAATTTGTTGTTTCACTTTACAATTTGATTTTCTTGTCTTATACCCCTCTTATGGTGGGCTATCTAACTAACAAGGCCAAATCAAACTAATCTGTTTCAACACTCATACACTTCACTATAACTGATAACCCACTATATGTTTACAACTTTGAGAGTAGTTATAAAATGCTATTAAAACACCGGTTATTCTGTCAAGGGAAAATGTTTGTGAACAGTTTTTTTTACAGGAATCTTCAAAAAATTGAAATACTTGAATTCAATTGATAATTTTATGATCAGCAAACTTAGCTTTTAACTACTATTCAATTATTAATTGAAAAAAATTAAACCTATAAGATTTTTATGAACTCACCCAATTTCTGTTTGTTCCAAAACTCTTTCAGCATACATTTGACAGCAGATTGAGCATCATATCGACTTTGTTGGAATATACATCGAAGACAATCTTCTTTGTCACTTTTTGTGTTGAGAACATCATCAATTGTCTTTATAAATTTCTCATCAACAGTTACTCTCAAGGGCTGAAAAATAGAGAAAAATATAAATAACAAATCAAGGAAAATATTTAAACAAAAGGTTCCTTTTATTCTTTACATAAAACTCCTGCATTGAATGTAATCTTTATTTTTACAAATCTAACATTTATTCAGATAAAAAAATGATTTAATAAAGTATTTATCAAAAAATTCATCTATAGGAATAGAATAAATTTGATTAAGTCTGAACATTTTCTTCAAATTTAAACAAATACAATCACTGAAATAGAAAGTAATATACAACATATAAAGTATTTTGGTCTTCTGTTTTATACAAAAAAGTTTAGTTTCAAAATTTCAAGATTGTAAAAAAATTCCAATTTAATTTAAAGCTTAAAATGCTCTTCAAAAATAGCTAACAATTGTGGGTATAAAATTTAAATAAAATACTAAGCATTTGAAGTACAAAGAAAATTATCAAGTCACAAAACTGAATAAACAATTATTACAATAAATTATTTCATTATAATGTTCAGCTTGTACTCACAGCTTCAGGGATCAAAAATGTGGAATATATTTCATAGGCCCATTTTCGTAATTCTTTGGGATTGCCAGGAGCTGAGGCATATATTTCAGTTATTACATAAAAAAACTGAAAAAAGAGTAATTAAATAAAATGAGAACATTATAATGGAAAAACCAATTTCACATATTTTTTAAATTATTAGTTTAAGAATACAGGGGGTTAAGTTTCAAAGGTTATTACTAAATATTACTAATTTCTAAATTAGCATTTTAAAATATTTCCCGACATTTTTTTCTCTCAGGCAATAAATATACTAACAAAAGAGATATACTTTTTAATTTACAAGATTATTTTGTAACAGCTAAAACACCTTTTGACTTTCATTATGATTTCTGATTTTTTTTATTGCAATTCACATTGTTATGCAATGACTTGTTAAACAAGCAACGTGGATCAGAAATGAAATCTCACCTACCTTATCCTTGAGAGTATTTCATGACAGCAACATACTAATTCAACAATGAAAGTTATCCAACAGGACAATTCAAAGACTATTATTATCATATTACAGCTAATGTCTCATAATTCTTTAGGTGAGCAGCAGTGTTGGTTGCTATTATTATTATGTAAAGTTATGAGCAATATTCATCTATATTTACAGTGACAGTATGCTACTCTCTTGAAAGCTTCAAGTGTTGTATTCTATTGCTGTTAAATAATAGTTTAGCAGACTATTATTTTTAGAGAAGTGTATTTCTGCTCTGACTTTCTCAGTTTGATCTTAGGGGTCAGATACAAGACAAAATAAAGGAAGTCGATTTTGACTGGCTGAATTAGCGTGGGAATGATAGAGAGGTTTTTCGGGGAGTCGAGATTAAACTGTCATACAAATGTAGATGTGTTCTATCATGTCTGGATCTGCTCTCAAGTGGGGTGAGAGAGTAACCCCATTAAATATTTAGAATGTATATGTCAATGCGTTAAATAAAATAATTATGTTCAAATTTCCTTTGCTGATGTCTTTCATCTCTGGACCACAAAATCATTTTGCTAACCGGTCAAAAGAAGAGAGCGAAGACCCAACAATATGAGTGAATTGGCACTGTTCACCCCACCAGCAGGGAGAATACAACATATACTCAATTTGGCACAGTGACCAAGACCCCTAGCATGAGAGAGAGAAGATATACAACACTGCATTATTTGGCAGGGTTGACCAGGGACCTACCAGCATGGTGGGGTGCAGAATGAGGGTTATAACACAATGTGGAAATGTTTGAAGGGACTTTTCTGACTGAGGACTCAAAAAGGGGAATATGTAAAAAGAAAAAAGTAATCTAGACATAATGACAGAAAAAAAAAAAAAAGTAATTGTAAGTATGATGAAATTACCATGTTCTACAGCTCACACACATCTAAGCAACAAACCAACATAGGAAGTAATGATGAAAAAAAAAAATGAGGAAAAAAACAGTAAATGAAAAGGGTTTGGACAGACAGACAATGAAAAAAAGACTAATCGGGAAAAGAAAGAAAGAGGGGAAACAGTGAACACCCACACTGGTACAACAATGTCAATTTTGATAAAACATTTGTGAGAGAGTTGTTTTGAAAAAGAAAGACTGATGGAATTTTGCCATGGGGGCATTCCCACTTTGATTTCTGTGTACTGTTAATAAGTTGAAAATTTTTGTGACTATGGTCTTGCATGCATTCAAATGTTTTAAGTTTAGAATTATTTTGTTAATTGTAATTAACTGACAAATGATTGTATTGTTCATTTTTGTAAGAGAGTGTGAAATTCTTTTTTGTTTTAAATTTAAGAGCTGTGTGTGTGTCCTTTTGCCTTCATTGGTTGAAGAATTAAATTGTTAATTGGTAAATTTTGTGAGTTAATTTTTTGTGGAAAAATTAAGTTACTTGTTGTGGGAATAAGTAGATTCGGCTTGCATAGTTTCAGATTTCCGAATGTGTTTGGGTCTGTGTCCGGGGGGGGGGGAGGTTTGTCACACCTGGTTATGCAGATAGAAACCACACAGTGGTGGGTAAAGTGGAAGCATAAGTATTCAGTATCGAGTGAATATATCCCTAAGATAACCCCAGTGTCAAGTAAGGGCCCTGGCGACCCTTGTGGGATGCCAGGTTGCAGTAGACAACTAAGGGAAGAAAACCCTTGTAACTATGATGGAGCCAGTAATGGATTAATTAGGAGATGCTGACTGGGTGTGGTTCTTCCTTGTTGGAGTAGCCAAGGGCAGAAGGAATTGAGGATGGAGCGAGTTGAGTTTTGGCACACAGAGGCAGATGGTCAATAATAGTGATTATTGAAAAATAATGGCAGTAAATTTGTGAAGATTTGTTAAAGTAAATTTGGAATTATACAAATAACAAAATAATCAATTGATTGTGGCTGAATAAATAGAGTGATCATGGACCGTGTGTACTGTGTCACTGTGAATAGGAAACAAGTGTAGATCTTAGTATATTTAAAGTGTAAATTTAGGTGGTAAGGACATGGCTTACTTATGGAATTGGTTGATGCTGGGGTGTGGGACTTTTTTTTTGCATGTATTGTGTGATTTTTGGACCAGTATTTTTTTCTGTGAATTGTATGTACATTTTGTATAGTCTCACGTGAAGCAGCAAGGAATTTTGTTTTCCCCAGGAATATTGGATTGCAGAGGTCGTACTTGCTGACCTGGGTAGAGGTGACTTTGGAGAGGTCAAACGTTCACTGTTGGAGTGATTTGTATCTAGACTGTTGTCTGAGGTGTTGACGTTGGGTCATGGAAGCTAGTGACCAAGAATTGACAAAAGATTAGCCTGTATTCATTTTTTTTTTTTTTTGGGGGTGAGAGAAGTGATACATGGATATTTAGAATGTACATGTCGACACTAATAAAACAGTTAAGTTCAAAATTATCCTTGTCAATGTCTTTCTTCTCTGGACCCCAAAACATTTTGCTACTCGGCTGAGAGAAGATACAACATTGTATTAATTGGCTCAGTGATCAAGAGACCCCAGCATGAGGGGGCTATACAACATTGCCGCCTAAACAACAAACATGATTTCTTCAGAAAAATACCACAGATTCAGATTTTAAAGTAGATTTTCTTCTGGAAAATTCAGAATTGATGATTGCAACCCTCAAGTCAATGCTTTAAGTACTCACAGACAACATTCCAATCTTTCAAAATTTCACACTAACCATAAATATCATCATAGACTCAAAAATGAAAAGTTATATCAATTTGTGCATTTTCAACATAATTGCTTTCCTTTTCAACAATTCACTATATTCAGCATTGATAGCTAAATGGACATTTAAAAAAAATGTTGCTTACCAAAGCTGAAGGATCATCATTAGAAATGAGGTAATGTAATAGAATAGAAAGATATGCTTTTCTTTTTTCAACTTCTTGTAAATGCTGGAACGGTTTATAGTCTTCATTCTGCAAAAAATGTTAAAATATATTTATAAACCAATATTAAAAGATATACCAAAAAAAAAATTACAAAGTAATATTTTCCACATTTATCAGCTCAAATGTTCAGTGTGGCCAACATGTATGGGAAAGATAAAATCTACATTATAATTAAAAACTGAAGAAAATAAAAAGAAAATGTTTTTATATTTTCATTTGAATCAGCTCAGAGTAACAACTTCCCTTTACATGTTACAAAATAATTATATAAAATAATAATTCAAGTTACATTTTTACAATAATGATTACTATAAGATGAAAGCAAAAATATTTCCACCTTTTTAGAGCATACATATACATTTTATATGAATACAATTACATACTTCTTGCCTTCTCTTAGATAAGAGTAGAGGCTCACACCTTGTTTCTTGTTCAGGAAGGGATTCCCACAACTCTCCCTTTCTTTCTCTCTGGCCTCTGTACTAGTGCTGCCATGTTTCTCTTGTGATGTGTGCAGTCTGTGGCAATACCTCTTCATTCTGAGGGTACATGGTTGACAGTTTTCTGGTTGCTGTTTCTGACTGATAGTTAGGAGCCCTAACTCTTGCATAGTGTCTTGAGTAGCTGCTCTGATCGACAGTTGTATAATACCAGGATGTCTGTAGTGCCATGTTGCGCATGGAAAGGTGTCCCTGCATTCACCTCCAGTGGGCAACCCTGAGGCCACATTATGTTGCAGGCTGTGCCAACTTCACAGTCGATAACCGTCTACTTCTACTTCAAGCCTTCTCATTTTTACTACTGTAATTACACATCATGATAACTAACGATCCAAAAAGAAAACCTAAACCAGCTCTTAAAAAAAATCACCTAAACCCTTCGACATTTCCTTTTCTAACATCCATGGCATTAGAACCAATTTCTGCAGTGTGAAATCTTTCCTCATTATGAACTGCTCGGATATATTGGCTGACTCTTTCTTCTTTAGACCTTGACTCGTCTATCCCTTCCTCTGACCTCTCAATCCCAATCTACCTTCCTCTTTTTTTCCCATCTCTCAAACCCATATGCATGGCCTTGGGTTTACGTCAAATTTGGCACCATCTCCTGTTATATAGAGAGCTGTTTCTTGAATCTCAAACCATTCATACATGTGTTTTTTTCAGTTATCTCTTCTCAATGCTGTTTTGTGAAAGCACCTCTTCTTCCTTTATTTTTCTTCATCCTCCCAAGACTGTGGTGTAATCCCATGTATTTCTGACAGCATTGACAATTGACTCTCTCTCTCTCCAAAAAAACGTTTGCTCAACCATTCATGTTTGGTGATTTTAACGTCCATCATACCAAGTGGCTTCAAAATGTTACTACTGAACTTGCAGGCATACAAACCCCTTAATTTTTCAATTTCTCAATCCCTCATGCAAATAGTTGACTTCTCCACACGTTTTCCCTACAACCTGGACAGTAAGATTTCTCTTCTCGATCTATGTCTTACCTCCATCCCTTAGTCCTGTAGCTCCATGCAGCTCTGCCCTCTTGGCAACTCAAATCATGCTGTAGTATCTGACATCTCCTTCAACTCCACCCCCTGCAAAGAACCTTCTACCACTAGAACCTCGTTCTGCTATCAACGAGCAGACTGGGACTCATTCTGGGATTTCCTTCACAATGTCCCCTGTGATGTTGTCTTTATTTTGTCCCGTTCAAGAATGATTAAAATATGTATCTTAAACTGGGTTAAAGTTGGAATCGAGGCTTTCATCCCCTCAATCTTATCTCAAACATTGAAATGTTTTTTTCCCTTGGTTCTCCGCGTAGACGTGCCATTGACCATAAGAATCACTTTTCCACCTATATCATAGCAACATGTCTGATTTCAACATGTCTCTACCCAAATATTTTGTACGTCCTCAATGAAGCAAAATCACTGATTGCTGCTCAGATGAAAGAATGTATTGCATCTCACATATTTGGCCCCAAGGATTATTTATAATCTCTGCAAGGGATATGTAACAATAGTAAACCCTCTATTGTACTTAATTTTAGGTTCTTCACTACTTCTGCCGACAAATATTTGTAGAATGCTTAAAAATGTATTCTGGTTATTTTAATTCAACGCAAATTCTCCAGTTTTATTAACCGATTTCCCCCCTTTAGGCAATTGCACATAACCGTGTCATTGGTATTGGGCATTATCTCTAAATTAGACCCCCCACAAGGCTAGAATTCTGGAGACCCTTCTAATTACCATCCTATCAGTCTCCTACCACTCTTTGGCAAAGTCTTTGAAGCTTTAATTAACGCGCTGGTTAAAAACCTTACATCCCATTTCTGGAGTCCAACAAGCAATATGGTTTCCGCTTTAGCCTGTTCTACAACTGATGTGGATACGGCCATAATTGAAATTGTTTATTTAGCACTTCAAAATATTTTATTAAATCTCATGCTGTGGCTCTAGATATCTCAAAGCATTTGATAGGGTTTGGCATGCTGGCCTGTTTCACAAGCTTCAGGGTTATTGAATTTCAGCTCGATCATTTGACTTAATACAATCATTCCTGTTAAACTGTGTATTGAAGGTCGTTCTCAATGGATTCTCCTCCAGCTCCTATCCCACAAACAGAGGTGTTCCCCAAGGCTCTATCCTAGGCTCTACTCTGTTCCTTATTGTTGAAGCTTAAATAAGCATGGAATAATACAACACAAAATGTACGTTAACAAAATGTATTGAAACAAAGAATAGGTACACAATATTTACAGTTAGTTTGGTATATTCTTGGGAAGACTGTTCCTGCATAATGGGTTGACTAAATCGCAGTCGGGCAGAGTCTCTGGATTCAATTTCTTAATCTCTACTATCTTCCCCGTCTTCCGGTACCAACCCATATTTATATGGTCGGTAGTCCGCTTATGTAAATTAGGTGTATCATACACAACACCCTCCTCCCAAGCCTTGGAATCCCTTTTGGATTTCAAACTGGCTTCCTATATGGGTTGATGATTATGGCTATTTCTTTGTAGATCCATTTGCCTAATTTTAATATTTTTTTTTTTTGGATTCACGTTCAATGGGTCCGTCAACTTCCGTTTCCTACCGGATCTTCTTGGTTCAGGTGTATTCTGTGGAGGTTCTACCTGAAACATATCATACATTATATCAATGGGATCTTCGTCCTCATCCGGTAACACTCTTCTTGCTCTATACCGTAATCTTTTTTAAGTTGGTTTTGGTGCCTTTTATAAGTATTCTTCGCCCTTTAATTATGTAAATCAGGTCACCGATTCTCTTGTCCACTATGCCTCGTTCCCAGAACTCAACGTTGTTTTTATAGCACTTGAAAAACACCTTCTCTCCGGAGTGTATCTTTTTCTCGCTGTATACATGGTATTTTTTACTGTATTTTTTCTGGCAAAAAGCTTGTCAAACACTGACTTAACTTTCCTAGCGAACATTAGTTCAGCTGGTGCCATGTTTGAATGTGTTCTCTGGTTTGGCGTGATTCTGTATACTTGTAAGAATTGCTGAAGCGCCTTTTCCGTTGGAACTCCTGAGGCTTTCTTCAGAGCTCGTTTTAAAGTATCGACAAATCTTTCTGCGAGTCCATTAGACCTCGGATGATACGGAGGCGTCGTTATGTGGTTAATTTGATATAACTCACAAAATTCCTTAAATTCTTCAGAAGTGAATTGTGTACCATTGTCACTCACAATACACTCTGGCACACCGAACCGTGCAAATAGTTCATGCAAAAAAGTTGTTGTGGTATTGGACGTAGGCTTTTTACAGCGTAGTACTTCCGGCCATTTTGTAAAACTATCTACCACTATTAAGTAGTAAAAATCTTCTACTGGACCAGCGAAATCAATGTGTAATCTTGTCCACGGATGATCCGTCTTGGGCCATGGTTTGTGTACTATAGGTGGTGCCTTAGCTGCTAACGCACACCCTTTACATCGATGAACCATGTTTTCGATATCCACATCCATTCCTTTCCAATACACAAAGCTTCGCATTAAGCTTTTTGTTCTATTAATACCGGGTGACCCATATGAAAGTCCCGGTAGTCTTTTTCTGCAACTTTTTGGTATTACTACTCTCTCACCATATAATAAAACTCCATCACCTATTGAAAAAAATCTCCTGCACTTTTTGTCATTTGCTACCATTTTGCTTTTAATTTCTAAAATGAAATCATCGCTTTCAGCTTCTTTTTTAATTTCATTTAGTTTAACCGGTAGCTCTCTTACAATGTTGTTTACCATGCTTTTCACCTCATAATCTGCTCTGATATTTGCAATAATTGATTCTTCGAATCTTTCTTCTTGCCTTGGTACTAGTCTTGATAGACTATCCGCATGAATTATCTTTTTGGATGATAGGTGCTTTATGTGAAAATCATAATTGAGAAGAATGGTTCCCCATCTTAACAGACGATTTGCTGTATAAACGGGTAACCCTTTCTTTGAACCAAAAATGGTGATCAGTGGTTTATGATCCGTTTCAAGGATAAAATGTCTGCCGTGGATGTATCTGTGAAATTTTGTTATGGCAAAAATGATACTCAGTGCCTCTTTTTCTATCTGAGAGTAACTTCTTTCTCCTGGGAGCAAAGTTCTCGAAGCGTGTGCAATTGGTTTTCTAGAACCATCTGGCATTATGTGTTGAATACACGCCCCTATCCCGTATGAACTAAAAGTCACTTGCCACTACAATATCCAGTTTTGGATTGTAATGGGTTAAAAAGAGGTCGGACGTAAGCATTTTCTTTATTTCATCAAAGGCTTTCTGACATTCTACCGTCCATTCCCATGCCTTGTCTTTTTTTTAGCAGTTCATTCAACGGAGCTCTTAAATTGTACATTCCTTTAATGAACGCTTGATAATAATTTGCAAGCCCTAGAAAACTTTGTAGCATCGCCACATTAGTGGGCGTCGGCATGTCTCTAATCGCAATGGACCTTTCCGGATCTGGACATCTGCCATTTTGTTGATTATGTGCCCTAAATACTTAATTTCCTCCAAACCAAATTCGCACTTTGACTCTTTGACTTTAAATCCAAAGTCCTGAATTTTTTTTAAATACTTGATTGAGATGCTCTCGATGTTCGTCGACCGATTCGCTCCTTACTATGATGTCGTCTAAGTAGGCGCACGCAAAGTCTAAATCATTCAGCATGACGTCCATAGCTTGTTGAAAAATGGCAGGTGCCACTTTAATACCAAAAGGAAGCCTGTTGTACTTGAATAACCCTCTATGCGTGTTTATCCCTAGTAACTTCAAACATTCCTCTTCGACGGAAATTTGGAGATAGGCATCTGATAAGTCAATTTTTGAAAATATAACTCCACCATTTAGCTTGTTAAAAATCTCCTCCGGACTCGGTAACGGGTAATGGTAGTCCTTAATTACCGAGTTCAACCCTGTCGAAAAATCAACGCAGACTCTGACTTGGTTTGATTTCTTTTTTTATGCACACAATCGGCGCAGCCCATGAATTAGACTCTACTTTCGAAATAATTCCCATTTTTTCCAACCTATCAAGTTCTTCGTTAATTTTCTCTACACTTGCGAAAGGCACAGTACGTTTCTTTTTAAAAATTGGCATAGTATTTTCCTTTAATTCGAATTTGGCTTCAAACTTGTTACATCTTCCAAGACCAGGTGTGAAAGTTTCCGGAAACTTTTTTTTAATTCCTCAATAATGTCCTGTCTTGTTTGCGTATTACTTTCTACTTTTCTGCAGAAAGAGTTTAACGGTTTATCCCACAATTCGAATGTTTCAATAAAATCTGTACCCATCAAGTTTTCTCCATTTTTCAGAATGAAAACTTTTATTTTTTTAACTATCCCGTTCAATTTCATAGGAAGTACAACCTCGCCTTCGAATTTAATTTCCTTTCCAGTCACTGTTCGAGCGCATTTCGTTGACTTCATTATTGTAGGCCTTTTAAAATTTTCCATGTTTTATAGTTCATTATTGTTAAATCTGAACCCGAATCGAGTTGAAATTTGATATTCTTTTTAAATATTTCAGTCGTCACATACTTCCTCAAATCTCTATCTGATTTGATATTTGAATTTGTTTGTCTAATTCGGCTATTGACTTTTTTTCGTTTTACAACACGACCCTTTGTGACCATTCTTGTGGCACACGAAACATTTTTTTTCTATATGGGCAATTTAACTCCCAGTGTCTTCCGTTGCAACGTCTACAATTAAATGGCGGAACCATTTTTTTCCCTCCTCATTTTTTCCATTTAATTTTTCTTGTTTATTTTTAAAATACGCCGAATTTTTAATCCAATTTTTTTTTTTGATGATGGGTAATTTGACTGTTTCTTCACTTTTTTAATATAAGCAATACCAGCTTCTTCAATTTTTGAGACTCTTTCTTTAAACTTACGGCCCGCTGACACTCCTCTGCTAACTTTTTTGCAGGGTAAGGTTTTGTTCAGATTCGAGTTTAGACAAAACTCTCTACGTCTTATTTCGGCACTTTTACTGGATACCAGTCCTTGAGCAAAAATTAAACACTTGAATTCTTCAACCGTAATCTCTGCCAATCTGAAATTGTCACAATGTCTATTCACTATAGATGCATAAGTTAAGTAATCCTGATCGTCGGATTTAGCGACATTCATGCATAACCATCGCTTATGCCAAAGCGACATATTTGCTCCAAACAACTCCTTTAGCAATTTCACTGTTTCCGAGAATTCCAATTCATTTGTTCTTCTCGGTAGAATAAAATCTACAAATTTGCTATGTTCTGCTGTACCTAGCTTTCTTAGTAATAGACTGACTTTTCTTGAATTCGACCAGTTTTCACAGTCTGTGTGGAAAATATCTTCATATCGTTTAAAGTACGCTTCAAACGTTTTTTCCTTCGTCTGGCACATAGTTGAAAGTTTCCAACGAATTAAATATGATGTTATTAGAATATGAAGAGTTACTTTCATTTACCTGAACGTTGTTTAATTTCTCCAATGTTAACTTTTGAATTTCAAAACCTTGACATACATTTCTTCCTGTTCCCTTTGACGTTGCTGACTCAACTCCTCTTGCCTTTCTTGATAATTCTGCTGTGCTAATTGTTGTTCTCTTTAATAAGGCAACCTGTTCACTTTGTTGTTGCAGACTCAACTGCTGGGATTTGAATAATTCAGCTTGACTCAACTGCTGGGCTTTAAACAATTCAGCTATGACTTTGGATAATTCCTCCATTTTTAACTGATAGTGTTCATGCAACAAAGAATATACTTTTTTTAAATTGTGTATCCACGATATAATACTATAAGCAGACAAAACAAAATTGAAACAACATACGCCTTTTTTTATTTTATGTCTTGCTTTATAAAATATTGTTGAGCAACCAAACAAACAAAAAAAAAACAAATTTTTTTTTTTTTTAAAGTTCGTTACCTTTCAAAGTCGACACGTGGTATTTGTGCTCCTTTTAATTCCATGCATGTTTTTTTTTTTTTTTTTCTCAGCCAGCATTTTTTTTTTTTTTTTTAGTCGGCCAGCATTTTTTTTTTTTTTTTTATTTGTTTACGCCACCTTCCAGATTTTTTCTGAGTGTAACGTTCCTTTAAGCTTAGTCGTCCTTTAACTAGTTTTAACTGTCCAAACTTCAGAATACTTTTCCGTTCCATTAGATGTTCGACTTTTAATTAATGATTTTTTTTTTTTTTTTCAGCCTGGGTTCTTCCACTTGTCCCAATTATTGAAGGCTATCAATTATTAATTCTTTTTTTTTTTCGTAAAGTTCTTTATACCTCGTCGCCATTGTTGAAGCTTAAATAAGCATGGAATAATACAACACAAAATGTACGTTAACAAAATGTATTGAAACAAAGAATAGGTACACAATATTTACAGTTAGTTTGGTATATTCTTGGGAAGACTGTTCCTGCATAATGGGTTGACTAAATCGCAGTCGGGCAGAGTCTCTGGATTCAATTTCTTAATCTCTACTATCTTCCCCGTCTTCCGGTACCAACCCATATTTATATGGTCGGTAGTCCGCTTATGTAAATTAGGTGTATCATACACAACACTTATCTTCATTAACAATCTTCCTGATGTCAGAGGTTCCCAAGTAGGTATCTATGCAGATGACACTGCTATTTACTCCTGCCTCAAAAACAAATCTAGTGTCGCTGACAAAAAACTAACATGGCCGTTTGTCTCAAAAAAGACCTTCAATCGGTTGTGGACAGGGGCAGGGAATTGGCTGGTTAGCTTTAATGCCTCAAAAACAAAACTGCTCTCTATTACTCACTACAGAGAACCATCCCTGCCTCCCATTAGAATGTCTGACGCTCAACTCCACGAGAGAACCTCTTTGCAACTGCTCGGTCTCACATTGTCTGCTGACCTAAGATGGAACAAATACATTGAGTCAATAGCTTCATCCACCACAAGGAAAGTTGGCTCCCTGTGCCGCGCCAGGAAATTTTTCTCACCAGAGTCAATTGCTCAAATCTACAAATCAACCATTCACCCTTGCATGGAGTATTGCTGCCATATATGGTCTGGAGCCCCTTCTGTTTGTCTCAAGGTCCTTGATAAAATCCAGAGATGGATATGCAACGTAATTGGCCCTGATCTGGCATCTCGTCTGCAGTCACTCTCTCACAGATGTGTCATCGCCTCCCTCTGTCTTTTTTTTATAAATACTTTCACGTTAACTGCTCCAATGAGCTGCTTTCGCTGGTTCTTAGACTCCATGTATTTAAGCATTCAACTAGGCTGGCATCTCACTCTCACCCTTTCATTGTCGAAACTGTTAAATGTAGCCGTCTCTTCTACTCCAATAGCTTCATGTCTCGCATGTGGAACTCCCCCCCCATTTCTTGTTTCCCTGATAGCTATAATCTCCAACTATTCAAATGTAATGTCAATTGACGTCTCCAGATGCCTTGATGTATCCCCTATCCTTTCCTCTATCACTCCTCTTTGCTCTTGCTCCAACTCTCTGTAACCCCTTGCATGCTAGTCCCCCCCCCTCCAAATTAATGCTAAAAACATTGAGCTAAACTAAAGCTAAATTCTGATTATCCTTTTTGTAAAAATCTACATTAAATTGGCAACTGGTGTGATCTGAACATATTGTATGTTCACAAAACTCATCTATGCATACAAATTATTCTCATAAATCACCAAAATATCTCAGCTGTAACAATTCAAACTATTATTTTGCATATTTACTAATGTCACACAATTAAAAAAATTAAAAATAAATCCAATAATGTTTTTTTTTTTTTAGGTTCATTCAGTAGGATAGAAAAAAATAAAACAGTTAATTTATAAGCTAAAAGATGATAGCCTAACAACACCATCAACTGACATCATTCAGATCTATAACTTACTTCTTCTTGTGATTCTTCATCCTGGTCATCATCCTCAAAGCACATGATGTGAGAACTGGAAGCAAAGTCCTTGGAAAGAGGATTATAACAGTTTCAGTAGATGTTTATAACTAAATATACACAAGAATGGATCAATAAGTCTAACATATTTATTAGTTGAATTTTGATCTAAAATTTTCACTGTATAATATTTGATCTGTGATTAATATTGGTGAAATTATTGCCAAAGAAAATTGTTGAAGAATAAATATTTGTATAAAATAACTTTATTTTCCTCATTGTGCTGTAGACTTATTGATGTACTTATATAAATTCAATATATCTATCATTTACAGAGGATTCTTAACTTGCATAGATCTAAACTTCATTACATTAAAATAATTGCATAGTTTAAGTGCTGTCACATTTGCTTTTTTTTCATAAAGAGAAAAATGAAGAGCAAGTAATGCACATTTTGCCAACAAGCTAAATGGAACCTTCATAACCACAATCCTCTATCATCAGCAAAATTTGAAAGTATTAATACCTTGCTTCAACAATATATACTAATCTTTAAAAAAAACTCTAGATCTAAAACTTATTGTAATATTGACCCAAAGATCAAAATTACAGTGTAAACTCTGGTATTGTAGATGAACATTTTATCTTGTTTGTAAATCATTAAAATTTATCAAATAACTTTTAAATTATTGTTAAGCGTAAGGAATGAATAACAAGCATTATTTATAAACAAATCAATGAAGAAGTGTGCACATTCACCATTTGAAATATGAGTGTGTGTAAGCAGCTAAAACTAACAGACCATAATCACAATATTTAATCATTTCAAGTATTTCTTTAAACTGATTAAAGCTTAAGTATTTCTAATAAAATGTTTGATTTTCCTGTTAAAAGTGCACTGGAAATAGAAAGTTTCTTTCAGAGAAATTGAATGAGTGAAAAAGCCACAATACCTCAGCATCTACATTTGACCAGTTCATATTTGTTGGATGTATTGGAGTGGGTGAATTGCTTGGACTTGCCTGAGGAGAATCACATGAGCTACTTATGTCTGATGAACTAATAGGTAAAGATGAACGCTGTTAAGAAAGAAATAAAAAATGAAATGGCACAAACAAACTTTTTTTCCAGCTATTAAATTCAAATTGCACATCTTTTGTTCTTACAAACATGCATATTTTAAAAAATATCAATAACAAAGTGTTAGAAGGAAAAATATATATTTCAGCCATGAAACAGAACTGATTTCAGTTTTTATAGATATTAATTTCATGTCTGCCAATACTTTGTCTATTTGATAGAGTAAATTGAAGTTTGTTTCAATAGGGAACAAAAATGCCTAAGTGTTGAAATTAATAAATTTCAAATTATTTACAGAATGTTTAAATTTCATCTTCCAAATAACTACATAATATATATGAAGGATACTCTGAGAGTAATACCTCTGATTTATTTCCATGGCAGCTACACAGATACAGAAAGCATAACAACACTGTTAGATATGGCAAGTTTTTAGTTACAAAATCATTTTTCCATAGTCACCACCATTGACTATGGATTTTTGCCAGTGATGAACAAGAGGCTGCATGCTGCACTTATAAAAAAATCTGCATCAGCAGAAATAACCTACTTTTTCAGTGTTGTTCATGTAGTCTATTTTTCATTAGACTGAACAGGTTAAAGTTAGAAAGTACCAAACACAGATTATATAGTGGGTGTATTAGGACAGTTTAAACAAAAACTGCAACTAGTGTATGACATTGCATTATTATATTGCTAATGAAAAATTTTCTTCTGTCCAGAATCTGAAAATTTGTGCCTTCAGCTTAACCAGTGTTACAAGGTAATGGTGAGAGTTGGTTGGTCTGGTTTGCAAAAAAAATGCAGGAGATTCACACGACTCCTATCCCCCATTTTGCCTGATAATACCTGAGATTTTAGCTTTTTGCTTGATAGAGAATTCACCTCTATCCATTCCATGGATTCATTTTTATTTTGGCTCTGCAGTGATACCATATTTCATAATCAGTAATGATGTACTCAAAAGAAACTGTCATTTTTAGCTTCCTTGTGGTACCATTCTTGTGTGAGCATATGTATGATACACCTAGTACAAACTTTGCATTATTCCAATGCTGTCAACATTATTTTCAGTGCAGTGAAGTTGACATTCAGTTATGTACACAATTTCTTGGTCATAATCAGCCAATTCACACAGATAAACTGATTGAAACATTCTTCATTTCAAAAGTTGACAGCAGTGCAAAACCACTTGGAATGTAGCTTCTCACACCACATTGCTGCTGCCACTGCTGAAACACATTAGCCACAGCCTAACTGTTTTCAGATCCACTGTCTGGTTTCTAAAGATTCAGCAAGTATCAGTTTTATCTGTATGAAAAAATTGAATGATACTTCTGCTTAATACACTTTCATGTCAGATACCATTTCGATGATCATCTGCTGTTTGTGACAAAGAAAAAAAAAAGATAGATTATTAACAAGAAGGCTCAACCTCTACTGCCACACAACCAACATTTGCATCTGATATCACAGGCCAACATAATAAAATAGGAGGCATTACTTTTGGAGAAACCTTTGTATATACTGAACATTGTGAATAAAATACTGACCAAGTAAGTTTTTGTCAGTTTAATTATAGTAAAAATGCTCTGTTGGAATGTTCATATGAATATAAATTATGCAACAACTAGCTTAATTATTGTATGGAACAAGTAAAAACAAATCTAATAATGATGTACATTATCCACACAAGTAACAGAAAATTTCTTTGACCTATATAAAAAAAATATTACTTAAATATGTAAAATACTAAAAATTCACCTTTGAAAAAAAATGATAAAAATATATTTGTAAAATCTAAGTGTTTTCATCTATATCTGATAGATTTCTTTTATAAAAAAAAAATTAATTTCATGAAAGAAAAATTCTTTAAACCAAAAAATAGCTTCGCAAAAATCTTTCTACATTTTTTTATACATTGGATGTTTATTAAAGCAGCTACAGTCAATTTATTTTCTAATATTGTATCTGTTATTAAAATGGCAAAATACAGTATTTTGACATTAATTGAGTTAATACTTGATACATGATCAACTGCATCAACAGGTAAGCTACAACATTTATATATAAAAATGAATTAAAAAAAAACAAAAAATAATTTAACGACTTATATTCTGAATGGAGTGAGAATTAATCTTACTACTACTAGTAGATACTTATGGAAGATATACAAATTGGTAATGGTTGCAAACTTTCAACCAATATGATGACAAGTTAGGGAAAAGTATCGTTAAGCACTTCAAATCTTTCATCCTTTCAGATTTTATACAGTATTGCACTAGAAAAGAATGATAATTTCATAAAAAAACACAGCCCAGGCACTTTCTTGATATACAAGTGAATGTTTAGCTTTAGATAATATTATCTTCAGCTATCACCATCTCACATTGAACTGTCATAATAGAGATTTTATATGAAGAAGCATAAAGAATATTTACTTTTTTCAAAAATGCTTAACATTTAACTACTGATCATGATGTCATCTGCACAGCAGCCTGTAATCATTTATGAGTTTCTTTTAAAGATAACCTAACTTATATACTTACACCATTATGCAATACCATCTGAAATGTTGGAATTCAAAAAGGAAAGCAAAAATAATAAAAATGAAAAATAGGATAAATCAAAAGGTTTAATACAAATAATGGATGATGTTGAAGGATAAAAAAATCATAGTCAAATGCGATTAACTATGTAGTAAAGGTAAATGTGATATGTTACATGCAAACATGTTACAGGCAGAGGGAAAATGTGTTTAGGAAATAGCATGCAGGGAACAATAACAGCAACAGTATCTTAAGTAGTAAATCTGAGAATTTTTTTGTGCAATAATTACAAATCATGAAATTAAATTCTTCACACCATCTAAATCTTTCACAAATATTCTAAGAAAAAGCAAGTAAAAATAGCTCAATGAATACTGGTTTTAAAATTTTAAGTGATATATGTATTAAAATAAAATAAAAAATAAAAGGACAGAAGCTTATTTTATAAAATAATATATAAATTAAAACAATATAAACAAATTAAGGGTTGAAGCTTATATAAGTTTTGTTCAACAGAAATGTTTTGTCTAAAATGATCGAGATAAAACAAATTAAATACTCAGAAAAAATGTTAAAGTCATTAAAAATTACAATTATTAAATGTAAACATTAATAAAAAAAAAGTAATTGTTAATACTGTAAAAAAAAAAAAAAAAAGTAAAAATAAAAATACAGGCCTCTTGTTTACTTTTTTTGTTTTCATCTATCTCTGTACATGAACAGATTTTAATTTAAATTTGCAGATTTTTGATGCAATTAGTATATATTAAAAAAAAAAAAAGAAAATAATATACTAATCAGAAATTAAAAAAAAAAGCAAACAAAAACATGATTATCACTATTGTAACAATAAAATATTAAAATAAACTTATCTTTGTCCAAATTATGAGTATGTATTGTTACTATTATACCAAATTCTAGTAAATCCCATTGTGAGTTGCCAGGGTTCAGAATGTCAACCATTGAGTAGTTTCCTGGTATAGTCAGTCTACCAAAAGTGTTCAGCCCATTTTGTAGGAATAAAGATGTTCTTATTTAGTCTACTCTCAGCATATATGTCTCATGTATCATATTATATGCCTCTTTGTCAAGGCTTCAACAAATGAAGTCTTAATCAGTGGTTTGAGATTAACTTGAATCCAATCCAACACTTTGCAAATGTATCAGCATCCAAATAAACAACTTTATGGAAATGTTAACTTTCTGTGTTCAAATGACCTACTTCCATTTAGGATTTGATATGTTTGAACAAAAAGATTACATGCTTATGGGATCCCCATTGTCTCTAGTTATGGTAAACCTATATATAAAGTGCTTTCAGGAAATGGCCTTAAGAATGATGTCATCAAGGCAATCATCTGACTGGGATAGATGACATGTTCATACTTAGATCACAATGGGAAATGGAATAAGTACTGTTGGATCATATGGATTTTACAAAACTTAAGTCCAATTTACCAGGCTTAATCTGAACTTCAATTTCAACCATCCATACACTAAAAAGAAAGGGAGTAATCTTTTACCTCTAAATATCAACATTCATATGTAACAACAAGAGATTTGCATTCAAGGAAATTCTCCAGAGCAATTATCAGCAGACGTGTTTAGAAGACAAAATTAGTTACCCAACATTCAAAGGCATGTCAGAGAAGATGCAAAGGTTATACAGTCTGTATAATATCAGGATAGTATTCAAAAGCATATTTATCATCAGTTAAATCTCCACTGAAAAAGAAATCACAAAATCTGTGTGCATAATATTCTATCCAGATGGAGTATTAAATATAAAAGAAATCTTTGTGGAGGAAGAAAAAAAAGGACTTCCAGAACATCAGAAAGCAATAGCAAGACTGGAAAGAAAAGAGGAACACCCAGCTTGCATAAAACAAATTTAAAACAATAGAATATAAACACTGAATAACATTAGAGAATGAGATGACTGAAAGAAGCAACAACACATGCTGTCTTCAAATCATCCCATCAATAGGGTAAGTATAGACATGGTGAGATAAAACTGAGCATCCTATAAGACATGGCCATATAAATAAAAGTAAAGCTTATCAACTAGATAAGTCATGAATTCAATCCCTGGGTCAGATAATGCAAAAATATATACTGGCCCTGGCTCAGTGAAGAAGTAGGTTGGCATCAGAAAAAAAAATTATAAAATTCATAAAGAAGGCCACAACCTATGATAGGTTCTTGGAATGAGAATAACAATCTCATTGATTTGATCAAATAAAAGATTTTGACATTTTTGTAAAGTTACTGAATGACTGGCTCTTGAGGAAAGCTAAATGGTACAACAACTAAAATACTGTGACAAAAGTATCAAAGATGTGGACTGTAGTCTAAATGAACAAAGTATAAATAATAATATATACTTGTGTCCCTAAAATTTAAACTCACTACAGTATTGTTATAGAATTGTTGCCTAGCTGTGTTTGTCCATTTAGGGAAAAATAGAAAATTGCTATTTACTAGAAATAAATGATTATAAAGATGTTGACAAATTTCTCATGGGTGCCACCATTTTGATTTTGAAAGGATTCTCTTCAATACAGAAAAAGACCAACATACAAAAAAATAAAAATACATCACAAAACAATTTGTTTTGTATGCTATTATATGTTTACACTGGTTTGAAAATAGCAATAAGAACTAGTTTGTAAGACAAACACTAGTGACTGACATTTCATGGTGTCATAAAAATGTGTGTACGTGTTGATAGCTGGCAATGTAGCTTTTGTAAAGTTTTCTCCACAGCAATAGAAATGTTAAACATATTTAAAAAATTATAATAGTATGCATTAAACTTAATGATAAATTTACTAAGTTTAATTAAAATTAAGACAATAATTTAATTATTAAAAAGGTTTTCTTTCAAAAGTAAATTATATATTAAATGCAATATTGTATTATTATTTGAAGACAAAAGACAAATTCATAGAATCCAGCTTTAGAAATTCTTTAGAATTCCTAAAATTTAATTATGCTGAAAGAGAAGACTGAATTTCAACAAAAGGACACCCAAAGTTCAGTCAGTGAAAAATGAAAATCAGATTACAATTTCGCTCTTTATGGGGCTGTCAAGCGCACAATTCTAATGAGGAATTCAAGCACAGCAAGGTGAGGCAGAAACTATGACAAGTGGTACATGAAATTAAAAAATCTCAAGGAGGAAGAGAGAAAATGAGACAATGAAGCAGAAAGAAAAATCTCTAACAAGAAATGAATGATCCATTCAACTTTAGCAAGAATTTTAAAGCAATCTACTGACTCACAAGAATATTTGGCTGAGCTGAGTTAATGTGATCATGACACTGACAAATATTTTTTTTAAAGCATTATGCAAAGTAGTCCACAATTTAACAACAAATTGCATTGTCTGTTGCTTCACAATAAACATTTGTTATCTGCTTACAAAACAGCTGGATCCTGAATTCCAACAGTTCAGATTTCTCTATTCTTCTTGAGTGTACACTGATCTGAGAAGAATCACTAATTAGTAAAATCCATTTTTCGTTTTAAACATGTGATATTAGAATTATGGAGTCGTGCATTTTAGGGATCCTATTTCCTGATAAGAGCGCTTAAGATCAGTAGGAAATAAATTTAACTTTACCAATTTTTTTTAAATTACCACATTTGATGGTATATAAAACTACTTTTCATCACATAAAATAGTTAAAAAATATTTCCTGGGTCTTATATATGAAGTTATTCACTCAGACTGTAAATTACCAGTACTGCATAATATTATAATATTAACTGTACATATGGGGGAGGTATATATACCATTAAATAAGGTTGTTAAAGATTTGATTCAGTAAGAAAAATAATCACTTTCGAAAATAAAATAACATAAAATTGGAAATAATATGACAAAAACAATTTGGGATAAATCTTATAAATTATCATTAATGAAACTATTTCTAAATTTTTTTATTAGTGAGTGGAGAAATTTAAAATCAGAAAATGCAGTAAAACTAAATTCTGTATTTCAATGGGATTTTCATATCATCAGGCCTGAATTTTTATAATAAAACAGCAATCGTTCAATAATTCTTATTTTTAATGCAATAAAATAAAAACAAAAATATAACATTCATATAATGCAAATAAACTAAAGAGTGAAGAAGTAACAGAAAAAGAAAGGAAAGTGAAAATAGAAAAGTGTTAATAGCAAAGAGAGAAAAAGTGCTTAATAGCAGAAGCCAAGTTTGAGCTGACCATGTGGATTGTCAGTAGAGGTTAGTGGCTTATTGGTCAAGATTAGTCAATCAGTTTAACAGCTTAACTGCAAACACATGGTTACTTTCTCTTAAATGTACAAGGCTATAGTGTTCTCCCAGGTGTAATGCCTTGTGTTGAAAATGTATTTGAAAACAATTAAAAAGGAATTCTGATGATGATTTGTATAATTAAGCAAGTTCATGTTTTTTTTAAACTAACTTGTTCATCAATTGTGAAATTTGTCATTAGTGAACTGTAGAAAACAAATTATTTATTTTTAAAGGGGAAAGCCTGCAATGAGTGGAAGGCATTTTGTATTGAATGATGCAGCTAAGCAAAAAAAGGTTAATTAAATGTCACTGATTCGAGACTGTTTCTTTTTCTCATGAACTATGTGCATTTAACACAAATAGAAACATTTTGCAACAGTAGAAGCTGGTGATTACAATGCAGTGTAAAAATAAAGAAAGCTGTATAAAAGCAAATCTAACTAGAGGCCAACAGTGACTTTATATCAATCACTTTCTTCAGTGGCACTCCTCAAATGAAGCAAAAGAGTAACATAAAAAGGTTGACTGTTCTCTTTGAGCAAATTTTTTGCTTGATAGTAATTCAGTTAGTTTTGGCATGGCAGATGAGTAAACAGAAATATCTCATTTCTCTGTTGAAACCATTTACAATTTCCTAAACAAATGATATGTACAGTTTCTATGCATGTTTATAATTATGACATATAAAATTATTTTTTTAACCTATGAATAATCTGAAGGACAGCTGGACATGATATAAAAATTCTCTTAAAGTTCAAACAAAATACCCTTAGATACAACTGTTTTTTCTTCTTTTTTTAAGATACAATTTAGATACAACTGTTTCTTAAAAAAAAAAAAAAAGAACATACTGATTGATGACATGGTGCCTTGGAATTTTTCATTTTTTCTTAATTTTTTGTAGTATTAAGAATTTTATGTACTAGACGAGGACATTACGTTTTAAAAGATTGCTTCCATACACAAGAAACTATATTAATTATATTTTCAAATCTGCTATTAAATTTTTAATAAAAAAACAAAGTTTATTTCTGACTCTCAATCATTTTCAATTGATTCTATCCAGTAATTTTAGCTAAATACAATTTTTGGTTTAAAAAACTTAGAAAATGTGTTTTATAATATTCTAGCAAACTATAATTGGAAATATGTGAATGTAAAATAAACTGAAAACTCAAAGTAGTACTTCAGTGGTAACAGGATTATCAACTTGAAGTTAGAAGTACATTCCAGTGACCTGCTAAAAGAAAGTGAAACCAAAAACAAAAAAAACAAAAAAACTTTAGGCTTTTATGGGAGAACACTAACAACAGCAAGCAGAGAATAGTCTGAATGATTGACCACATGACAATAGGAATAAATCCATGACCACATGATGTTGATGGTAGCATTGACGAGATGTAGATTGTTCATAGATACCTCCTTGATGAAGTCTCTTTGGTGATATCCAGATGGGAGCAGGGGGTAGCTGGGGTCAGAGCCTCCTCCAGCAGCAACCTGGCTGTGTTTGCTGGATGCATCCGACTTTGAGCGAGACACACTGATGTCCCGAATGTCTACTACATCTCTTGTTTTGTAGATGGAGGCTGGAACGGAGCCGTGTTTAATGTGTTTGGACCCCCCTGGCAGCTGTTCAGAGGTCATTGATACAGACAGACAAACAGAAGGAAAAAAGCACATTATTCAACAATCAAATAAATACACATCACAAATACTCAAGAACAGACTAAAGGGAAAAATCAAATACATCAAGAAAACATTATAATAAAATTAAAAACACCGATGTTGCATTATAAACTTATAAAAAAGGTGATAATTCTGTGATTTTTAACATAACATCTGAAATTAATTCGTTTATGAAACAATCTTATTGATATTACAAAACTAAATATCATTTAAAAACTATCACATTTAATTTTTATTATTATTTAAATATTTTTTATTTTATTTTATAGAAAAAAAAATTTTTTTTATATGCCTACATTTATAAACTGACATGTAAAATATCATAGGATAGGTGCCTTGTATTATGTAGGATGCACTCTAACCTGGCAAAGAGCAGCAACTTGATAAGGTAACAGATCTACAAGTTGAAGACCTTTAGAGAATGTTGAAGTTATGACATCTTGTTAGCTATCCACAACCCCTTAAAATTTGTAAGTGCAAGATCTTGTATGCAAATAGACCTCACCACTACATCCCATAAATTCTCAATTGGGCTTATGTCTTGCCAACATTACTAGAAGTCTCCAGATTGCTCCTTAAATCAATTGTAGACAACTTGGGCCTGACAACAAACAGCATGCATTATCCTGCTGGAATAACTTGTCCTTGTTGGGGTACATGGTGTCATTGAATGAATGCAAATAGTCACAAAATTGTGCAATGTAGCAGCTATTAATTAATGACTTGTTCAGGTGGAGCAGTGGAGCCATTCCATGTCATGTGAACAACTCCACACCATATTGGAACCACTACTGGCCTGTACAGTGTCTTGTTGACAGCAGGGATCCATGGCTTCATGAGGTCTACACCACTCACAAACCCTACCATCAACCTGAAACAACTGGAATTTCAACTCATTGAACCATACTACAAGTTACCAGACCTTCAAGGTTCAATTAGCAAAATCACAACCCAGGTGAGACATTGTGCCAATGTGTTAACAGAAGCAGTCTGGTAGGTCTTCTGTTTCCATGTGGAATGAAAACTCAAAAGCTCTGAAATGACTTGCTGGCGATAGAACTAGTACCTTCTGCATTAAATATGGATGTAATTTTAGCCAGTGTCACTTGTCTATTATTGCAAACAATTCTAGCTAGATGCCTCTGGTCATAATCTTTGAGGATCAATTTTCAGTCACTGCATTGTTCATGGTGGGTAGTAGTACTGCCCATGTGACACTGTAGATCAAAGCATGTCAAATGTTCCCACAATTTAAAAAAATGGAATGTCTCATTTATCTGGTACTCACTATTATGCCCTGTTTGAACTCTAATAATTAACCCCACTTTACTATGAGCAGCCTAGTCACTGTTCACACCAACTCATCAGATATCAGAACACAATTGATATAGGTCTGGACATTTACATAATATCAAGGTATGCTGGCACCACCTACCATTACCTGTATATAATCCATGACTTGACACATCAGTGTCATTATAGTGGTTATTCAAAATAAGTTGCTTGTGTAGATTAAGAGTTGCAGTTTACTCATTGTAAAAGTAAAATGGAGGTCAAGAGTTTAAATTAGATACAAGTACTTATGAGAGGCCAAAAGACCATCCAGTTGGTGTGTCATTCATCTTTTGTGTCAATATACTGTATCAGTCATATACAAGTGAAAGTAATGGAGTCAAGTTAAAATAGGTCATATGATATTTAACTTCTTTTTTCTCATGTTAATGACCAAAGAGTAAATGATAATTTTACCTGTTAATGCTAATAAAATGTATTATAGCTTAAAATATCAAAAAATACCTAAATATTTTTATAAGAATTAGATCATAGGTTTTGTACATTTTACAAGTTCTAGAAAGATGTAAAAGTGGCCCTGATCCCAACAGTAAAAACTCAGACTTTGTAAAATGTATCATACTCAAATACTGATTTATGGTAGTAACTACTGTCAAGAAACATACACCTTTCAAAAAACAAAAACAGAAAAAAGGCTGAATAAATAGAATTAGCAGTTTGTTAAAATAATGGTTTCAAGGTAAGTCTTTAAATCTACAAAAAATTAAGCTACTACTGCCAAATTTACACACTGCTAACCATGACAAAGAGGGGTTGATATTTTTATGTTAACTAACAGAATGAAAGAGTGAACTAAAGATATTTTTTTATTTTGCTTCCCTTCACTACCCTCATATCTGTTGTAAATGTTTCTGTTGGTCCATTCTCCAGATTAAATTAACTGGACTCTTACTCTTTCATAGCATAAAATAATGAGGATATGATATTAAAAATAAAATTTTATAGTACTGTTTAAGACATGAAAAATTACTTACTAAATAAATATACAAATTTTCAACAGAAAATGAAATATTAACATAGTGTGAATTAAAAGTATCAAAATGTTCTAACATATTGGGAGCATTAATTTTTAACTTTCACATAAATGAAAAATAGCTTAAGATTCTATTTCATAAGATTTGCCTATTGTAATAAAAATTAAGAGAATAGTTTCAGAAAATAAGAAATCACTGTGCATCAAATATTAAGTTACAATTCAGGCAGAACAGTAATCTACTTCAGATGGTTATCATTAGAAAAAATAGCAAATATTTTACATCTACAAAATACAATACAATCAAATAAATAGACATGTCCAACATCCTGTTCTAATATGCTACTGAAAATTTGTAATAATTAACTACCAAGAAAAAGGCATATTAGTCATGGACACATGTGAAATATAATTATTTTTTAAACCAATAACTATATGTATAGAATTCTGTGTAAAGCAGAAATATTAGAAAGCATAATGTTATTAATTTGCCTCCTTAACTAAGAGGAAAGGTTAATGTATTAATCCAATATACCAAGAGCATGTAAAATCTACTTTAACAAGGCTCATTACAAATTTACATCAACTAATTAACAAAAGTATTGATTTATTAAAAAAATAAAATATGTACATTTGTTTTATAATTGAGTGTGAGTGTGCATATACTTTTCAAAATTTACTTGTTAAATATATATTTAACAGTGAACAAAAACAGTACCAGTCTGACAAAATGATAAAACTTTATTTGCTAATCTGTTGCTGTGACAATATGAGATTTAGCCATAAAATAAAAAGAAAAAAGAAATCACTTTACCCAATAAACACAAATACACAGTAAACAAATAAGTACTAAAAATTACATAAGGGAACTGCTACATGTTTGAAGAGGATACAGTATGAGGTAATGGAGGAGAGAAATGGTTTACCATGCCAACAGAAATGGGTAGCAAGAGGAAACAAGATGGAAGCGGGAACAGGAAAATGGGAAACAAAAGTTGTAGCCAAAATATTAGCATTCTTCAGTAATGTTGCCGGAGAGCACAAAATAGTTGCCATGCGCTGGAATAAGGTGAAGACAAAGAAGACATTTTGCAGTAAAAGATAAGTCACTGACAAGTTAGTTACTAGTGGTGGCAGAGGAAGCAATTTCATAAGGACTTAGTTTATATTCTTCTCCAGAAAAGAAAAAAAAATGGAGGGTGGGTTGCAGGGAGAAACAAACTTTCCTTCCTATCATAAAACTTGAGCAAAATGAAAAATTGGTCAGAGTAAATACAAGCCCACCTGGAGAATATGGCATGCTCCATCAGGTAAATCTGTTGTTTCCTTCACCAATCATATTAGCATAGTTGGCTCAGCATTAAGCATAAAAGTAGCCATGCAGACCTTAGAAAAGTATTTCTACCTTTTTGCTTATCACTGTAATTCCATTTGTTCAAATATAAACTCCACAATAGTGCTTTAATAGTATAAACATGTATAAAGCAGTAATTTGTTTTCTTTTTTCAAATAATAATGAATTTGAGGAACAATCCAAAACCGAAAAAGCATTCAGATTTTTTTTTTCATTTTAGAAAGGTCTGGTTTTATTGTCTATAACAGCAGGTTTTCAAATACCAAAATCTTAAATGCTAAAATGTATTACATTTAATAATTATCTTAAAAAATGTTTATCACGGAAACATTATTAAAATAAACTGAAGTATACACAATTAGTATATTGATAGTAATAATTTTGTTAAAAAAAAATTGCTATGTCTAAAATTTTGAAAATATTTGATTTAGCAGAGGTTTCTTTTAAATTTCTTAAGGGCATTGATAATAGTAGATATCGAAAGGAAAACATTAAATTTTCTAAAATAAATTAGAAATGTTTTTAAAAAAAATGTCTGTCTTTGACTTCATTTGTTTGCTAATTCCTTTAGCCAAGTGCTTGCAGGAACTTTTGGCTTGTGAATCTGGCAACAGCAGAATAAGGGTGATGTAAATAGTTAATACATACCCTGGCTGGCAAAGTCTCCGGTAATCCCAATCCAGTATAGTCAGTCTGTGAAGAAAAATATGTATTGGCTTTGTAAGGTAGAAAGAAAATGAAAACACCAACTGTAAATAGCTATAGCAAACATACATATTTTCTAACTCAAACCTTATTCACATATTTTCCTAAATACAGTATAGAAGTATTCAGATATTTTCATGCATATTTAATTAATTACATTTTCTAGTACATATTTTTGAGTTAGACAAATCAGGCATCTAATAATCTAAGGAGTAAAAAAAGTTTTATCAAAGAATCATATATTAGTACTAATATTCTGACTTCCTCTAAAAAAAAAATAAGTAATCCTTGAAATCCACTATCATATTGTTTATATAATTTTTTTTATGCCTATACAAGTAAACAATATATCTCATAATGATGATAAAAGAATATTAAACAAAGTTTCTTACCTGATATTCTCCAGTCATCTGTCGCAGCTGATTTTCCAAAGTACGCACTGTTTTTTCTTTCTCATTTAACTCTCCCTGTACTTTTTCTGATGGATATTTATTGTAAATTTTCCGTACTTTCTGTAAAACAAATTTATATAAGCAAATGTAAGGTCTTAATCCCACTTGTGAAAGCAAATTTTGAATATCATGTATAAGTTCTACCAACTGTTAGTAGTTATTTGTTGATAGTAGACATACAAAAGTATCAACATCTCATCCAACACATGCTTAAAATAGGACATACAACTTATGTACTTCTTTAGATAAAGACTCATTATAGAAATACCACTTATGTAGCCAATCCTGTATGGAACTAAAACTTTAAAAGGATGGTTAACTAGCCATGTTAGGGATATATTATTTGTATTGTATAGTTTACAAAATAATTGTTGTTGTTAATAATATAAATCCAACAGAAGAGTGAGAAAAAATTGAGATGTCATTTATAATATAAAAGATTTATTTAACAATTATCATAGAAATGGTGAAAAGAATACTTCAATCTAGAGATGGGAGGTTTAACCAAAAAACAACTTTTTTCCAGTTTCATCTTCACACCATGAAACTGCATCGAAATTTCTTGCAAAACCAAAATCATTTGGTTTAGTGATATCACTACTGAGTGACCATATCCAAAGAAACACTATTGAAAAAGACTTTCAGATGTTAATAAAATTAAATTTTATCAACATTTATATCATTGTAAGAGAAAAAGTGAACAAAAATAGGTTAAAAATATTTAATGGACTAGTTTTAAGAAATAAATGTGAAATCTATTTGTTTAGAAAAGAAATGAAGAAAAAAAGGAAATATGACATATGACACTTGAAAATCATAGAATGTTTTCAGACAGAAAAAAAAGAAAAATACATGTCTGAAATCTATTTGTTTCAGTTTTTTAAAAAAAGATTTTTTGTGGTAAAATTAAGTTAACAACAAAATAGTGAGTAAAAACAAAAAAATAGTTGCCTGTTTTGTCTTAATGTTAAATTTTATGAAGTCAGGTTTTTTGTAAGAAGGGTAATTGTTTTCTAGTAAGCCAGTATCCAATCACAAAGTTGTTGTAAACAAGAAAAATGAATTAATTTTTTTTTTTTATAAATTTGTTTTTTTATCTAGGGAATGCACCTAAATTAGATATTAAGAATAATTAAAATAGTTCTTAATTTTCACTTTTAAAATGTGTATATTTCCACTTTTTATGCCTTAATATTTTCTATGGCAGGCCATAAGTGTAAAGAAAATACAAATTATCAGCATTTCTGGATATAAACAGGAGAATTCTTTGCCTCTAAATAAAATAATCACTTGCAAACAAGTATCTGTCAGTGTCAGACAGTAGTTTCAATAATTTGAAAGTTCTTTTACCACACATTTATTACTATCAGTTACTCTTTATTTTTTTTGCTTATTTTATAATTTTTGAAGGAATTTGCTTCCACAGGTCAGAGAAGAAATGAACATGTTCCTTGTTGTAGTTTAATGTGTCTTCTAATTGAGTGTACAATTCCAAGAATATTGATAAAGATTGGTCACTTTGACTTTGCAAAACAAAGTAATGTGTAAAATTTAGTCTGGAAAAAACAAAAAAATATTTTGCATTTTTGGTCGTTTGAAGCAAAATACCGTTTTAACTTGCTGTAAAAAAAAAAAAAAAAAATTCAATGAATAAAAGCACATACAAATTACATATTTAAAAAGATTATTTTCTTTTCTTTCCAGCCTTATGAATCTTTTTAAAATTGGGCCAGAAATACATGAGAAATTGCAAATTGAACGGACTAAGTTGCAAATTTATCAATCTCAAACAAAATCAGATATTGACTGGAAATGCTATCATTACACAAGAAAATGAATGGCTTCCTTAGAAAGCAAAAATACTAAATTAAAAACCAGAAAACTGAATCGGAAACCATATCAAGGGAAAAAAAAAAATCAGAAGCCGAGACCAAAACATAAATTGCCAAACCGACCAACTCTACTTCAATCATGATAAACTTGTACCCACAATATCTGGAAAATTGTTCAAAGTTAAAAAAAAAAAAAAAAAAAAAAAAAAAAAAAACTATAGCATATCTGAAGTTATTATGTAAATCACATAACCTAAAATCCATGCCCAATATTTGTTAAATTTAAAATAGTCCATTGCCACCCTTGGTAAAATCTCTAATTTTTAGTCATTTTAATGGTTTTATTTTGAGATATTTGGAATTTATGAAAGTGGAGTTATTATGCAGAAATTCAGCTTTTGGAATCTAATAAAAACTCCTTTTTTTTTTTTTTTTTTTTTTTTTTTATAACATACTAGCAGTAGAGCCCAGTGTTGCCCGGGGATATAACAGTAAGAGATAGATCAAGTATCGACCACCATAAAGACTGAAAAATAAAATTGACAAAGATTATTGTTTAAGGTTGACGGACATGCATGTCTTAATTAGGTTTTTTTTTTTTTTTTTTTTTTACAAATTGGTCAAACCCAAACTCAAACAAAAACATTGTTTTCAATCGTTATGAGTCTACCGATTGAATAGAATTTTATTATAAACAATTGTCTTGTAAATGGAATTTTTAAAGCATTCTGAATGTAGAAATAAAGAAAAAAGTGTGCAAGACAATAAGAAACACTACCTGCCAAAAAAAAGTGAAATTTTGTTGAAATCGGTTGAAAAATGTAGGAAATCTGATCCCATATATAAACAAACACACACACAAACAACTAACCTGGGTTTTATAATAAGTATAACTCGATATTAATAAGTATAACTCGATATGAGTTGTCCCCCTTTCATTAATGCCTCTTAATTGTGTTTTCAAATTGATTTCATGCAAAAACAATTGTGTTTTTACAATTTTTGGCACTGTCAGAACAACTGTAAGGTAATTTTACGTAGTCCTGTGAAGTTTTATTGAAATCGGTTGAAAAATGTAGGAAATCCGATCCAATATATAAACGTACAGACACACACACAATCTGCGTTTTATAATAAGTAAGATATTGAAACATAAGGTAATGGAAAAAATGTAACAAATGCTGAAAAACAGAAAATAACAGTTCCTGAGTGAGGGAGCACCAACATTGGAGATATCAAAAGAGCTTCACAGAGATCATCAAATGATAAAGAGGATTGTTGAAAATATAACTAAGTTGAGAACTAAAAACAAAAAACGTTTCAGGAAATTGTCTCCTAGAAAGAAACAATCAAAAGTGAGTTATAGTGAAGCGACCACTTTTGACCAGTAATCAAATCTTTGAACAGGCTGTAATTGAGGAAGTCAAAAAGACAAAAGGTGCAGAATACTTTGCAAATTGGTATCTATCAAGAAGTTTCCTGGGCAAACTCCTTTTGGTAAAGCAAATATTTTAAAGTCTCAAAATTGGGCCAAGAAATACATGAAAATTGACTTTCCTAAAGAAATTTTCATGGATAAATCTCAGGTGATATTCGATGGACCTGATGAATGGGCCAAAGGATGGATTTTATCTGATGCAGATGTGCTTGTGGCTGAAAGAAGGTAACAAGGAGGTGGCATTGTAGTAATATGGGATGGAATTGTCACCCAAATTATTGGACCATTCGAAATCAGATGGAGTTAAATGGAATAGTGCTAACTATTGCAATTTCATGGACAAGACTTTCATTGAATGGTACAAATCCCAGTCTTGTTTCAAAGTTAAGTGTGCTTGTACTTCTCATCTAAATACGGTTACCCATGAATTTTTTGAATGTAAAAGTTTACAGGAAAGAAGATAATAAAATGGTCACCCTCTGAATCCAATCAAAAATCTAAGGTCAATTGTGAAGATGAAATTATATGAAGGTGACAAACAATATGATAGCAAAATTAAACCTGCTGAAGTAAAAAAATTTAACAAAATGGATAATAGATTGCTGGCTGTTATTGAGAAGGGTCACTATATTAAGATTTAAATGCTTCAAAGGCACATATGTTTGTCATTTATTCTATTATAGATCTTGATGAATTGTTGGTGATTACCTTGTTACTGAAGTAAAAAGGGAGTTTCTGATTTTGCATAACAACTTCATGTTGAAGTATTTTTTAAAATAAATCCAATAACTTTAATAAAACATGTTGAAACAACCTAAAAATTTAACTCCAGTTTTATTTAAAATTTGCTGAGAATTTTTCAAACCAAATTTGAGTTATTGAGGTCTGTGATTTGCATAATAACTTCAGATAGATTGTAAATGATCCAATAAGTTTTCAAAATTCATCAGAACAATTTTGTTTATTATTAGTGTCACTCTCTAAGTAGCTATCTTCATAACTTTACTTTAAGATTTTATTTTGTCAATTTGCTTTAAATCAGCTTCTGATGCTAAACATAAAATATAAAAACATCTTTTATTTGGAATTATCTATGCGAATTCTTTTCATTTCAAAATAATGAGTTTTTTTATTATCTATTTGTACATGACACTTTTATCTAATTCAGATTCTTATTAAGTAGACTCTACCAAATTTATTTTATTAAAATATTAATATCATTATTATCTTCTTCAAATTGATTTATTTGAATATTTGCCCTAAAGAAAATGCTTAAAGTCTTTAAGCAAAAGAATCTGTTTGACAAAAATTAAAAACTATTAAATTTTAAACTAAGAAATTGATTTAGGAGGATTTCGAGTGATACCATTCACGAGGAAAAAATATTAAAACTACTTTTTAAATCCTAAAATTAATATAAGTACTTCTGAATAATAAATACAAAACAATAAATAGCAATAAAAGAAAAAAAAATGTCATAATTGATAATTTCTTCCCCCAACTTAAAATCTATCAAGTAATTTATCAATGAATTGCTGCATATGATGAAAAAGGGGACATAAAAAGATTTTCATTTCAGACAGCATTAAGGAATTTTTTTAATATGTTTTAATGCTTCATGACAACCCTACACCACAATGTTTGACTCATCTACTTTTTTTTGTCTTACTTGCTGCCAATAAGCACATGAATACATTTTCCTTCCACCTTTGCTTTTAAACTGTCATCACCGAAAGGATTCAAATTATTTGTTTCACATATTTCTTTATTAATGTGCAGAGGAATAATGTCATTTGTTGCTTTAATAATCAATTTTGTATAAAGAAAAAATTAGAACAATCGAAAGAGGGAGGGTGATACAAATCTGGAAAATTATGGCAACATCAAAATAATTTCAATTTTAATGTAATTGCTAGAACTTTAATACTTGAACCCTTAACTTTTTCAGCTATTTTTTCCCATAGAAATGTATGAAATTCCATGAATAATATAGCAGTAGGTTTGTAGTAAATATAAGTATCAACTTTTTCATTGTAAAATTGACAGCAGCTTTGAAAAAAAAAAAAAACAAACAACAAAAAACTATTATAATAATCAGTAACAAAGTCAACATGGGCTAATAATATAGGTTAATAGAAAAAGCAGGCAGCAGGAGGAATTTTGAAACTGAAATGTCAATGCAATCTACATTAAGCAATAGAACAAGAAATTCATAAAATATGAATGGTTTATAGCAGAAAGAATTCTGGAATAAAAAAAATAAAACCTGTTCATTATGGCAGTGAATTTAATTTTCATACTTTCAATACTGATTTTATTAATTTATTATTCAGTTATTACCAGGTTATGTGAGGTTAAAGATAAAGTTATATTTGTGAAGTATTACATTTCCATAAAAGGAATTAAAATAATAAATTCTAACTGGCTATAATATACACAAATGTAAAATGATACTGATAATTTTAACAAGAATGCATAAAAGATATGCATTGCTAAGATATATCTAAGAGAGACAAATGCCTTGATAATAAAAATCCATTAATATATACATTTAACAATAGAGATCTATTTTGTGAATAATACCTAAAAATATTTTTTCACTTTGATTAATTATTAAATGCATTTGAATAAGAAGTATACATCACACATTTCAGATGTTCTTTCAATCAGTGGCTATTTTACTTTACCTTTACATTATTAAAAGCATGAAAAATTTAAAATTAAGATGAGTTGTAAGAGTGTGTCCAAACAAAAAAATTATTAAAAAGGAAAAGAAAACTAAATGTATAATGTAATAATTCTTATTCTTAACTGGAAAGTTTTAAATATTATCATTATCAGTATATAAAAATCAAATAAAAGTAATCAGTGCATATGTTTAATTATACGTGTTTTGTGAAAAGAAGATTATCTTTGCAAAGATAAAGTTTTTGTAGTCAACAATATAAAGAGCATTTACCTCACATTCTTCTTGCTGCAATGATAACATTTTCTCAATTGTCTGGATCTTCTGTTGTCGCATATCCTCCTCCTTCTCTTGCTGGAACATAGAACAAAGGAAAATAAAAATTAAAAGCAAAATCAATGAAAATAACCAAATAAATGACTGGTTATCACATCCAATATCTATCCAACAGTTGAATAACAAAGCTAAACTCTTGAAACATCTTGAAATTTTTTTAATTAAAAAATTACATTTATTTTTATAATAAATGAAAATTCTTAATTAAAAAATATGCCATTTTAAAGTGATATAAATAGAAAAGAGTTATAAATGAAAAGAGAAAATGAAACCAAATCTTTAATATCTATGTCAATTTAGGTATAATTCAAGAACAATGAGGCAAAAAATAAAAAAAGGGTGGAAAAACATGAAAGGTTTGAGTTTCAAATTTGCTTTGCATAATGTCATAATGACATTATGCAAAGCAAATATGAAACTCTAGAAATAAAAACTGAAAGACAGTTTTTAAAGTGACTGAGAAAATAGAAGGAAAAACTATGAGAAAGAAATTGAATTAAAATTATATATTTAAATATAAAACCTAGTAAAAAATATACATAAAATAAGAGCATTCATATATTCTAAATCTGAAAAAAAAAACAACAAAAAAAAACAAACAAAAAAAAACAACAGGTGCAGAAAATTTGTCAACACTTAAATAAAAACATTGAACAGAACTTGGTTACTAACAATGCTATATAAAAAAGGAATTAGGCTTACAAGGAATGCAATTGATATTTTATTTATATAAAGCAATCTTCTGAGAAAAATGTTGTTTTATAAATAAAATTTGTATTTGACAAGATATATATCTAATCCATTAACAAGAGTAATGCTTCTGAAGAATGCTAAGGTGCCAATACTACTGAAACTATAGAATGCCATAACAGCAAAACTTTCTGATCTGATAGTGCATAATACCTTGAACAACAGTAGTTTGTGAATACATTGACAGTATTAACAATCCAATATCAAAATTTAATCAGCATTTTGTCTTATTTCCAATAAACACTAATCAGAAGGCCAAAAAGAAAATGAAAGTCATAACCAATGCTATTGCAATAAAAAGTGATACATTTTATCTCATTTTATTTTTATTACCATAGTTTTTCATAAAGAGAGCAATAGCACAACTTTTTTCTTGTCTTATGTTGGTATATCTACCTGATGCTATTAAGCAGTTATGTGCAATATGTGGGTGGATGAGTGCATATATAGTTATTAAAACTTATGAACTTTAGACAGCACACTTACAGCAAGCCAGAGCATTCTTGTATTTCTAATAATAGTCCACAACTGAAAGAGTTACTTGGGGAACAAATGAAAAATCAACAAAGTTTATTTTCCAAAAAACAATATTGCACTTCAGACAAAAGTGAAAGGTCAGAGTAACTTTTCACCAATTAAATAACTTAAGTTCAAGTGAATATATAAATTTAAGAAAAAAAATTATTTGATATGGCCCGCCAGCAAAATCTGAAAGATTTTATTTTACCCTTTGGTGACAATACCAATTTTCTTCAGTGTCATAAAGAACATATAAGTTTAATATTAACTTTTTTTTTTATAATTTAAATTTATATCTTAAAAAGAATGATGCATATAAGTGAAATCACAGTTTGAAAAAAAATAACTTGCACACTGATTTACTAGCTATTGACAACACATTTAATTAATCTAAGTATATTTTTTAAAAAAATGTATGAATGAAATACTAGTCGATTAATGGACAATAGAAACAACTTGAATAACAATTGTTATTGCTAAGAATTGAATAGAAACAGAGGGGGTGGGAAACAAAAAGAGACAGAAGGCCGTTATGCCAACATTCACATTTTAAAAAATGTGAATGTTGGCATAACAGTCTTCTGTCTCCTTTTGTTTTTGTTAAGAAAAAGTAAATGACCACTATATTTTGAATTTGAGCACCTAAAAACAATACTTTGCTTACTGATCTTGTAAGTGAATTTATTTATTAAATGTCCAATGTTTTGCTTAAACATAAGTGCCATCTTTGGTGTATACATGTTCATATATATTCAGGATAGGTCTTTGATTATTAAAAAAAAATGCAGAAGATAGAAAACAGATTCCCTAAGACATCAGCAAAATGTCAAAGTTTTACCAACATTCTGGTAATAAACTACAACAGAGATGTCATTTACACACAAAATTTTAAATAGAACAGTAATACCATAAAGAGTGGTCATTATATATTACTGTTTGCTTTTATCTATGCTAATAACTTGATGGATAGCATCAATCCTTTTGTTCATTATTCAAACTTGTGTTATCATTATTTAATAGAAATATTTTTGGTTATTCACCATTTATATTTAGATAATTTTGTAACCAAGGTTGGTCTTCCATGCTGTCTAGGAATTCTAAGTATGTTCTGTGTTATAAATATTTAGGACAAATACAACAGACCAAAATGAATAACTAATCAGGCCATTTAATATTTTTCCTCTATACTAATCTTGCTTCATCAAATTATCACTGAAATTCTTAAAAGCATCAAGAAATTTCCATTTCAGTCATGATGATATAAATATGCCAAAATAAAAACAAAAGCTTTTCAAGAACTTTAGAACATTTTGTTTTGTTTAAAAAGAATGATTGTTATTTTTATATCCCAGTGTAAGCATTGCGTAATATACATGTTGCAGTTGAATAGGATGCTATGAAACTTTACCTTTCATTCAGATTATAAAGCTAATTAATAGAAGTATATTTTACAAAACCATCTAAAAGGCAGATAGTACAATTTTTTAAAAATTATTAAAGATGTTTCTCTGAGTCACCTAGATTTAAAATAAAGTGTTCCTATATAGAAATTTGGCAAAGTTTTTATTTTATCTAGTAGTTTGTAAGTAGAAAATCCAACTTTTTCTAAAACGATAATCAAATTTAATTGGGGAAAAACATTCTTTTTCATAATAACTTATTTACGCAACTTTATAAATTGGAGCTGATGACTATATTCCTTTACCACTTGCAATATCTTTCAATATGTTCTAATTATATATCACCCCTAAATAAAAGAGATATTCAAGAAATTTCCGTGATGTGCAGTTTTTGTCCTTTTTGTTTTATTTACATGACATTTCCAGTAATCTCTCTTTAGATTGGAAGTACATTAAGTGGTATTCAAGTCATTAAATGGCAATTAGCTAAGATTAGTTTTATACATCACCACAAGCTCCTCAGATTCAGAAAAGTTCTAAGGAAATTAATGATAATTTAAGAAAATACTTAATATTTCAGATAATTTTTTAAAAAACTTTTTCTCATAATGCTACTCTTCTCCATCTCTCAAGACATTAAGGTCAGCATTTTCTGATAGTCAAGTTTCATTTCAATAGATTATAAAAATTTATGAAAAGATACTTTTCAAAGAAATATTCAGCTATATATTTAAGTTATTTTCTTTAAATAACATTATTACTTTAACATTGTCAAAAATAATTTTTTGTGAGTATAAGAGATTCTATTTTTATTATAATTTATCAACATTCTAAAGTTGTTAGTTTTGAGTAGCAATGCAATTCCAACTTTCCTTTCATTATATGCACATTTGTGAGCTACAAAATTTTATCACTAGAATTTACAAATAAATTTCTAAAGAGAAACAATGTAAAAGAATGCAAATATTCTAATTAACAGCAGTATCTGAATTATATATAGACTTCACATATGTTCTGTTCTTTTTAGTACTGTCCTGTTTTATGGAGCCTGTTCAGCAATATAGGCTATCCATATTTTTATGTGTATCATTACTGAAACTTAGGTGTGTTGGGCTGTAAATACATTTCATTATATATAATAAAAAAAATAAAAATTAAATATTTCAGGTTTGGAAATTATGCTAGTACATGTCATTCATATCAATATAAATATTATAAATATATCTGACAGGCACAAAGAAATGAAAATGAAAATGAGATGTAAGAACAAGTTTTTGTTTGAATTTTCATTTTCTAAAGTAAGGGAACTTGGTTCAATAATCTTAATATCTTAAAAAATTTATTTTTAAATTCAATTAATAAATCCAGCACTATATAATAGATTTGCACTTGAAAATATTAAAACTTAAAACAAAGTACAAAATTTATAAAGATTTAAAGATTTTACAAATAAAAACAATTTCCAATTGCTCTGTATCAACAAAGTACTATCTGATAATAAAACATTTCCTAATTTTGATAATAATCGGTCAATAGTACTAATGAGCTGATGTTGGTTGTAGATCATTAGTCATGAGACAGAGAAGGTGTGCTCACATACATACAAGCAAGGTATACAGTCAAAAGATTACTTATTGCAAAACCACCTTGTGTTTACTTTCATATATCACTATTATTACTCTAGTTAATTGTGTGTGCTTCCATGTGATAGAACACAGATGAAAGAGGAGTCATTACACAACCTAGGTGATCTCACATGCACCTCCAAGTTCCTTGAGTAGGCATTTACAGCTAGGCAGAGAAATGTTCATGCATGAAATTGGCAAGAACTCTCCTCACGTGTAGTACATTTACAACAACTGTTAGTCATTGGTGGCTAGCAGCTTTCTGTAAATAACAACTAATTGACACTATGCTATGTACTTTCATATTATTAGAGAAGTAGGTTTTCTACAGAAAGCAGCAGCAATAACTTCCACAGAATGGGAACTGCTTGACCTGTATGAGAACTGGTAGCAACATATACCTGTTGTACAGATGCCCTTGTCAATTTTTTTTTAATATATATTCAAGTTTTTCATATGTCAAGTGTATCTTATGAGATATTGGCGTAATATGCAGGAATGTTTGGCGATACTGAAAGAATGATAGAAGGAAGATTATGCTATTTAGTTGATGGCATATTAAAATATCTACATGGTACATTTTTTATTTTATGAACTTTGTAATTATCATTGCATATAGATCTATAACTTTTCCAAGGAAACATACAATCGATCATATATTTTTGTTTATAAAAACCAGAATCTAAATTCATCAACAAACCACACCCAATTTATTATCAAGATA